TTTCTTGTTCTTTGTCTTGGATTTTAGTGGGGGTTTCTTTTTGGATTAGGTTTGTAATCTTATTTCTATGGAATCCATTGGATGTTAGTACATTGGTGAGAGTGTGTAGTTCGGGGCTTTAGGTGTTGTTCGTCAGCTAAGCGTTTTGTTCTGGAGATGAGTGTCTTGGCTACAGAGTTGATCTGTGCTGGGTGGTGGTGTGAGAGAGCGTGCAGATAGCGGTTTGTGTGTGTTTTCTTCTGGTAGATGGTGTGTCCTAGGGAGCCATTGGATTTCTTGTAGACTAAGACATCCAGGAAGGGAAGTTGGTTGTTAGCTTCTGTTTCCATGGTGAACTGTATTTTGGGGTGTAGGCTGTTGAGGTGTGTGAGGAAGTTGTCCAGTTTTTCTTTCCCATGTGGCCAGATTATGAAGGTGTCGTCTACGTATCTGAGCCAGAGTTTGGGTTTGTGATCAGATTTTTCTAGAGCTTGGGTTTCAAAGTGTTCCATGTAGAGGTTGGCAATGACAGGTGAGAGGGGTGATCCCATGGGTGCTCCTTCTGTTTGTTTGTATTTTTGTCCATTATAGATGAAGTATGTGTTGGATAGGCAGTGGTTGGTCAGATCTAAGATGTGTTTGGGGGGGTTATATTTGTTTTGGATAGCTGTCAAGGCTTCTTTGATAGGCACTTGTGTGAAGAGGGATATGACATCGAAGCTCACTAGTAGGTCGCTGGGCTGTAAGTTTTGTTTCTTTATGATCTCTATAAACTGGAATGAGTTTTTTACGTGTGAGGTAATGGATTCTGCATAGGGCTGTAGTTGTTTGGCGAGAAATTTGGCTAGGTTTTGTAGAGGTGAGCCTATGGAGCTGACTATAGGTCTGAGTGGGGTTCCTTCCTTGTGTATCTTGGGGAGACCATAGAGTTTGGGGCATCTGGACCTACATACAAATACCCGCGAAAACCTCAGAAAACAAATATTGAACCTCTACGGGGACGAAATCCACCATCTGACCAGGACCTATGAAAAACTTGAAGTCCAAAGAGCTTCCACAGCACTACGTATCCTTAAAGAAGACACCAGCATAATAATCCTACCAGCAGACAAGGGCAACGCCACAGTGGTTATGAACACATCTGACTACCAAACCAAATTAACCAACCTACTCCAAGACTCCACATACAAACCTTGTCTTGGAGTAGGTTGGTTAATTTGGTTTGGTAGTCAGATGTGTTCATAACCACTGTGGCGTTGCCCTTGTCTGCTGGTAGGATTATTATGCTGGTGTCTTCTTTAAGGATACGTAGTGCTGTGGAAGCTCTTTGGACTTCAAGTTTTTCATAGGTCCTGGTCAGATGGTGGATTTCGTCCCCGTAGAGGTTCAATATTTGTTTTCTGAGGTTTTCGCGGGTATTTGTATGTAGGTCCAGATGCCCCAAACTCTATGGTCTCCCCAAGATACACAAGGAAGGAACCCCACTCAGACCTATAGTCAGCTCCATAGGCTCACCTCTACAAAACCTAGCCAAATTTCTCGCCAAACAACTACAGCCCTATGCAGAATCCATACCTCACACGTAAAAAACTCATTCCAGTTTATAGAGATCATAAAGAAACAAAACTTACAGCCCAGCGACCTACTAGTGAGCTTCGATGTCATATCCCTCTTCACCCAAGTGCCTATCAAAGAAGCCTTGACAGCTATCCAAAACAAATATAACCCCCCCAAACACATCTTAGATCTGACCAACCACTGCCTATCCAACACATACTTCATCTATAATGGACAAAAATACAAACAAACAGAAGGAGCACCCATGGGATCACCCCTCTCACCTGTCATTGCCAACCTCTACATGGAACACTTTGAAACCCAAGCTCTAGAAAAATCGGATCACAAACCCAAACTCTGGCTCAGATACGTAGACGACACCTTCATAATCTGGCCACATGGGAAAGAAAAACTGGACAACTTCCTCACACACCTCAACAGCCTACACCCCAAAATACAGTTCACCATGGAAACAGAAGCTAACAACCAACTTCCCTTCCTGGATGTCTTAGTCTACAAGAAATCCAATGGCTCCCTAGGACACACCATCTACCAGAAGAAAACACACACAAACCGCTATCTGCACGCTCTCTCACACCACCACCCAGCACAGATCAACTCTGTAGCCAAGACACTCATCTCCAGAACAAAACGCTTAGCTGACGAACAACACCTAAAACCCGAACTACACACTCTCACCAATGTACTAACATCCAATGGATTCCATAGAAATAAGATTACAAACCTAATCCAAAAAGAAACCCCCACTAAAATCCAAGACAAAGAACAAGAAAACGGCAAAGCCATCCTCCCATACATAAAAGGCATCACAGACAGAATCAGTAAGATCCTCCATAAACACAACATCAAAACAGCATTCTGCACAAACAGAAAAATATCCACCATCCTTAGAAACCCCAAAGATAAAATTGAATTAGAAAATCAAGGAGTATACGAAATCCCATGCACCACTTGTCCCACCACATACATCGGACAAACCAACAGAAGAATAAGTGCACGCATTGAAGAACATAAGAACTCAGTCAAAAAAGAGGAACCAACATCTTCCCTGGTCCAACACCTTAAAGCCACAGGACATGAAATTGACTTTAAAAATACCAGAACCATTGCCAAAAGTGAACATTTTAATAACAGAATAATCAGAGAAGCCATCGAGATAGAAAAACGCCCACACAGCATGAACAAGCGAGATGATACCTCCCGCCTACCAGCCATTTGGAAACCCGCCCTTATTGACAAACGACTCCCTAACACAAAAAATGATACCAGACCCACACTCACAAAAACCACACAGGATGTCACCACCACACATCCACGCAAAAAGCAAACCCAAAGCCACACCGATGATGAGGCACGACCACAAACCAGAAGCCAGACCAGAGCTGCATCATTAGCCACTTTAAAGCCCTCCAATCCATACATGAAGCAAACTGACACCCTCCATGAAAATGAGGCACGACCACAAACGCGAAGCCAAAAAATAGCAAGGCAGCCCAAAATCTTAAACCCCTCTGCAACTCAGACTAACCTGAGCACAACCAAACAGAACACTCCCCCAGCCAATCAGAGCACAGCCAACCCCCCAGCCAATCAGAGCACAGCCAGCAATCAGAGCACAGCCGCCCCTAACCAATCAGAACACACCTCCACCCAATCAGAACACAGCCAAGCTCCCACCCAATCAGTTCATACCCCCACTGGCAGTTAAAAGGAAGAAACAGCTAAGACCACACATTGCTGCTCGAAGCACGAAGCTGAAAACACCAGCCTGAAGATGACGAATGGGACTTCGTCGAAACGTCGCCAAGACACTTCCAATTTTACGTGGGAGAAAACCCGAACAACCAAAGACATATATATATATATATATATATTCCAGCAGACTTTAGGTCAGTGGTTCTCAACCTTTTTAATGCTGCGACCCCAACCGGTTGTAAGTCGAGGACTACTCAACCGGTCGTAAGTCGAGGACTACTCAACTGGTGCAGCACCGTTTGCAGAATGGGACTTTTGGCGGGCTCAGCAGGGCAGAGACAGCCTGGACAATTCCTATTGGCTTTTGAAAGCCAATAGAATTAGACTCTATTCAAGAGAGTCTATTCTATTGGCTTTCAAAAGCCAATAGAATAAAAGGGAGTAGCACAGCTAAGGAAAAGGGGAAAAAATGGCGGACTGCGTTGTTTGGCGACCCCCGTGAAATGGTCATTTGACCCCAAATGGGGTCCTGACCCACAGGTTGAGAACCACTACTTTAGATTAATAAAAACATCCCTGTGAGTAGGTTGGTATTCAGCCAGTCAGTTTTACTTTTTCTCCCCAAGTCCTAATCAGGCCAACCCAGCTTAGCATTTGGAGCACAGCCAAGGTAAATCAGGTAATCAGGTAAATGCTTTGTAACAGAAAAGAGTACAGATAGTCTTCAATTTACAACCTCTTGTTTAATGACTGCTCCAAGTTAAAACTGCACTGGAAAAAGGGACTTATGATCATTTTCCACACTTACAACCATTACAGCATCCCCATGGTCATGTGATCGAAATTCAGACACTTGGCAATGACTCCTATTTATGACGCTTGCTGCATCCCGGGGTCATGTGATCCCCTTTTGCATCCTTCTGACAAGCAAAGTCAAATGGGGAGCCAGAGCGACTGGACAGATTCACTTAACAATTCTGGCAAAAAAAGGTTGTAAAATGGGGTGAAACTCACTTAACAACTGTTTCACTTAGCAACAGAAATTTGGGCTCAACTGGTGGTAAGCCCAGGCCTTACTATACAGTCATGTGCTTTTTAGGTCATACTTAATAATGTAAGTACCTATACGTGTATGCGGGTCTAATGAGCTGCTCCAGCTGTGTTTTCACAAACAACAGGATGTTGCTGCTGCTGCTGCACGGACCCTACAGGTTCCCCGAGTCCCGATCAGCAGCTTCTCCCCGATGATCGTCTGGACCAGGGGTTCTCAACCTTGGCAACTTTAAGACTTATGGACTTTAACTCCCAGAATTCCTCAGCCAGCAAAGCTGGCTGAGGAATTCTGGGAGTTGAAGTCCACAAGTCTTAAAGTTGCCAAGGTTGAGAACCCCTGGTTTGGACCTTTCAGTCTTTCCACATCCACACCCCATGGAGGGCTCAGCCCCCTCAGATCCAATCTCCGCCTGCCTTTAGCGCTGAATCCTTCCACGACCTGCGCCCGCCTCTGCCCCCATCCTTGGAAACGACTCCAAAGAAACTCGGGGAGATTTTTACTCCTGGGAAAATCGGCTCAGAGATCCCCAGCAGCGCCACTTTCCACCGCAAAGAAGCCCGTCCAGCTCAGGAGCTTCTCTCCCCTTCTCAGGCCGTCCGAGGAGGCTGTTGGCTCCGCCGGCCTGGCCGCCGAGGCGCTGTGGGCGGGGATGGGGAGAAAAGGGGGCGAGGGCGCTCATTTCCCGCCCCGTTACTCGGCGGGGCTGCGGGGAAACTCCTGAAGCGGCGGGGCTTGCAAAGGGACAATGGCGGGCGCGGGGGGCGGCGGCGGCCGCGCTGGACTTTGCCCCCCGGGCGGTCTTGAGCAGCTGGAGCTGGGGCAGCTCGGACAGCCTGCTGGCTCGCCCTCGCCGCCGCTCTCCTCTTGCTCGAGGCAGGCCTGGAGCCGGGACAACCCGGTCTTTGAGCCCGAGGAGGAAGACCCGGCCAGGGTGGCGACGGCGGTGGCGGGACCGGTGCTGAGGATGGACGTGGAGTGGGGCCGGGACGACGCGGCCTCGCCGACCTCCGGCGGGCCCAGCGCTCGAAGCGGAGACGCCGCGCAGGGCAGGCAGCGGCGGCGCAGGCGGCGGGGCGAGGAAGAGGAGGAGGACGGAGGGGAGCGGGGCCATCCCTTCCCCGCGGGCGCAGGAGCGGGAGACGCCCTGCCCGCGCGCTTCGCTCCCGAAGAGGGCAATGGCGAGGCCGCGGAGCCCCCGCCGCGCCGGATCGCCTGGGCCAAAGGGCTGGCGAGCCGACTGCGAGGTGAGTGAGCGCCCGCCCGGGTCAGCCTCGCCTCCCCGCCCCTAACCCAGCTGCTCTCGGACGCGACTTTTCTGCTCCTGGAAGGAAGGGCAGCCCTTGGCTGATGCATTTACCTGTGGCTGCCAGCAGGACTGGGACCTGAAGGGCGCAGAGTTCAGCTCAACCCCCCCTCCCTCAAAACCGTAAAGCAGGATGGGAGACCACCAGGAGAGCCCCAGGATTATCTATTAGTTAGCCTGAAAACTCAAAAAAAAAAAAATAATAATCCAGAAGGGAATAGCCAATAAGTTCCATAATGTTTACCAAAACAACTGCTCTAGCTCAAAAGGCACTGAATTTTAATTATAAAGAGGGAGGGGTTACTGTGTATTTTGGTACTTTCGTTAACTTCAAGGTTTTTATTTATTTATGAATAGAATAGAACAGAACAGAACCTTGGAGGTCTTCTAGTCCAGCCCCCCACTCAAGCAGGAGAACCTATACCAGTGGTTCTCAACCTTTTTAATGCCGCGACCCCCAACTGGTTGTAAACCAAGGACTACTCAACCGGTCATAAGTCGAGGACTACTCAACTGGTGCAGCACCGTTTGCAGAATGGGACTTTTGGCGGGCTCAGCAGGGCAGAGACAGCCTGGACAATTCCTATTGGCTTTGGAAAGCCAATAGAATTAGACTCTATTCAAGAGAGTCTATTCTATTGGCTTTCAAAAGCCAATAGAATAAAAGGGAGTAGCACAGCTAAGGAAAAGGAGAAAAAAATGGCAGACTGCGTTGTTTGGCGACCCCCGTGAAATGGTCGTTCGACTCCAAATGGGGTCCCGACCCACAGGTTGAGAACCACTGACCTATACCATCTCAGACAAGTGACTGTCTAATCTCTTCTTAAAAACCTCCAGTGATGGAGCACCCATGATTTCTGTAGGCAAGCTGTTCCGCTGGTTAATGGTCCTCACTGTTGGGAACTTTCTCCTTAATTCCAGGTTGCTTCTCTCTTTTATCAGTTTCCAAACATTGTTTCTCATCCTTCCCTCTGGTGAACAACCTGACCCCCTCCTCTTTATGGCAGCCCCTCAAATACTAGAATACTGCTATCATGTCATCCCTATTTCTTCTTTTTTTTAGACTAGCCAAACCCAAGTCCTGCCGCTGTTCTTCATATGTTTTGGTCTCCAGGCCTTGGATCATCTTAGTTGCTCTTCTCTGAACTTTTTCCATTTTTCCAATAATTGTTATCTGAATTTTATTCCTTTCATGGGTGGCTTGACTTTTTCCAAATTGATATCCTCCAGATGGGTTTAATTTTGATTTTAAGTTGCAGTCTGTGGTTTTCTAATTGGAGAAAGAATGATTGTGAATAAAAAGGTTTAGGGCTTTCTTTACAGCCCCAAACATAATGTGTTTCGATGTTCTCATTTTGGCCTTAAGAATATCCGGATGATCGCACAACAAAAATAACATGGTGTCTATAGCCTTTAACTGGGTGAAATAGTGCATCATAAGACAAAACGTTTTCAACCAAAATATCTTTAATGGGCTACTGTACAGAATGCAAAATCTGGAATCCTGTTGAATTGAAATTTGGCGAACTCTATAAAGCACTTTATGACAGAGCTGGGGGTTGGACTAGAACAGGGCTTTTCAATCAGTGGTATGGGTACCACCTGTGGTACATTGGCACCTGGCAGGTGGTACGTGATCATCCTAGAAAAGTGGTAGCGGGGGAGGGAAATGAGCTGAACCGGTGGCAGCACCGCACCAGCCTGAACGAGAGATGGTTGGAGCTGAAGGGCTCAGCGGAAGCGCCAGGATCAGGGCCACTTTCCAGCTGATCGGCGCTTCTTCAGGGCTGTCAGGGCTCAGTGGAAGTGCCAGGATCAGCACCAGGCTCCAGCTGGAGCTCAGCGCTGATCTGATGCTTCTGTTGAGCCCTGAAGAAACACCAATCAGCTGGAAAGCAATACTGATCCTGGCGCTTCTGCTGAGCCCAGAAGAAGCGCCAATCAGCTGGAATATTGCAGCATCTCCAGGGTCTTGTGATTTACATTCAGATGCTTGGCAACTGATTGATATTTATGATGGTCACCATGTCCCAGGGTCATGTGAAGTGACCAAAACCTGCTACAACCACCCAGCAGACGGGGAGAATAAAAACCAAACACCCCCCACTCCACCCCCGCTGCCAATCCTCAACAGAAATGCTCACAACAATGAAAACCTCGGACAGGAGGAAGAGCGCGGCCAGGCAGGCAGGCAGGTGTCTTGCTCGGCTGTGGCTTGGGGGGAACTTTTCAGTGCCATTGTAACTCCGAACAGTCACTAAGCGAACTGTTGTAAGTCAAGGACTACCTGTACTTTATCACTTTTTTCCTTTTGGGGGGGTCATCAGATTTTTGACACCTTCCTAGGCGACTGGTGGTTCTCGGATGTTGCCATATCCTAAAAGTGGTACAATGGGTGAAAAGGTTGAAAAGCCCTGGACTAGATGCCCTCAAAGGTCCCTTCCAACTCTGTAATTTTATGATATGGTTATAAAACATTTCCTGTGGTCAACTGCTGATACCTAACTGTACTATACAGTGTAAATGTGAGCTACTTTCAAGGCAGATACATCTCTGAATAGCTATTTGAATTTTTAAGAATTTTTCAAGTACAGGTAGTCCTCAACTTACAACCATCATATAGAGTTCATATAGAGAATGTTCAAAGTTACAACAGCACTGAAAAAGTGGCTTATGACTACTGCAACATCCCGATGGTCAAAATCGAGACGCTTGATAACTGACTCGTATTTGCAATATCCTGGGGTCATGTCATCACTTTTTGTGACCTGACAAGCAAAGTCAATGGGGAAACCAGATTCACTTAACAACCATATTACTAACTTAACAACTGTAGTGATTCATTTAATGACTGTGGCAAGAAAGGTAAAATGGGACAAAACTCACTTAACAAATGTCTCACTTAGCAACAGAAATTTTGGGCTCAGTTGTGGTCATAAGTTGAGGACCACCTGTACCTTAGAAGCTCTGCCACTGTTGAAAGCATTGAGAAATCTAGTAAGGAGATATCTTCGAAACAATAACCCAAGGAGTTTGTGGTTGTCTAGTTCTACTATAACAGTTAAAATATTCCTGAATACTAACCCTTGCTATCTAAATTTAAAACACATTGGTGGAACCTAGCAGTTTTTATAAAAAATAAAGTAGGTAATGCAAATCTGTTCACTTATAATGTGGAACTGGTCATATGTATTTGAAGGACAATCCATTGTCACTATTTCAAAGTCTCTATGTGCATGTGTGTGTGTGTTTGAAAACTTTTTTTTCCTGAAATCACATGATTTTTCTTCTGAATTCAGACTTCTTGTTACCGTGCTGCAGATGTGGGCATTCAGACAATGTTACATAATTTGCCAACTTCACTGCAATTTATTCACATGCTTTGAGGCCTGTCCCCCGTTGCTCCTAAGCAAAGTACAAACGTATCTTGACAACATCTTTCTGCTTATCTCTTTGACATCGCTTTCATCTTGTCTCTGAAGGCCCTGTGTAAGGCAAGCTGAGGTAGTCTTCGCCTGTATGAGCAAAAACATTTACAAAATGAAAGGTCTTAAGGAGAAGCTTTAAGCCTTTTCCTTTCCTGAAAAAATATGAAACTTTTACATTGGGCACCAGACAGAATTCATAGACTGTCTATTTTTTAAGCTATGCTTCTTTTTTTCCCAAAAATAAAATATTTCTTTGCCAAGTGTTACAAACTGCAATCCATTCAGAATGCATTTCAAAGTTTCTGTTGCCTGGCCAACCAGCTTTTGCTCATTTGTTCCAGTTCAGGATAACCATCTAGTTAGCTACAAATTCCAGAAGAGTAGCCATATTAATCCTTAGAAGTAAAAAAAAAAACAAAAAAACATAACTGCAGCTACTTTCAGCTTTGTACTGTAAGCCGTTTATTTGTATCTCACTCGCTTCTTTTCATATAATGTTTGCTTGTAATTTATTTATATGCAGGATGGTTCACAGAATAGAAAAATCCTGCTACAAAGTAGCATATATCTTAAAAGTTAATTTTAAAAAACCACAAATGATAATTATTTGAGACAGATGTTAACAGCTAAAAAGATTAGCTCTTTTTAGCTGTTAAGCTATATTTGCAAGCTTACTTACTGGGCGTAATATATCTTAAGTTATACCCTTTTTCTTGCATTGCAATTCCTTCTGTGGATAGCTCATGCTGTTATTTTTAGTAACATGCCTTTGGTATGATGAAATGAGCACATTTTGTACAACTACTGTTTGGATGTATATACTGATTTGATGCACTTTTTTGGCAACATATATCTTTTAGTTCTTACGTCAGGATCCACTGTTACGGGACAGGGATTGATCTTCATTGTTGGTCTAATACAAAACTGATACGATTTAACATAGCTTGGTTTTTTTTTTTTAAAAAAAAGTGGGAAATGTTTAGAGTCCTTTCCTTTGCACTATAACTTGACACATCTGTTCAGATACTAAGACAAATCCCTGATCCTTACAGAGTAAATGTGGGCAATCTGATATCCTTCAGAAATTTTGGATTGAAATTCTTTGCCATTAGCCAGAACTGGTGAAAGTTGAGACCAAAAATATCTTCACTGTCCTAATTTTTTCTCCTGTTGTTCAAGTGGGTGGTAATTGGTACTAGATAATGTGCAAACTTCTACAAAACTCTGTCAATTTATCTTTTGCAAGGGTCCCTGTTTCTCAGGCAAGTGGGATATGCAACAGCATGCAAATACATTTTACAAACTTTGTACCAATTACAAATTTGTACATATACATACAAGTTTAATAAACGGATACAGAAGAGCCTAGCTTCAGTGGACTTTCAATAATGTAGAACTTTATAGTTCTTTTTGTTACTTTGTTGGCTGTTAACACATATTTTGAGCTTTCTGGGCTGGCTGGCTTCCAGAAGAGGCTGAGTAACTGTTTTGGCCTATTTAGGATGTTTAAAATCTTTAAATCCTTTTTGATGATTTCTTACAGAGCACATTGTAGAAGAACCTTTGCAATAAACTGCATTAGTGGAGTATTGCTTTTTAAAACATCAATTTAGCAGTGTTTGTAAATAGTGCACCAGCATTCCAATGTATTTATATGCTGTTGCCATTGGTTTCATTGTTACTGTGTTGGTCTTGAGAGAAAAGTTGTTAACTGCCAATAAGACAAAGATAAACTTATTTCTTTACCTAGAGCCAAATGCTGTTCCACTAAATTTGTATATGTGTTTTTCAGATTTTTTCTTTTGCCTGCAAAACCTATTTCCATATCTTCAGTAAAAATTGCAAAAGGTGCTTTTTTCTGGCCAAGCTTTGCCATTCTAACTTGGTTAGTCTTATCAGTGGTCACTGTTCTTCCGCTTGAGCTATCTTGGTAGTACTTAGAACTGCAGTGATGTACTATTTATGCAAATGATATACAGGTAGTCCTCAATTTATAACCACATTTGAGCCCCAAAGTCCATTGCTAAGAAAGACAGTTGTTAAGTGAATTTTGCCCCATTTTATGACCTTTCTTACCACAGTTGTTAAGTGAATCCTGTAGTTGTTAATAACATGGCTGTTAAATGAATCTGACTTCCTCACTGACTTTGCTTATCAGAAGGTCGCAAAAGGGGATCCCATGACCCTGGGATACTTCAATCGTCATAAATATGAACCAGTTGCCAAGCATCTGAATTTTGATCATGTGGCCAGAAGGATGCTGCAATAGTTTGCTGAAGGAAAAGTCTTCATCATGGTTCAGTCCAACCTGGAATAAACAACATGGTGACTGCTTTAGAAAAAAGGTTGTAGTTTATTGAAGAGGAGAGCCAGACAGAAAGATGGCTCTGGAAGAGAAAAGAGTGAGCATATGAAGGGAGTGGGTTTTTATACCCTCTGGAGCTTTTGTTTGGAGTTCTTTCCTGTTCCTGTTTGAGGCTTTGTATTTCCTATGTCATGTATTCTGACCTGAGTCTAGGTGGCCCTTTGGCATCTGTGGGTTAATCCTATTATGTCCTGTCTTAGAGTTTGGGTGGGGTATGTAGATTTTAGGTGTCTTTGTCTTCCAAACTTTTAGCTGGGGGCCTCCAGCCTTCCTGGATGGTTTACATCTGCATTTCTATAGAGCTAGTTTCTGTTTAGGGGAGGGAGACTTCGGGCTATTAAGAAAACTGGCATGCTTTTCTGCCTCTTTAAGATCCTTTGAGGAAATATATTTTTCTGCCCTTTTAATATTTCCTTCTGGGGGGGGGGCTGACTTCCCACAAGTTGTAAATATAAAAAGTGGTCACTTTCAGTGCTGTTGTAATTTCAGTCACTAAATGAAAGGTTGTAAGTCAAGGACTACCTGCATTCAGTTATTACATGTTAGGTAGCAATCTTTCATCCCTTTCTGGTTCTTTTCCTTGTTTTTCTGGTTAATAGGTATAACTTATTGGATTAATATAAAATAAGTCTTATGTTAATCTTGTAAGGTGGAAATAAATGCCCAAACCTATACATCAGACTAAACAATGGCAAACGATTGCTAGTTTATACTGATCCCTTTCATATACCAATATATCCTATTTCTTATGGATTCCTGGTTATTCTTTTTAAGGTCTGTGGGGTACTCGGCTCATGGAAGAAACTACAACTCGAGAGAAATACTTGAAAAGTGTTTTACGTGAGCTAATAACATATTTGATTTTTCTTGTGGTCCTATCAATCCGTAAGTAGTCTTTGCTGATATTTTAATGTGATGATAAACTGATATTTAATATATAATGGAAATGAGTTCTGAAAGATTTCTTCAATTGAGGCCATGATTATTGCTTATCCAGTCAAATTTGATGTTCAGAAAATTGCTAATCCATATATGCTATAATAACTTCCAAAACCTGTTCTTTAATTCATATGGCTGTAGATTGAGTCAAGATCTAGGGAAAATAATTTGAAGAAGATAATTCTAAAAGTATATTACAATTTCAGTCTATAATTTTAAAATAATAAGAAAAAATGTATAGTCTGAGATTTTACAAAGTCAGCTTTAGTGGCTATATCAGTTATATAGACTTCTACTGCCATAAAATAATAAATACAATACTATTAGTTTTACAAGGTAGAGCAGATCAGGAAACAGTCATGCACACCCCCAAAAAACATATTACTTACTATAAGCTATAATATCAGAACCTGTAGACTTTCTCCTTCCCTCTGTCTGTTTATACCAGAGGTCTTCAAACTTGGCCTTTTTATGACTTGTGGACTTCAACTCTCAGAATTCCTCAGCCAGGCACGCTGGCTGAGGAATTCTGGGAGTTGAAGTCCACAAGTCATAAAAGGGCCAAGTTTGAAGACCCCTGGTCTATACCAAAGAGTCTCAAATTGACATTATTTTGAGTTTTCTTCTCACATGCTCATGTTTTCCTGGGTTGCGTACATGTTTCCTAACAGTTGCTGCATATTTTCTTCAAGGCTATTTCCATAGTCCTGTGCACATATTGTATTCAAGTTATATTTCCCTTATAAAGCCAGCTGTTGGTATCATCTCACCGGGCTGGTATTGTGGGAAAAATAACAGGCAGAATATTAGATGCTGTATGCTTGCCCTCTTCAGTTATTTATAAAAATAATAAATATGGGATATAAATAAGTGTGTGTGTGTGTATTCCCACTCTATTGTTATTTTTAAAAATGATGATTAATTTGCAAAATAATATCTTATAAATAAATGTAGACATATAAAACATTCAATATTACAAATACAATCTTTATTAACAATAAAGGGAGATTGTGTCCTTGTTCTTTCCATTACAAAACCAACATGATATTGTTCAATCGCCAAGTCCGACTTTTCGTGACCCCATGAAGCATAGCATGCTAGGCTTCCCTGTTCTGTATTGTCTCCTGGAGTTTGCTCAAATTCATGTTCACTGCATTGATGACACTGTCTAACCATCTTATCCTCTGCTGTGTCCTTTTCCTTTTGCCTGCCTTCTTTCCCAACATCAGGGTCTTTTCCAATGACTCCTCTCTTCTCATTTGGTGGCCAAAGTATTTCATCTTCAGTATCTCTCCTTCCAAAGAACAGACAGGGTTGATTTCCTTTAGGATTGACTGATTTGATCTCCCTGCAGTCCAAAGACGTTTAAGAGCAGTGGTGGGATTCAAATATGTGAATAACTGGTTCTCTGTGTAGATGCTGCTTCCGGAAGTCCATTCTGGGCCTGGGCAACAAAAAATTAGTTACTGGTTCTGCCGAAGTGGTGCAAAATGGCTGAATCCCACCACTGCTTAAGAGTCTTCTCCAATACCACAATTCGAAATCATGATGGGTGCCTGTATTGATGATATTAAAAGAGCTATTCTCTCTTCAATTATGGGGTATGTGGTTTTTTTTTGTCCCTTTGAGTCAATCTTGACTCTTGGCAATTACAGTATCTGCACAAAGCCTTGGTAAAATAATTTGCCATTTCGTTCTTCCAAGGGCTGAGAGAGAATAACTGATCCAAGATCCCCTGGCAAGCTTCATAACCCTGCTTCAGGCAGGGTTAGAACACACAGTCTTTTGATGTCCAGCTTGGTGGTTTTAACAAGCACACCAAACTGGTTCTTAAAACATTTTAGGGATACATAAAATATTGAAAGAGCTCTGTCTTTCCTCTGCAATGCAGTCTCCTGCAGAGTTTTACGTATTTCTGCTAGAGAGTATAATTGGGCCGGCGATTAACTGAATTTAGCTACAGTTAAGTGCTTCACTAAGTAAACCAACTTCACTGCAGATGCTTTTCTGGACACCAAAACAAATAAATTAGAAATGCATGTACCTTTTTCATGTTTTTGCTTTTTGCTTTTTCAAATATTAAATATAAACAAATAGGTTTAGTATTAGAAACTAGTCCATATCTTAATGATTGGATAAGAGGACTGCCTTCAGTGTGCATTTTCTTCAGAAACTGAATCTGGATAATTTCAGTTTCAATTCAATTTTATTACAGCATTTAGTCAGCAACTAAAACAAAGTAAAAGAAAGAAGAAAATAAACAGCAAATACACATATACCGTACATCAATCCATCTTATTATTTTAGATGGCTACAGGTTCCCCATTGTCCTGGGTTCCTTGAACACAAGAGTTTCTAGAAAGGTATGAAGGATCTATTGAAAAGAATACAGAAGAACTGTATTTACTTTTTGGTTGATGTTGGGAAAATTCATTCATAATATGTGGAGGAAGGCTTACTTCTTGTGCATTTAGCATTAAACATAGACAATGTCTGGCATCTAGGTTCATCCTAAAGAGCCCCATGTGAGATCATTCTTGATAATATAGCAGATAAGAAAATATTACTTTATGCTTGCTTACATGTTATAGTTGAAGATGGTGATTAATAAATTTCTATCTGAAATACATATTATTTCCAAATTCATGTTTACAGTATCCTACGGAATGGTGAATTCTAACATTTACTACTACACAAGAGTAATGTCTCAGCTCTTTCTCGATACACCAGTATCAAAGATGGAGAAAACCAATTTCAGATCTTTGTCTACTATGGAAGACTTCTGGAAGGTACTAATTGAAATGTGATTCTTGATATCTTTAAGCTTTATGCATATCACTCAGATTTAACCTAGTATGAAACCCCTGGTGGCACAGTGGTTAGAATGCAGTTTTGCAGGCTAATTCTGCTGACTCCAGCAGTTCGATTCTCACCAGCTCAAGGTTGACTCAGCCTTACACTCTCTCTCTCTCTCTCTCTCTCTCTCTCTCTCACTCTCACTCTAGTCATTGTCTATCCACTGCGGGATGAAGGACTCTTCCATAATACAGTCCTGAGCTTTCTTTTGCCAACTGAGCCCACAATACTTGCTGATGTTGTTGATCCACTTTGTTTTAGGTCTCTTTCATGGACGCTTTTTATCAAGTGGGATTCATTCTATGACTGCCTTGGTCCACCTGCCATCAGTTCTTCTTGCTATGTAACCAGCTCATTTCCATTTCAGTTCTTTTACTCTCTTGATGATATCGTATATTTTTGATTGTTCTCTAGTCATGGAGTCCCCAACCCCCAGGCCATGGCCCACTAACGGGGCAAGAGCTGTTCAAAACCAGAGTGCCCAATGCAGCAAGCAGACACACACTCATGCCTGCTGCTCACGCAAATGGAGCTGCACACATGCACATGCTTGCCCACAGCTCGTGCTGAACCATTCCTTCCCCCTCCCCCCCCATGCTGTTCCGCAAAGCCAGAAAGGTTGGGGAACTATGTTCTAATCCATGTGCAGGTCTTTCTATCTTGTCTTGTACTGCCGAAGATGTATCTTTCCATGGCTCTTTATGACATTTGTTGCTTTTCTATCAACTGTGAGCTTAGTGTCCACGCTTCACTGGCTTATGTTAGAGCAGGTAACACACACTGATAAAAACATTTCTCTTCAGCCATAGGGGGAGGTAATTCTTGAAAATTATTATTAGTTTGCTGAATGCCTGCCAACCACATTTAACACACTGTTCAATTTCCTTTATTGTATCACCTTCCATTGAGATACGTTGGCCAAGGTATATGTAGTGGTCTACTGTATCTATCATTTATCTGTCTGTCTGTCTGTCTGTCTGTCTGTCTGTCTGTCTGTCTGTCTGTCTGTCTATCTATCTATCTATCTATCTATCTATCTATCTATCTATCTATCTATCTATCAAGGCAGCTTATTAACTTTTAATATGAATTAAAAATAATTCCTTTTAAAATATTTTTTTAATGGCTGAAATTTAGTAGAGTCCAGCAAGTAGCGCCAGAGGCAGTGCATCACTGATCCTCAATCTAAAACATTCTGCTTAATCTTTCAGTTCACTGAGGGGCCGTTGTTGGATGGACTGTACTGGGAGATGTGGTACAATAATAAAACCGTAGCAGAAAACAGAAGTTTCATCTACCACGAGAATCTACTTTTAGGAGTGCCTCGTATCCGGCAGCTGAAAGTGAGGAATGCCTCATGTTCAATACCTGAAGATTTAAAAGATGAAATAAAAGACTGTTACGATGTTTATTCAGTGGCTAATGAGGACACTGCTCCATTTGGGCTCCGGAATGGGACAGCGTATGTATTTGTTCACATTCATATAGACCAGGCATGGGTAACTGTGGCAACTTTATGACTTGTGGACTTCAACTCCATGTTGGCTCAGGAATTCTGGGAGTTGCAGTCCCCAGGTCATAAAGTTGCCATAGATGTCATAATCTCATAGCTATTTAACAGGACTTAAACCTTCTAAGCCTTTAAACAACCACATCCATAACATCAGATAACAACTACATTTCTTCATTCATTCATTCTATTTAAAGTTTATTCTTCTTATGTTCTGGAGACCAAACCTCTATATGCTTACCAGATGTGCCAGCTATGAAACTTTTATTGATCAAGACTTAATAATGCATTTTAATAAGGCAGAGGGGGTGTAGAGTACATTATCAGCCCTTAGGTTACCCATACGCATACCCAATAGGACAGTACTCCATTTTTGATGTTTGACTACAGTAACAGAGCATGCCACACGAGCAACCCATACCCAATTTTATACCAAATATGCTCATGCTTTTCAATGCTACTAAGACAGCTGATAAACTATTCTGGAGATGGCCCCTGCAAGTTGCTGCCACCCCACCTACTAGGAAAAATATTCAATGTATGGCGCATACTGCAGATTCAACGGATATTCAAATCTTTTGTCATGTTTTACTGCTTAAATATCTTTTTTAACCCAAGGGTGGATTGGGGATAATTCGTTTCATAAGTGTTCAAGATGGCAGTAACGGAGGCAGGATTCTTGTAATTCTCATGATTCTAATGTTGTGTTGTAGATGGACATATAGCAGTGAAAAAGACTTGAATGGGAGCAGCCACTGGGGGTTGATCGCCACATACAGTGGAGCTGGCTATTACCAGGAGCTCTCAAAAAGCAAAGAAGACACCTCTGCCTTGATTGCTGTCCTTAAGAACAACTTGTGGCTTGACAGAGGCACAAGGGCAGTATTTATCGACTTTTCTGTGTACAATGCAAATATCAATCTATTCTTCATTGTCAGGTGAGCATGGACTGTTTGACTATTAACTGAGCATTAACTCTTGATTTGTGAAGCCACCTTCTGGTGCATGTTTATTTATTTATTTATTTATTTCAGTATTTATATGCCGCCCAATCCCAAAGGACTCAGGGCAGCGTACAAAGTTAAAACAATGATAAAACAATAAAATAAAGCAGTCATACCGCGAGTCCGATCATATCCCACCCCCCCGGGGACATCAGCCCCAGGCCTGCTGGAACAGGAGGGTTTTAACGGCCTTCTTAAAGGCCGGCAGGGTGGGAGTAGTTCGAACCTCGGGGGGAAGCTGATTCCACCAGGTCGGAGCCACCACAGAAAAGGCCCTTCCCCGAGGGCCCGCCAGCCGACATTGTCTGGCCGACGGGACCTGAAGGAGGCCCAGTCTATGGGACCTCACCGGTCTCTGGGAGTTATGCGGCAGAATGCGGTCCTGTAAGTAACCTGGCCCTATGCCATGAAGGGCTTTAAAGGTTATAACCAACACCTTGAATTGCGTCCGGAGACCCACAGGAAGCCAGTGCAGCTCGCGGAGGATAGGTGACACGTGGGCGTACCTTGGTGCGCCCACAATCGCTCTCGCGGCTGCGTTCTGAACCAACTGCAGCCTCCGAACGCTCTTCAAGGGTAGCCCCATGTAGAGCGCATTACAGTAATCCAGTCTTGAGGTGACAAGGGCATGAGTGACTGTGAGTAAAGCCTCCCGGTCCAAATAAGGCCGCAACTGGTGCACTAGGCGAACCATGTTGGTGTCATCTCCATTATACTCAACAGGAAGGCCATGCTACCCATAATGTGTTTTTTTTCTCTCTCTCATGAGGCTATAATTAATGTTGTGGATTTGGGGTATTTTTTAATAAGAATAATAGCATGTAGGTAAAAGTTCCAAAAGTGCTTTTTTTCTTTTAAGACTGTTTCGCTTCTCATCCAAGGAGCTTCTCAGCTCTGACTGGATGGTGGGGAATGGAAGGATTTATACTCCTTGCAGACAGTTGGTCATTTGCATTCTTTTAGAGAGTTGTTGAGGCCAGAAGCAGTAAATGCTCCAACACTGGAAGTTTTTAAGAAGAGACTGGACAGCCATTTGTCCAAAATGGTGTAGGGTTTCCTGCCTGAGCAGGGGGTTGGACTAGATGACCTCCAAGGTCCCTTCCAACTTTACTACTATTACATTGTATTACATTACATTTGGAGGTTTACCTGTGTCCTCAGGGTCACCTGAGTAGTGCAAATGGATATTGTTACTTATCACTTTAACAGCTTAATTGTCCACCCTTGGGTTAAAAAAGATATTTAATATCAGCTGAGCAATAAAAGAATGATCTATGACAAGATAACTTTTATTTTTAAATGCAGGTTATTGGTGGAATTTCCACCCACCGGAGGCCTCCTGACATCCTGGCAATTCCAGCCAGTGAAGTTAATCCACTACATTTCCACTTTTGACTTTTTCTTGGCTGCTTGTGAACTTGTTTTTTGCCTCTTTATTATTTATTATGTGGTGGAAGAAATCCTGGAAATTCACATTCACAGGTTGTTCTATTTTAGGAGTCTTTGGAACTGTCTCGACATTCTCATTATCACAGTAAGTAAACCCATTTAAATACTGAGCTACTTTGAAATATTCTGGAAACTTTGTAGGGAGTTGTCAACTCTCAAGTTTCTGGTGAACAAAGAGACAGAAGCCTCCTTCTTTGTCCCTTCTATACCACAACTGCTAGAGATGCCTTCCTTCCTGATGCTGCTAGAAAAAAAAAATTATTTGAAATAAACAGCAGCCTTCCCATCTTTGATGAATCAGTAGCCAAAGCAATGGAACAGGAAACCAGATGCTTATACTACAAAGCATTTTATACTATATTATCTACTTTATTTATGTAGGTGCCCATTTGACTTTTATGCGATGTTAGGAGGCTTACAATAAATGTATAAAGACACATAAAATAAAAATAAATAGCCGGGCATCATCTTAATCCATCATACATACAATCAGGAGATGGTTCCCTAAGATGGGCCCCAGGCTTGAGCATAAAGCCATGTTTTTAAGACATTATGAAGGGCCCAAAGGGATGGGCCATGAATTTCAGAGTGGTCTCCCAATATGTGGACAATCTTTTTGAATCTCTTTTCAATACTGTTTCCTCAATACTCCAAATATGTACTTATAATACTAAAGATACCCAGAATGTTTTCTTTTGGCGGTACCATGTGTAAACTAGAAGTTAAAAGAACAGTTAAGTCTATATTGACAGGATTACAATATTATGCAGGAGCAATAAAGTTAGTCCACCAAACTTTGTGTATGTTTTTTTTTCTTTTATTTTTTCTATTCTCAGCTATCATTGGCAGCTATTGGATTGAATATCTATCGAATATCTACTGTGAATAAGCTAGTGAAGAAACTGCTGGAAGATCAAAATAGCTTCCCCAATTTTGAACCTTTAGCATACTGGCAAACCCAGTTCAATAATGTTGCAGCTGTTACCATGTTTTTCGTCTGGATAAAGGTAATTCAAATTTTACTGAGATAATTCAAGTAAATCAGGACACTTTATAAGAACATTGGTCTTTTTTTCTTTTGAAAAAGTGACTAGTTATAATTTGGGAGTGGGGAAAATCAATTTGCATTCAAGGTCTGTCTCTCTTTTGTTCTTTTAATGTCTATTCTAAAAGTCAGGAACACAGAACAATGTACTGCAATAAATAAAATCCTTGCAGTTAAGGTTTTTTTTTTTTTTACTGCTTTCTGACATGGCATATAAAAATTATTTTAAAAGCTTTGGTTGACTAACAAGAGCTTTTTCTAAAAAGGAGCAGAAAGCCCAGTCCAAGTTAGCTTTTGCCATAATTGCAGGATTAAAAATACAGTTTAGTAATTTAAGTGTGTATTATGTGGTTGCATAGAGAATTAAAAAGTAGCTCTTAAAAATATTTCTGCTTAAAGGGGTGGCAAAGTTCACATGCTGTGATAAATCATGGTTTGTGAGGGGAAAAAAATGTAGGCCCACCATTATCCCCACAGTGACACTTTCCATCTTACACAGCAGAAGTGTAATAGTAAAATTCACTGAAAATAAAAATGGTTTACAATTGATTTGCTTTGAGACAATCCACACGATACTAAATCACATTCATAATATTTATTTGGATTTCACTAAAGGCAAAATGAAAGGGTATTGAAGACCTTCTAGCCTTGCGGAAGAACAATAGGTAGGAGAACTCTTTAGGTCTAAAACAGTTCTCTCTCTTGTGCCATGTGGATCGTATCTAGAGTAATGCAAAACTCCCATCACCATGAATATGTCCACTGGACAGAGGTCGCCCTCTAAAGATGACCAGGCCAGGACACAGTTTTGTGGAGTATTTAAGACATGAAATAGACATTTTAAGCTTCTACGGGGCTTAAGGCAACCATTTTGCACCTTAGCTTTCTCTTCCCAAATGAAAACAAAAAACAGATAAAGTTGCCTTGTCCGAGTCATTGGTGGTGATGGGGTGAGGGAGAGAGGGGGGGGGAGGGTTGAGGGAGCCGTGAAAGGGATGAATTTCGTGCTGTCTCCAATCTAGGAGGTCCAGCGAGGAGGACGAGGATCAAAAAAAAAAAGTCAAGATGGCAGTATGAACTTATGGGATGGGTTCTGAGAAAAAGGAGGAAGAGGTGCAGCCAAGGCAAAATCAGATAAGGGAAATCTGAGTCCAGAGCAGGAATGGAACTTGAGAAAGTATCTCAGACCCTCTCTAGGGGGAGAGACACATTCGGAATTACAAAATTCTGTTACTGTAACGCTGTAATGAAATACAAGTAGACCTTGACTTGTAACAGCTCATTTACGACCTTTCAAAGTTACAATAGCACTGAAAAAGGCGATTTATGATCATCTTTTGCACATAAGGCCAGCTACAAGCATCCCCATGGTCACATGATCAAAATTCAGTCACTTAGCAACTGACTGGTGTTTGTGACAGTTGCAGTGTCCCGGAATCATTTGCGACTTTCTGACAATGGGGAAGCCAGATTCACTTAACCACCATGTTACTAACTTAACAATTGCAATGATTCACTTAACAACCGTGGGAAGAAAGGTCTTAAAAGGGGCAAAACTCACTTAACAACTGTCTTGGACAGAAAAATTGGACTCAACCGTGGACATAAGTTGAAACCTGTAGTTTCAGTATTCATGACTTTGGTGTTCATATCTGGTCTACCACAAAGGGCTGACACCAGCCCTGGAATTTTGCCTTCATCCTACAAAAACTAGGAAGAGAAAAGGAAAGGAGGCGAATTCTCAAATTCCGCTCCTATTCTAAAAGGTTATTCTACGCGGCAGGGATTCTCAATGTTGGCAACTTTAAGACTTGTGGACTTCAACTCCCAGAATTCCTCAGCCAGCTTTGTTGAAGTCCACAAGTCTTAAAGTTGCCAAAGTTGAGAACCCCAGTATGGGGTTATTACATCATACAATCAAAGCCCTACCCCTTTTTTATATACTTGATGCAACTTAATATGATATCAAATGCAAGCAATTGATATTTACACTATATTCTGCCCCCAAGAATGACTTTCCTTTTTGTCTGTTCCAATAATATACAACTGAGATAGTACATTCAGTGTTTCAGCTGAAAACATCTAAGCACCAAGGTAGGCAAATGACCACCAAAAGTGAAAATAAGGGCACAATTTAAAACTTTTAACATATTTACTTTTGTCTATATCTTGAGCTGTCCCAAAAAGCAGTCTTTGGAATAGTCCTTGACATAAAGTTTCTTAATATTTAAGATGTTATTTCCATATAAACTGTGGTTTTCCTTCACCTTTGTATCACAAACCACAGCTCGGTGAACATGTAAACATGAAATGAAAATATCCTACTTAACAATTTGGTATGGAATTTGTTCACTGCAATTCTTTCTGGTCAGTAGCTCAGTTCTTTTAGCTACCGTTGGCTCCTTGTTTTAAACCATTTTCTCTTCTTTATCAGCTTTTCAAATTTATCAGCTTCAACCGAACCATGAACCAGTTGTCAACAACCATGTCAAGATGTGCCAAAGATATTCTTGGCTTTGCAATTATGTTTTTCATCATCTTCTTAGCCTATGCTCAGCTAGCTTACCTTGTGTTTGGGACACAAGTTAATGACTTCAGTACCTTCCAGGATAGTGTGTAAGTAGAATGAACTCTTTGTTAATATATTATAATTTAGATTTCTAAATTTTGGTTGGTGCAAAAATTCAAAACACAATCACAGTTCATTAAACTGGAGAAAATAAAAGAAGAACATATAGGTCGCCCTCAACTTACGAAAGTTCATTTAGTGACTGTTCAAAGTTACAACAGCATTGGAAAAAAAGTGACTCATGACCATTTTTCACACTTACAACTATTGTATCTCCATGATCACGTGATTAAAATTGGGATACTTGGCAACAGCCTCATATTTATGACGGTTGCATTGTCCCAGGGCCACGTAATCCCTTTTTGCAACCTTCTGACAATGGGGAACTCAGATTCACTTAACAGTTGTGTTACTAACTTAATAACTGCAGTGATTCACTTAACAACTGTGGCAAGAAAGGTAGTAAAATGGGCCAAAATTCGCTTAACAACTGCCTCACTCAGCAACAGAAATTTTGCGCTCAGTTATGGTCGTAAGTCAAGGAATTATCTGTAATACACTATATGCATCCTAGAAGACAGGCATGGTGAAATCATGCTTCCTTGGTCCCATCACAAGGCATTACTTAGTAGATAGGAGATAAAGCATGCCCACGCTATCACAGGTTATGAGAAGGGCAGAGGTGATGGGGCGGGGGGAAGCAGTTTCTCAAATAACCAGTCCTATGCCATAAGAGCTTAGTGGACAACAATCAGAAACCTGAATTATACCCTGATGTTTGCTGGTAACCAGCACAGTTCACCCAACAGATGTGTTATCTGGGCACCCTGAGGCATGCTTGCAACTCTTTATACTGCTGATTTGGAAACATCTGTAGCTTTTGAGAACTCTCCAAGGTCAGCCAAATGGAGAGTACATGTCAACAGTCTTCAATCAAAGGATTAAACTGTAAGATAATGTGATTCAAAAGCTGTTAAGTGATTTAGTAAATGTCTTACAGACTTAAAATTTTGTCTGATTCAGTGGATTACCTTGGGGATATTATTTACATATGTACATCCCAATCATATTGCAAGGTGGAAAAAAAAACAGTAAGAAAGACTGTTTTTTTTCCACCTTGCAGTATGATTGGGATGTACAATCGGAGAGATGAAAAGACATGAGATATAAAAATGAAAATCAACAGCACTGTATATTTGCAAATCCTCCTTGATTTCACTATATCCATACACTATTCCAACCTTTGTCCTTTGGACCAGAGGTCCCCAACCTTTCGGGCACTGGGGACCGGTTGCGTGGAGAGAGGTTTTTCTGCGGACCGGAAGGTGCGTGGTTTTGTGTGCTACCTGCATCCCGCGGATGGGGCTTTGCTTGTTTGTGCGGATCGGTTGCTGGCATGCCATGGACCAGTACTGATCCATGGACTGGGGGTTGGGGACCCCTGCCTTAGATTATCCCTTCATCAGCATCTTATGAAACCCATCCAACAATAGCTTTATTACTTGATCTTGTGATCATGCAAAATCTGAGTGAAATTCCTTCATCCTGGTCAATCTGAATTGAACCCACTTTCACCCATACATTCTTGAACCTTATTTTGTTTGTTTGTTTTAGCACACACTTCTTCAGTACCCTCTTTCCATTGTATTCAGCTTACTTCAGCCTCTCAGCTACAGAATGCATTCAAACACCTGATTTTGCACTAGAAATATCCTGAAAGATTAAAGTTAATTGGTAAAGAAAATTCCAGTTCCACACAATGCCTTAACTGTTGGCTATACGTGTATTATTCTCTTTAAAGCTTTACTCAGTTCCGCATCCTGCTGGGAGATTTTGACTTTACAGAGGTTGAAGAAGCTAACAGAATTTTAGGACCAGTTTATTTCACTTCATTTGTGTTCTTTATGCTCTTCATTCTTTTGGTATGTAGCTTTTTTTTATTCCTTGACATTTTCGTTGCTGGTCATCTTTTCAAAGTGAAGTTTATTTTGCATTATTATTTTTCAGTATAACTAATACCAGTTTTATGCTATGTATCTGTGTATCAGAAGAACAAAAAAAAAAATGACTAAATCTCCCCAGAGTCTCTTCCAAATCATTACTGTGTAATGGGAGAATCTCACTACTGCATTACTATATTAAAAAGTGGGCAGGTTTCACAAACATCAAATCAAAAATCAAAAAGGTGAAGATAACTTGCCTCAGCCAACTTGCCATGGGACAATTTGCCACGGAACAAGAGTTACAGTAATATCGAAGAAAGGATAGAACAGAATCAATAAAAAAAGGTTGCCAAAGGAGGGACAAAATGGAATATGAATGACAATGTCAGAGCGTGCACAGTCTTATTGCGCTGAGGAGTAAATACAGTAAACAGTGGTTTGTATTAAATGGTGGTTTATCATACACTATCTACAATATACACCAGGAACAATATGTTGTTCGTCCATCAATTTCGATGAAGACCTTGACATCTTGTGGGTTATGGGCCATCAACAATGTGTCTGTAGGTGGCTAATAAGACCGATGTTAGCATGGAATGTTCTGCCACATACTGAACAGGAATGTAGACACTGTTACTTCAGCATTTACAGTTCTGGCTTTGCGGAGTGCTCGCTTCTCTTGTGCCAAGATTGTCCTTCTATGTTCATATGTCTGGCAACCCTGGTACACCAAGGTGCGCCATGTCGGTCGATCATGCGCCAAAAGTTCCCAAGTTCCCAATATACACATACGTGGTAATACAACAAATTCCAACGCACAGCAAATACAGCAGGAAAACGGACGAGTGAGAGAGATACTCTAGCAAAAGCCTTCCCTTTTAGGCTCTTAAAGGGATACAGACACAGACCCTGCTGAGTAATTCTTATCATTGCATCATCCACTTTATGTTACATTACATCATTACATAAGTGGTTTAGTTATTAAATTATTACCTTGAAAAAAAGTAAAATAATTTTTTAATTAGTTTGAATAATTAAATGGAATTGTTGAATTGTCTTGTGCCAAGTTGCCCCACGGTGAGTTGGCCATGGCGAATTATCCTGTGGTGAACTAGCCATGACGAATTGGCTGTGGCGAATTGTCCCATTCTGTCTCTGATCACCTGCCAAGTTCCTGTCAAAATCAAAACCAACATGGTTCACATTGGGCATTCATGGAATGCTGGCCTAAAGTCTCACAGATGTCCGGTGCTAGCAAGTGATGAAGCTGCTTCATTTTCTGAATATATGAATAGGCATTAACACAAGTGGCAATGTAATATCTACTTTTCATGAGACCTAAGAAGTGGTGGTATTCAGCCGGTTTGCACCACTTCAGTAGAACCTGTAGCTAATTTTTTGTTGCCCAGGCCCAGAATGGACTTCCGGAAGCGGCATCCACACAGAGAACTGGTTGTTCACATATTTGAATCCCACCACTGGACCTAAGGGTGTGTCCTGCTATATTTCCTTCTGCATTGTCCACATGCCGCATAAATGATTTAATTTTTGTTTTTTCTAATGACTACTCTGGTAAGATACATTAAATCAGTTTAAATGGACCAGAAAAATATTGTTTTATGCTTGCAGTTGCCAATCTTAATTGCTAGAGATATTGAAAAATAATTCTGTTTGTACTGGGATCCTTGGTCAGCATTTTTGTTTTTTAAAAAAATATTTCTAAAATGCTTTTCTTAAACAGAACATGTTTTTGGCCATCATCAACGACACATATTCAGAAGTCAAAACTGATATGATACAGCAGAAGTCGGAAATGGAACTTTCAGATCTTATTAAAAAGGTAATCTAGAACTCACAGTCTCCCGGTGACTGGCTCCAGATCACGCAGCTGGCTTTCAGTGTTAAGGCAGGACTTGAACTCATTAGTGTTTAGCGTGTTGACTCTATTAAAATCAGGGCTTATGATGCCTGGTTCGATCACAGAATAGTATAATAATAATAATAATAATAATAATAATAATAATAGTAATAATAATAATGATGATGATGATGATGTTGGAAGGGACCTTGGAGGTCATCGAGTCCAACCCCCTGCTCAGGCAGGAACTCTACACCATTTCAGACAAATGGCTGTCCAGTCTCTTCTTAAAAACTTCCAGTGTTGGAGCATTCACCACTTCTGGAGGCAGGTTGTTCCGCTGGTTAATTGTTCTAACTGTCAGGAAGTTTCTCCTTAGTTCTAGGTTGCTTCTCTCCTTGATCAGTTTCCATCCGTTGCTTCTTGTCCTGCCTTCAGGCGCCTTGGAGAATAGTTTGACTCCCTCTTCTTTGTGGCAGCCCCTGAGATATTGGAACACTGCTATCATGTCCCCCCTTGTCCTTCTCTTCATTAAACTAGACATACCCAATTCCAGCAACCGTTCCTTATACGTTTTAGCCTCCAGTCCAGTTGTTTTGTTCTGTTGTAACAAATTGTTTACAATTCCATTTTTGACCGGACTGGAGTAACCCCCTGATCAAGATAATGGGTCTAAGAAATTTAAATAACAGAATAAGATGATAAATGAGTTGTTTCCATCTGGTAGTGGGAGGTTGGGGAGGAAATATTTTAAAATGGAAGAGACTAGACTATCTTCCTGATACAGTCTGTTGCTATCAGAACCTCAGCTAACAATCCGCTAACATACCTGTATATAACAGAATCTGTGCATGCCTTATAACTGTTTTTCAAACTTGTCAACTTTAAGATGTGTGGACTTCAACTCCCAGAATTCCCCAGTTGACTAGGGAATTCTTGGTGTTCAATCTACACATCTTAAAGTTCTCAAGGTTGAAAAACATTGATATAGAAGTTTTAAGGATAATCAGTAAATCAGTTATTTTAACAAGTACTTCTAAATCATCCAAATAGATATTACACTATGCAAGTCTACAACTGGTAAGCCATTAGCTTCCATTGGGAACTTCAAGGCACTTCATTGCATTGCTTGCCTAACAGTTGTATCCACATAAGGAATATTTTGCTCTCCTTTTTCAGGGATACACCAAAGCCATGGTGAAATTAAAATTGAAAAAAACACCAGTCGATGACATTTCGGAGAGTCTGCGCCAATGTGGAGGCAAATTAAATTTTGATGAACTGCGGCAAAACCTAAAGGGGTAACTTTGCACCGTTTTTTTTCTTTTGTACAGAGATTAAATAACAAATAAATGATCACACAGTTCCTTTCAGAAGTAGCACTGTTTTCTGCAGCTCAACAATGGAGTAAAGAAATAGTAAGCCCAGGGATTAGATAAGAAAAAAGAAAGAAAATATAGTTTACCATGCCACCGTTTGCAATTTCTCTCCATATCTTTCTGGCCTTGCAAACTAGTCTTCTTTGTATCATATCCATTGCCTTTTGTTCCTTTAATTTCTCACATTTCATTTTCAGATTCTCATCAATTCTGTCAAATCATAGTTTCTTTGGTCTTTTCCTTCCTATCAGCATATTCACCTCCCTTTATGTTGGTGAATGGATCCTTATTTACTCCTGATTTACTCTTTCTGTAAGTCAGACTATCTCAATGAATTTCTTTATATCATCTCATATGAAAATACCCATCCATTCTTCTAATCACAAGCATTTCTTATACAGTAGGTATCCATAAAACATACTTTACTTCCATCATATAGCACTGTTATCTCAATAAACTAAGTTACAAGAAAGTGTCTGTCTCCTCGTATATTTACTGGCTTAAAGTAAAGATATGTTTACTTCACAATAGTTCTTTCTTCAAGGCATACTTTTCATACAGAGTAACACCTCTGATTGCATTTAGTGACCCTGCTAATTATATGACAGTTCTCCAAAACAATAATATAATTAAGTTGCTGAATACAGAATGACTCTGTGAAGGCCCCTTATTTATTGCTCGCACCAGAAAATAATTTTTAACCTAAAAGATTTAAAGCAATCATATTTAAAAAACTAGCCTTTACTTCCAGAAAGGGACGTACTGATGCTGAGATTGAAGCCATCTTTACAAAGTATGACCAAGATGGAGATCAAGAATTGACTGAGTTGGAGCATCAGCAAATGAGAGATGATTTAGAGAAAGAGAGGGTGAGCTTTACATTGGATGGCGTGGTCTGCATCCTTGAAAAATGGGGGAGGTTATTTGTTAGCCTGCACTGCTATTGTCCCAGAAAGAAATCTTTATGTCTATGAATGCAGTAAAGAATTCTGGAATTCCATTTCTTGGGAAATTTGCTTTTTGATTTCAGAGAAGCACTTTTACCTAATTCTGTTTACTAACATTGTGCAATCTCATTGCTGGTGAAGATCTCTGGCTGCTGAGTGTTGATTGATGAGGCAACAAAATAGCATACAGGTAGTCCTCGACTTATGAACACAATTGAGCCCAACATTTCTGTTGTTAAGTGAAACATTTGTTAAGTCAGTTTGCCCCATTTTACGACCTTGCTTGCCACAACTGTGAATCACTACAGTTGATAAGTTAGTAACCTGGTAGCTAAGTGAAACTGGCTTCCCCATTGACTTTGCTTGTCAGAAGATTGCAAAAGGGGATCCTTTGGGACACAGCAACAGTCATTAAGTATGAACCGGTTGCCAAGCCTCTGAATTTTGACCGTGTGGTCATGGGGATGCTTCAAAGGTCATAACAAAAATGGTTGTAAGTCACTTTTTTCAGTGCTGTTGTAACTTTGAACAGTAGTAGCTAAATGAACTGTTGTAAGTTGAGGACTAACGGTATTGGTTTTGGTTAGGAAATGTTTTGCTCATCCTGAATTGCAGTAGGTTGGGTTGGGCAATCTACTATTTACTTTGAAAGAACCACAAAAATATTCTCAGTGGGTCAAGCAGGTTTCCATTGCCTGCGAATAGGACACACTGATTGTAGGAGTAAGAAAGAGTCAAATTCTAACAGTTGTGTTTGTTTTCACTAAGGAGGACTTAGAGCTAGACAGAAGTTCTCTAAACCGTCCACTCAGTGGCCGTAGCTTTCCACGAAGCCTTGATGATTCGGAAGAGGACGATGACGACGACAGTGGACACAGCTCCAGAAGAAGAGGCAGCAGCTCAAGTGGCGTTTCATATGAAGAGTTTCAAGTGTTCGTGTTACAGTTTTTTTCCTGTCAAAGCTCATATCTGTATTAATTCTAAAGTACAGAATCATGTCAAGAACTCATGAAACCTAATTATCTTTCCACACAAATCTGATTTCCAATTGCACCCGGCTGAAAGCAGCTCTCCAGGATAGATCAGAGGCTATTTCAGACTTTCTTATCCAAGAGCCCACTAGACTCATGAACATGGATGTTCCTAACGAAAGTCGTAGATGAAATATTATTTTCTCATGAATGAAGGCAAATATACGTGTCCCAGGATAATGCGGCAGGATCCAATCTGGGTCAGTCACCGGAACCAGAGTTTTTATCTTCCGAGCTTTCGGATTCATGCGGGAACGCATCCTCAGAGAAATTTTCTCTAGCAGAGTGTGTGCTTTGGGCTGTTCTCTGTGTGGGATTTACAACAGGCACTCTATAAATACCGCACACAGTAATCCAAACCACATACTCTACTAGAGAGAAATTCCCTGAGGGTGGGCTTTGGTTCCGCTGACTGACCCAGATTGGATCCTGAAAGATTATTTTAACTGTTATTCTACCCATCTTTGGGACAGAGATTTGAAAGAGAATGTGTTGTCCATACTGTTCTTCAAACCCTAACTGTATCCAAATGCATTTTCCATTCAGCTTGGTCCGTCGAGTGGATCGCATGGAACATTCCATAGGCAGCATTGTATCTAAGATTGATGCTGTCATAGTCAAGCTGGAAACTATGGAGAGAGTTAAACTGAAGAGGAAAGAGGTGCTGGGCAGACTGCTCGATGGAGTTGCAGAGGTAAATTTACTTAAAGCTGGCAAAACATTCAGTATTTATTTTGCAAACGTCGCTATTTTGTGTTTAATTTCTTCAGATGAAAGGATGTTGCTACTGGATTGTTTACCACATAGTCACTGTCAACTCTTAGCGAGCACGCAGGTAGATTTTCGTCACGATAATCTGTCTCTAAACTGAGCTTTCAGATCTTACAGTGGGGCACCCATCCCCATTGTAAATGAATCCATAGATTTCACAAAAATCAATTAATAATAATAATAACAACAACAACAGAGTTGGAAGAGACCTTGGAGGTCTTCTAGTCTAACCTCCTACTCAGGCAGGAAACCCTGTTGAGGAGAAATGGAGAGGTTTCCATGCTGAGCCATGCTGGCTCAGGAATTCTGGGAGTTGAAGTCCACGAGTCATAAAAGAGCCAAGGTTGCCTACCTCTGGCCTACACCATTTCAGACAATTGGCTGTCCAGTCTCTTCTTGAAAACTTCCAGTGTTGGAGCATTCACAACTTGTGGAGGCAGGTTGTTCCACTGATTGATTGTTCTAATGGTCAGGAATTAAAAGCAGGGTATTTTATCAGAATTATACCATTCTGGCTACAGATAGTCCTTGACTTACAACCATTCATTTACCGACTGAAGTTAAAACGGCACTGAAAAAAAGTGACTTAGAACTGATCCTCGATAACTGTTATAGCATCCCCAAGTCAAATGATCAAAATTTGGGCACTTGATTTGTTGTTAGTTGCGAAGTCGTGTCCGACCCATCCTGACTCCATGGACAACGTTCCTCCAGGCCTTCCTGTCCTCTACCATCTTCTGGAGTCCATTTAAGCTCACGCCTACTGCTTCAGTGACTCCATCCAGCCACCTCCTTCTCTGTCGTCCCCTTCTTCTATTGCCCTCAATCTTTCCCAGCATCAGGCTCTTCTCCAGTGAGTCCTTCCTTCTCATTAGGTAGCCACAGTACTTGAGTTTCAACTTCAGGATCTGGCTTTCTAAAGCAAGGCTTTTCAACCAGTGGTACGGGTATCACCTGTGGTACATTGGCACCTGGCAGATGGTACACGAGCATGCTAGAAAAGTAGTGGGGGAAGGGAATGAGCTGAACTGCTGGTAGCACCGCACAAGCCTGAGTGAGAGATGGCTGGAGTTGCAGGGCTGTCAGGGCTCAGCGGAAGCGCCAAGCTTCAGCTGGAGCTTGGCGCTGATCCTGGCGCTTCTGAGCCCAGAAGCGCTGATCAGCTGGAATGTTGCAGCATCTCCAGGGTCTTATGATTTACATTCAGATGCTTGGCAACTGGTTCATATTTATGACAGTCACAGAGTCCTAGGGTCATGTGAAGTGACCAAAACCTGCTGCAACCACCCAGCAGATGTGTGGGGGGGGGAAATAAAAACCAAACATCCCCCCCCCACTCCCACTGCCAATCCTCAACAGAAATGCTCACAACAATGAAAACCTTGGACAGGAGGAAGAGCGCCGCCGGGCAGGCCGGCAGGTGTCTTGCTTGGCTGTGGCTTGGGGGACACTTTTTTCAATGCTATTGTAACTTCAAACAGTCACTAAGCGAATTGTTGTAAGTCGAGGACTACCTGTACTTTATCACTTTTTTCCCTTTTTTGGGGGGGGTCATCAAGTTTTTGACACCTTGCTAGGTGACTGGTGGTATTCGGATGTTGCCATATCCTAAAAGTGGTACAATGGGTGAAAAGCCCTGACTTAAATTATTAAAAATAATTTTAAAATGTGTTTATACCTTTGCACTTAAAAGAGAGTTTTAGCCATTTGAGCATGATCAGAGATTGTGGTATTTCTGCTTAGGATGAAAGGCTGGGTTGTGACAACGACGCGCGCAGAGATCAGATGGAGAGACTGGTACGAGAAGAAGTGGAACACTGGGAATCGGATGATGCTGCATCCCAAGTAAGCCATCGAATGGGAACCCCGGTGGGATTCAACAGCCACGGACGGACCAGGAATCCCCGCCCTTCTTCCTCACAGTCCACAGAAGGCATTGATGGAGGAGGAGGAGGAGGAGGCGGCAATAGAGGGAGCAACATCCATGTCTAGTAGCATTTGTATTTGCTGAAACTATTTTCCACAAATCATGAGTTAACTAAAGGACAAGATGCCTTGGGACAGGGCTGTGATTTTATAGGGTAACATGTAGGAAACTATCATGTTGTGATCTGGTCTGGCTTTTAAAAACCAGAGCTTCTTGTTTAAATGCCCTTGGTTTCCTTTCCAACTGCTTTCATTAAAAAGGGGCACACTTCTCGACCTGCTAAGGAGAAAACAGGTAAGCTAGTAAATTTATTTTCCAGTTCTAGAACTTAAGGTGAGAGTGCTTTGCACATTTACCTGGCAGTAAGACATATTGGAACCTGAGACGTACTTCCTAAAAAAAATGTACATCAATTACACTATAAGTAGCTGTTTCATATGGAGTAATCAAGTCTATATGATTTTCTCTTTCCTTTTTTAATTGAAACAAGCAGTCTGTAATACATTCTCCACAAAATAATACATACCAAAGTAATATCAGTGTTTGGCTGCATGAATAACTTATCACCATTTCAGTATGATAAGATTTGTCTTTTAATCTTTAGGATTTAAGCTTACCGAAAAGGAATTCCTATTCTGTCAAAGCCTATTTCACATGGTTATTGGGAGGATAACCTACATTATTCTCAAAGCTCCCTTGAGAAAAAATGTACGACACAATTTAGCAACATTAATCATCTCACAGATGCACGATTATAGGAAAAAATTTCCCATAATAGTATATTGTTCTGAACGGGCCACTTACAATTGTCCTTGTAAAATTAGGTTCTGGAAAAAGTGTTCTCGGGAGCATAGTCTTCATAAGCCCATAAAAACAGGGACCTGATTAAATATATTCTGAAAGCATTTATGAAAATAATTTCAGTAAAAAATAAGTAAATAAAAGCACTAAGTTAAATAAGCTGTTCTAAAAAAAACTGGACAGCAAAACAAACAGTATTTAATGGGGGAGCTTCTGCAAGATTTATATTCTTTTATTTCATCACTTATAAGTCAAAACTAGAGAGGTTGATGGATGGTGTAGAACAGTGGTTCTTAACCTTTTTGAACGAATCGCCCCCTTGAGCCAATAAGGAAGTTGTCATCGCCCCCCTCCCCCAACATAACCTCTCAATCACAACATAGGAAATAATTCTTCAATTTATGCAAACACTTTTTTTGTTTTCCTTAAAATTGTCATCAGGACATATTGATGCAAATAATTTATTTCCAGTCTTTTTCCCATATCTCAACTGTGTGAAAAATTTTGGTGCCACCCGTCACTTTATTCCCAAACTTCGTGATACATGTATTTCATTATTATCTTATTTATTCAAGACACTTAAATGTAATGACCACTGAAAACACAATTCAATCCACTAATAGCGAGTGATCTGATGTTTTTGTACGACAGATATACAGCGATTCACTGTACGAAAAAGTCTCAAAAGTATCCCCAAAACTTCTCGCTCCATCGCCCCCATATTGCCCCATTTTTGTTCCTTTGCCCCCACATCGCCCCTTTTCATTCCATCGCCCCCCTGAAAAATGAAATCGTCCTCTGGGGGGCGATATCACCCAGGTTAAGAACCACTGGTGTAGAAGACGTGCAGGTCAGATTGAGATGTAGAAGAATTGCATGTAATATATTTCAAAATGTGACGTGCACATATGACATCTGATGATTAGATTGCCTCTGGCAGTGGGAACCAGGTATGTTCTATACCAGAGGTCTCCAAATTTGGCAACGTTAAGGCTTGTGGACTTCAACTCCCAGAATTCCCCCGGGAAGTTGAAGTCCACAAGCCTTAAAGTTGCTAACTTTGAAACCCCTGTTCTATACTGCAGATCAGGGGTCTTCAAACTTGGCCCTTTTATGACTCGTGGACTTCAACTCCCAGAATTCCTCAGCCTGGCTGAGGAATTCTGGGAGTTGAAGTCCGCGAGTCATAAAAGGGCCAAGTTTGAAGACCCCTGCTGTAGATGCTTCATCTTTTGTTGTTCTAGTGTTCATGGCAGGAAGGGAAAGGGCATTCCTTACTCAAAACAGTGCCAAGCATAGCTTTGTAAAACACTTGTGTCTTTTAACTCCTGAATCACCCATGCTTTGGGTATTGAGGTAGAGTGGGAAACTGTTCGCATGGCTTACTATGCTTGTTTTTAAGATACAGTATATCTTCCTGTTCTCTTTAACAACCCTCACAACAATAGAGTTTCACATAAAGGAATACTATGAAAACCAAAGGTTTGCATTCATATCGTAATAGCTTACATTTCTGTAACATGTTGTTACTTCATGACAAACTTCATTTTGAAGTGCATTAAGATTTCATGGGATAGCCATGTCTGTTGACAATGTACACATACATTTAAAGTATGACAGCAAAGAAGCTTGAGTATCTGCTATTTTGCACACTGTATATGTATATATGTGTGTGTGTGTGTTTTCTGAGGTTTTCGCGGGTGTTTGTATGTAGGTCTTTGGTTGCTCGGGTTCTCTCCCAAGTAAAATTGGAAGTGTCTTGGCGACGTTTCGACGAAGTCCCATTCGTCATCTTCAGGCTGGTGTTTTCATCTTCGTGCTTCGAGGAGCATTGCTCCTCGAAGCACGAAGCTGAAAACACCAGCCTGAAGATGACGAATGGGACTTCGTCAAAACGTCGCCAAGATACTTCCAATTTTACGCGGGAGAGAACCCGAGCAACCAAAGACCTACATATATATATATATATATATATATATAATATATATATATGTATATATGTATGTATGTATGTATGTATGTATGTATGTATGTATATGTATATGTATGTGTATATGTGTATATATATATATATATATATATATATATATATATATATATATATATATATATATACACACACACACACACACACACGCTTCCAAAGTGCCAATATATTTCTAAGATAATGTTGCCTTAGAAAGGAATATAAATGTTAATTTTGAACATTTCACATAATGGTAAAAATGTACCAGTGAACAACTTCCTGACCAATTTTATGTATTTTGAAGTTGTTTGTGGAGAGGGGGAAGTGGGCTTTGCATTCATTTCAAAGAATGGATATTTTTTACTCTGCTCTTAAGTGCCATCCAACTAACTGTTTGTGAAATAAAAGATTTATAATCATGTATTTTTATTTGTGGTCATAACTGTGGTCATGTGACTGGAGGAAGGATGATTGTTGGAACTTCAAATCCAGGTCATAAGTAACCCACGGGTAAGTCCATCAGAACTTTTAACAGTCACTAAGCAGTCAGTTGTAAGTTGAGGACTCTCTGTATAGTATTTCCCCAGGCCTGGTTCTACCACAAGGAAGCAAAATATATTCTGGAGCTCATAGAACAGAGGCAGAGCTGAATTAAAATTAAATCATGATTTAAAATGTAAATTTAATCATGAATTAAATCACAGCCGGAGCTAAATTAACAGATTAAACGGAAACCTAGCCCTGCATGAGAAAAAAAAAAATCCATTGAGCATTTAAAACAACAGAGATTTTTCACTCTTCACATCGTAAAAGGCACTCGAGACACACCAAAGCCTAAACACAAAAAGCAGAATTAATCACCCAGATCAACGTAGAGGCTTTGCACTTTAAAATGCATCCTGAAACTCACTATCAGCAAAATACAAAGCAAAATGTAAAATGTTTTTAAAAAAAAAAAAAAAAAAAAACCAACCAAACAAACAGTTTTATTTTCAAGTTCAGAGCCCAGAACAAAACTTAAAATGGGTATGGCTCCAAGGTCGGAATACTCTGCAAAATACTTTGCACATCCCTAATTCAATGAATAAAATGAATTATTACTATTATAGGGCTTGTCTTCACATTCCATTTACCACTAATACCTTGATACTTGATTTTAAGGGACACACATCTTTATGACATTCTCTGTTGTTGAGACAATCTAATTATCTTCAATTGTCTCAAGTTATGTGGCATTTTTCCTTTCCCAATATAAATCTTAAATATAGAGATTCTGTAGTGCCTCATTAATGATACCAACAATACAGCCAGGAGTCAACATCTGCCCTGCTCCTTTTGGCCAATTAAGTCTGCTATGGGAAAACCATCTTCCCATCCAGTTGGCCTCTGTGTCTGTTTTTTGGACTGCAAGAGATCAGATATCTGGCTTGTGTAGCATAGACACCTCAGATGGAATTCTGAGAGGCTTCATGTTCTCTTTTACTTTTCATGCAAAACGATATACTTAAGCTGGGCCTCAGTTTGAAGACAATAGCTGTACAACAATTGCAATTCCATAATTATTACTAAATATGAATCAGAAAGGTATTTAAAGAACTGTATAACCATATGTTACAAGAACTAAGTGTTTATTATAAAAGTACAATGCTGCATTAAGTAAGGATAGCCTCTTGCTAAGTATACTTCTTTAGAAATTTCAATTTCAGATATGCAAATGTGAGAAAAATAATTGTCATGCATATAAGCGCAACGTGATTCTGCCACAAGTCCCAAGCAGTTGTGCCAATGCCTTGCATTGTCAAATAGTCTTCTCCAGTGCATCTACAAACATGGGTTAAAAAAAAATTGTATTAGAACAATGCAATTCTTAATTTACCTTTTTATTTATTTATTGCTGTAAATTCATACAGATAGTCTTCTGCTTATGACCATAATACAGCCAGCCCATAATTTTAGAACCTTTTTCATGACAGTCATTAAGCAAACACAGCATTCATAAAGTGAAAGCCACACCCGTTAAGAGAACAATCGTTAAGCAATCTCATTGTTCCCTATGGCAGGTTTTGGATGAAAACCTGAAACGAATAGCAAGTTTTTGGCAAAAACATCATATTTTTAAATTTTAAGTTTTGGCGAATAGCAATGAAACATGATAAGAATGCTTCCCAGGTTGTTTTCATGTGTGCTTGCTTTGCTGTTCTGGAAGCCCCAGCAGACGTGTGGTGCATATACACCTTCAGATTGAACTGTCAAAAACATCAGCCTCCACAAGGATGCAGCAACTTTAAGGAACAGTGCTTTTGCTACAATATGCTTTGCAAGCCACCCTTCCAAATGTTAAGTTGGAAAAAGTTCCATATCTTTTTAACTAGTGCAGCCCTGAATATTTTTTTTTTAAAAAAGCAGGAGTAATAATTAAATAAACTTGGGCACTGTTGTTTGTTGTACTTTTCTAGATGGTGCAACAATTTGCCAGGTGGCAGATGCTTACACTGTAAATGCAGTAGTAGAAACACATGTTACGTTGACCCCTTCTGGGGTTTCATTGCAAAATCTGAGTCCAGTAAATTCGTTGATTTGCAAAGCCTTTGAAAAACAGACAGATAATGGAATTACTTGCTTATATTATCTGAAAGGTTTCCCGCGCAGTTGAACCTAAAAGGCAACAAAATGACAGAAATGAGAGTGCTTTGCTAAAATTAAAGCAACATCAGAATTTTTTAATTCTTAATAGGTAGGAATATGTTGATGTCCTGTTAAGTTGTTGCTCTAATTAAATTATTGTGCTCTCCCATGTAGTATCCAGCTCAAACTTATAAGTTGACAACAATTTTTGGATGAGCTGTAGAAGTCACATATAAAGAATAAGATGAAGACTCACTTCAATAGATTCTAGCTCCCCTTCACATTTCTAAGGGAATCTATGGAGACACAGGATTTCCTGCAGGCAGTATAGGTAGTCCTCGACTTACGATCCTAAAATTTTTGTTGCTAAATAAGACATTTGTTTTCAAGTGAGTTTTGCCCTATTTTATAACCTTTCTTGGCACAGTTTAAGCGAATCACTGCAGATAAGTTAGTAACATGGTTATTAAGTGAATCTGGCTTCCCCATTGACTTGCTTGTCAGAAGATCACAAAAGTTGATCAGTCACCCTGGGACGTTGCAACCGTCATAAATATGAACCAATTGCCAAGTGCTTGAATTTTGAACACATGATCATGGGGATGCTGCAACAGTCATAAGTGTGAAAAATGGTCTTGTCTTTTTTTTTCAGTGCTGTTGTAACTTTAAACAGTCGCTAAATGAACTATTGTAAGTCGAAGACTATCTGTATCTGGTTACCCTTTTTCTAGCAGGAGGAAAAATTGACTCGTGTCTCGCTTCACCCACTTCTCTCTAGCAGTGGAAATCTTCACTGCCTATTCTAGTTCCCATTGAAAACAGAAATGCTAAGTACACATACATAACACACTAGGCCATAAACTATGGTTTACAAGCCAGAATGGTTCCCACACCAAAGCCAAACCAAATAAAGCCAGATGTTTTAATGTGTGGTGTGAATCCATGCCTCTTTCTAAACCTCTTAAGAGGCACTGCAACAGGGCATCAAAACCGGTAGATCCATCTGGATATTCACCTATAGTCACAGACACTGCCTGTTCAAAAATTACAGAGCTGGAAGTGAACTTTTCAGGCTCCTTGGCACATCTCAAAATCATGGTTGCGCATATGCAGGTTACCCTTAAGCCAGATTTCTGGTATCTTACATTTTTAATGTGTTATGAGCCCAGATTACTTTTTTTTTTGCCACTATGTAGGAGCTACTCATGTAGGATAAAATTGTTTCTTCTAGAGCAGAAATCACACAAAGTTCTCAAAATAAACCACTAGATGTCAACATCAGATTACGAATTATTAGATTTTTTTCCAGTTTGTAACTTCAAAAAATTGCACTTTCTTGTACTTGGCTCTGTAGAAGAAGAACATTTGCTAAAGAGCTTCCATGAAAGTAGTTGGTTCACCACTGTACTGTAAGTCCTTCATTTAATTATAAATATTAGGTTGCTTGAATACACAGCTAACTCACAGGAAACAACAGAAATAGACCAAAAAATATCTATCTGGACAATGGATGGAGTGCAGAACATATTCCACAATCCCTCAAATGGTTCTATAGCAGATGTGTTAGAATTCCTTAGGAGGCAGAATAACAATGAATAATAAAAGAATAAAAACAGAATAACAGGCAGATTAACAATGTTTTCACCAAAGGAGTCTCTTGTGCAAATGTGTAGAATGTGGGCAGTGATGGGATTCAAATATGTGAACAACCGGTTCTTTTCTGTGGATGCTACTTCTGGAAATCCATTCTGGGCCTGGGCAACAAAAAATTAGCTACCGGTTTTGCCAAAGTGGTGCGAACCGGCTGAATCCTACCACTGAATGTGGGAAGTGGTGGCGCCAGTGAAGAGGACAAGCAATAATTACAACAGAAAAGGTGCTTGAATGGTTCTCTAACACTACTGCAACTGCTGCTTCTGGGAAGGGGGGGGGTTGCTTCAAGCAAGACTGTAGGAAAGCACACATGTACACACACACACACACACACACACACACACACACACACACACATTCTCTTTTTAAAAAGGAACAGATCCTCCCCAATCCTGCTTTAAACCAAATACAGAATCTCCTTTTAATGCAGAGGTGGAGAACTAGGGTGCCTTTATGGACTTCAAATGCCAGGATTTCTAAGCCAGCCATGCTGGTTCAGGAATTCTGGGAGTTGAAGTCCACAAGTCATAAAAGGTCCTTAGTCCCCCACCCCTGTTCTAGCATACAGAAAAGAGGACATGTCTGTATGGACAAGGACAACCTTTGGAGAGAAAACATTTGGAGTTCAAACCCCAACATCTTTGGGGATGGCAGAACTTTCATGAATCTCTGGAAACTGCTGAAGGATACTGACATCCTGGAGGCAAGTAAGACAATGGCCTAACTCAGAATATTCCTAAACAGCAACATGTCCACTTTAACTCTAAGTGACCACATGAAGTCGTGCCAAGGAAGAGAAAACCGTTCTCCAGTCAGTTCTACCAACTTGAGAGTTCTTTTTACAAATAGTTAACAAATAATACTAGTAATATTATTATTTACATTTAGGCCATAGCGAGGGATACTGAGGTACTCCAGCCACAATAACGAAGGTGTAATGGTTGTGAGATTTACCAGCACACCAGAAAAAACCTGCAAGAAAAAAAGGGGTAAGAGACATCTGTTATAGCATAGAATTTTGTCCAGAGCTTTCACATTTATATCCAGGATTCAATCATCAATGATTACCATTGCACATACAGTATACAGGTAGATTTGTGACTTTCACCTTTCCTGAGAAGCAAAGTTCCTGCAATTCGTTTATTTATGATTCATATTTTAGGCCTATTTTGAAAGAATATTGTCTTTGGAAACGCACAAGCTCTCTCTTACCAGCAAATTGAAAGTCACTGGCCTTTCTGCACTACCAATTCGTAGCAGTTGCCACTCATCCCTGGCCTGCCTCTATTGCCCCTGATCCCGATCACACCTGATCACTTGACTTCCTTCCAAACTACTGAATGATATAGCCTAAGAGATTTTGTATACTATGAAGATACCTTTGGAGGGTGGCAGAATAAAAGTGAAGAACTAACAGCTAAAGATGAGTTTTGCCTGTCTTATTCATAGATGGGAGATGAAAGTAGTGTCATGGGAACATGGCAAAAAAGAGGCTGCCCAGACACATTTATATCATGATTAGGTGCAATCATATGGATTTTAGTGCCTTTCATGCTCCAAAACCTGTGTTTATCTGAATGGGGAAATTGGAAGGAAGAAGGAAAGAAGGAAGAATGGAAAACAATTTGTATTTCTAATTCTAAAACAACTAAAGAACCTGAGTTGCTTCCAGACAGGCAAAATATGTGTCAAGTTTCATGTATACAGGCTTTCCTCAGTTGATAACCCTGTTAGAAAACTAGAAAAATCAATGAAGTGTGTTATTATACTTTTAAGACTGAACCTTTTATGACTATGGTTAATTTAGTCTATATTAAGCTAATCAGATTCATGATCTTATCCTGTGTTACAGATATACATATCTGAGGTAAGTTACTCAGAATACTATCTCATGCATATTATGTGGCCTGATTTCCTTAGGGCTAAGGATATGGTCTAAGATTCCCTTTGGCTACTTTTTGCCAACCTGGAGAATGATCTAGTTGATTAGAGAGTTCTGGGAGCTGATGTCTACATATTTGAGGGGAAAAAAACAAACCATTTAAGCTAGGTCATAATTAGCTTGGACCTCAAATGCTCCAAGAACCCCAGTAATTTTTATTTATTATGGGACTCTTACGTTAACTGTGCAATCAGGAACTTTTTAATTCCCGATAATACTTTCCTATATATATCTTCCCTGCAGAAAACAGAATTTAGGTATATTTCTAAGTTAGGACTGCGGCCTGTTTGGACTCTGCCCAATTGGTAAGGTCTAACCATTGTAGAAAAAAAACAATGGGAAGCTTCAAAGAGCATTTTGGGTTGCATAGGTTCGTGGAGATGGAGATGAAGATCGAGATGGACATGAAGATGAAGTTGGAGACAGGAGGAGAGAGGGGGAGATTGGAATGCATATTGTGATTTCACATAGGACAGGAAAGGCTGCAAATTCTAATGGACACTAAATGTGAAGCAGAATGCATTGAAGCTGCCATTCCCCTAATTTCCGTTCAGCATGGCCAGTGTGTTAGATGAGTGCCAGTGTGTTAGGTGAGAACCAATCCAGACACACAAATATACAGTACATGATAACACATTGTGTGGTACCTAAATAATAGATTTTAGAGAGAATATATCTCTTGCTAAAAAAAGGAGTCCCTGCAGATTTTATTCCGCTAGTCTTTGCCAACTATAAGGAGCAGTATTCATCTACGTTTCAAAGCCATTGAGTCAGCACTGTCTAAAGACTTTTCCATGGTCATGTGGCCAGCATGCTGTCACAAAGCACTGTTATCTCCCCACTGAAGTAGCACCTACAGTATTTATCTACTTGCATGTATATGCTTTCGAGCTGCTAGAGCTGGGGTGAGGACGGGAGCTCACTCCGTCGCGTGGAGCTTGGGTCTCTAACCTGGGCTGCTGGCGTTCCATCCGACAAGCCCAGCGTCTTAACCACTGAGCCATCATGCTGTCTCCTGTTCACCAAATAGTAATTAACTCCTAATAACTCTTTATCTCCTAATAAGGGAGGAGCCAGTGTGTGGAGTGGCTCACCAAAAGAGCTTCAGGCATCAACTGTGTTTTTTCTCTAACATATGAGGGTCAGTCAACCTTTTTAGATGATGGTTTAGCTGGGATCACTTCTGAGGCCAATAAAGCAGCTAATATACTGTATTTCTGGGCTCTAAACTCAGTGATATTTTCAAGCTCCTTCTTTAAACTGAAATATGTTGAAATGTGGCAAGCCAGACCTGCTGTCTTCGGCAACCCTCTGGAACAATGGGGCCAAGGACAATATCATTCCACAAATTTGTCCTTTAGCAGTGATGTCATGACAATGTATCACAGGGAATTTACTGGGCTTATTACGGCCATTTGTCCTGCTGAAAGGATCTCAGGGACCCTTTTCTAAATTCCTGTCCTGACTACACCCCTGGTTGACCCAGCACTGGCACCTACCACTATTACAAATAAAACACGCATAGGAATCCATTCTTCCAGTTCTGATTCTGATTCATAGAGGAATTTGCCAGCATTTAGGCCAATGAAGGGAATGTCAAATCCTAGCTTTTTAAAGATAGGCTAGCTACAAATAACAAATAAATATGAAAAGGCAACACTCACAATCATAAAAACAAAGCAAATATTTATGAGGAGGTTCGCAACCGATGTGACGTTTTGTCCTGTTGCAACTGCCATAGCAAGAGAACTAGAGGCATATGCAATTAATATAATAGTAAACATCATGATAAAGAAAGACACCAAAGCTGGCTTGAAACCTGCAAGGAATTAATAAATACACATATACATAAGTTAGGTGTATACCAATCCACATACACACTTAGTATCAACCTTAACAGAGTTGTATACAGGTTCAATATTATAATGGCATTGAAAAAAGTGACTTATCGCCGTTTTTCACACTTAATGATCACTGCAGCATCTCCACAGTCAATGTGAACAAAATTCGGGTGTTTGGCAACTAGCATGTATTTATGAGGGTTGCAATGTCCCATTTTTACAACCTTCTGACAAGCAAAGTCAACGAGGAAGCCAGATTCACTTACCAACTGGGTTACTAACTTAACTGCAGTGACTCATTGTGGAAGAAAAGTTGTAAAATGGGGCAAAATTCACTTAACGGTCTTGCTTAGCAAACAGAAATGTTGGGCTCAGTTATGGTCGTTAAGTCGAGGACCACCTGTACTTCAGCCATGCAATCAACCTTCTGCATGTCCACTTAGAAGGAAGTTCCCCCTAAATGCAATCAGTGCTTACGGCCATGTATCAGAAATTGCTTTTATTTGCTATTGTCCCGTTGCTTGTATTTTGTGTTGACAAGTCAGTTGAAAATAATTTTATTAAGGCTCCCATATCTGAGTTGCAAAGCATTTAGACAATCCTAAAAGGGCAGCAAGGGTTGGAATTTTCTATATCCCTCTGATACCCCTTAGTATTGGGTGGATTTTTGCAGCCAGATATAGTAGCCTCAATTTATTTTTGCCCCTTAAGTCTTAAACGCTTAGCAATCATTTATCACATTCAAGCATTTTGCAAGTGGGACATCTATCCAATTTCTCTTGTGTATTGTTAAGCCCCTGCAGGAGAGTTTCTAGCCAGCCATTCCAGAAGCGCATGAGCTGTAAGGCAGTATTCTTCAACCTTGTGGGCATCGGCCACCGATTTCGTGGAAGACAATTTTTCCATGGACTGGGAGGAGGCGATGGTTTCGCAGGCTACCGAGATCCCATGCATGTGCAGATGAAGCTTTGCTCAGCTGCACGGCCCAATTCCTAATAGGCTGTGGACCGGTAGCAGGCCGCAGCCTGGGGATTAAGGACCCTTGCTTTAAGGGACAGAAATAAACTATTTGATGTTGCATTTTTTTTTTCCTTTACTATGGAGAATTTCTGTCATTCCCAAAAGTACTGAAGTTGCTTAGCAATCAAAAACAGCTGGGTTTAGTACTTTGGGGGCGGGAAAGGATTACCGTAAATGCCGGCGTACAAGGCGACCCGGCGTATAAGACGACCCCTGTCTTTATAGCCGGGCCGCATTCCTAGAACGTCGTCTTATACGCCGGAAACTACCAGTATTTCCAGCGTATAAGACGACTCGGCGTATAAGACGACCCCCGTCTTTGGCGCCAATTTCAGCGCTCGCGGAAGTCGTCTTATACGCCGGCATTTACGGTACTGTCTTTTTAAACTTTTTGTATTGCTTGGAGATGTTTGAGCACTCTTCCAAGTTTACTGTGCGCTGAGTTGTGTCTGAGAGGATGACAAAATGCCAACGGCTATCCTAGTGTTTCTTCTATTTGTTCTAAATCAATTTTAGCCTCCTTATACTTCTCCCGAGAAAATAAATCATCCAGTTGGCCAGCTGTTTGCACATAAGAGTGATTATAACTAAAAAGAACCAGTTCGGTGTACTGGTTAAGGCCCCAGGATAGAAACCAGAAGAGTGTGAGTTCTAGTCCAGATTTAGTCATGAAAGACACCCTGGGTGATTTTGAATTAGTTTCTCTCTATCAGCAAAAAAATAAAAAAAAATAGAAGGAAGGAAGGAATATAAGGTATGTTTGCTGTCTTGAATTATTTAGAAATTAACAAAGGCAGAATTTTAAAAATCTAATAAATAAAACAGAAAGTAAACAATCTATATCAGTGTTTCTCAACCTTGACAATTTTAAGGCATGTGGACTTCAACTCCCAGAATTCCACAGCCAGCAATGCTGGCTGTGGAATTCTGGGAGTTGAAGTCCACATGCCTTAAAATTGTCAAGGTTGAGAAACACTGATCTATATGATTTCACTCTACCACAAAAAGGGTGTAGGACTGAGTTTACTTGCCTATTGTGAAATAATTCAAGCTGGTGAGGATGACGCCTGGCAAAGTCCTCATGGGCAACATGTCAGCTATTATTTTTGAGAAGAAATATGCGGACACTCTATAGTAGCCACTTATATATTCATGTCTGCAAGAAAAAAAACATATATCCATACTCAAGCCTGGAACAGTCACATAAATGCAGGCAACAGGTTTCAGACTGGGAAATTACTGGATTTGCTGCAGTTATCTTAAATGTTCAGTTAAATATTAAATAATCTTTTTTGGTACATTTTGTACTCACTATTTACATCTATTCATCATCCTGGGTGAAGTGAGTGATACCATGGATGTTCTTTTGTGGTGCCTGGAGACAGTGGGAGCTTGGATGAGGAACAACAAACTTTAGCTGAAGCCTGGTAAGATGGAGCAGCTGTGGGTGGGCCTTTCTGCCTCTAGGAGTTTATCATCTTTGTTCTTGGATGGGGTTGCACTACTCTAGACCAGTGGTTCTCAACCTGTGGGTCGGGACCCCATTTGGGGTCCAACGACCATTTCACGGGGGTCGCCAAACAACACAGTCTGCCATTTTTTCCCCTTTTCCTTAGCTGTGCTATTCCCTTTTATTCTATTGGCTTTTGAAAGCCAATAGAATAGACTCTCTTGAATAGAGTCTAATTCTACTGGCTTTCAAAAGCCAATAGGAATTGTCCAGGCTGTCTCTGCCCTGCTGAGCCTGCCAAAAGTCCCATTCTGCAAACGGTGCTGCACCAGTTGGGTAGTCCTCAACTTACGACCGGTTGAGTAGTCCTCGACTTACAACCGATTGGGGGTCGCGGCATTAAAAAGGTTGAGAACCACTGCTCTAGACAGACCCAGTGAGTAATCTGGGGCTCCTCCTGGATTCACGTCTAACAGCAGGTGGCAGCCTTGGCTAGGAAGGGCTTTGCTCAAATTCATGTTGTGTGCCAGTTATACTCTTTCCTGGATAGGGAAGCTCTCCGACTGGTTATTTATGTCCTGGTCATCTCCCATTTGGTCTACTGAAGGGGTAGGCAACCTTGGCTCTTTTATGACTTGTGGACTTCAACTCCCAGAATTCCTGAGCCAGCCATGCTGAGGGGAAAGGGAGAGGTTTCCAAGCTGAGCCATGCTGGCTCAGGAATTCTGGGAGTTGAAGTCCATGAGTCATAAAAGAGCCACAGTTGCCTACCCCTGGTCTATTGTAATGTGCTATACACATGGAGCTATCATTGAAAAATATCTGGCAACTTCAGCTTGTACAGAGTGTGACTATCTGGACAATCTTGGGCATCAAAAGAATGGAGTATGTAATAGCTTTGCTGCGCAAGCTGCACTGGCTGCCAGTTTGCTTCCAAATCCAAATCAAGGTGTTGGATATGACTTTTAAAGCCCTACAAGGCAACTTTCCCACTAGATGGGGGGGTGGGGGTGCAGGGAGGACATTGATTATAGTTTGGTGAAAACTATAGTCAAAAGAACATGCATGGGCACTGGGAAAGAAACCAACAAATGATTAACCAAAGAGTAAACAAGTGCAATTATTAATTATAAGAAAAAAACTTGATGTTCCATTACATGCAGATTTACCTACATAAATATCCTTTTTTCTGTGATAAAAAGTTCAACGGTTGTAATACTGTTCAAAACCTGATTCGTTGCCAAAAAGAACAAAGCACCAACTCTACAAGAAAACCCAAGAATTTTCAAATTAGAAAAGGAAAATACATATGAAGCACTAATGAAACAGAGCATGATAGGATCACAATGTAAGAAAATCAAGGGTGCCTCCAAATGACGCCTTCATGTTTTATTTGCAGAATTTTACATGAAATACATACTGTATGTATATTTACCAGATGACTACTAGATGATAGCAAAGAAATAGAGAAAATTTAAGACTTTACTTCTGTCTAGAGATCATGTGGAACCCAAGTATAGTAGCTGGTCACTGCCTGATACAACACAGCAACCAGGAAGTGCTTTCTCTCCTGCTGAAATTCAGATGGTGGGGACATAGAAACACTCTGAACGTAGTGGCTTTTGCCAATCAGAAATAGATGCACTTACTGAAAGCATCAGGGGCTTGGATATACAACTTGGGTGATTGAATCTTTTATAGGCATGCAATATAAGCTCATGAAAGAGCATAAAATATCAATAGAATTGAATATCTGTAGCTCAGGGTTGAACTTTGGGGTCCTTGGTGAACTGTTGAGATTACCTAGTTTGGTAATGAAACATCTGCAAAAAAATAACTACGCTCAGAGACCCCATAAAATATCAAAATATCCAAAAGAATAAAAGTTTCTATTGCCCAGTCATGCCCACCATTTTGATGCTGTTGATCTCCCTAGGGACCTCCCCGTGGAAATTGCCTATTTTTTTCTGAAAACAAAAACAAAGCACAGTACTTTGATCAAGTAATCAAAACAGATGCGAAGTTATTTCCTAGGAAATTATTCTTCCCTGCTCTATAGGCAAAGGAGCATGCAAATAAAACAATATTTGGCCATTGTGATACTAACATTATTTTTTATATATATACAAGTGTTCTACGCCCTGCTAATCTCAAAAATTAAACTATTAATTGAGAAAGGTACATTTGGTTTAGAAGCATGTTTCTTACATTAACTAACCTATTTTGAATTCCAGTTGCATCATTTTTAACACCAGAAAAAACAGCTCCAGTAATTATTCCCATGACGGTAATAATAGCTATCTAGGAAGAAAGGGTATTTCAAATTATCAATGTTAGAATGAAACAGGGATTAAATGTTTTTGACAAATTAATGAGCTTAGGAAAAATATATACCTGTTTTCTATAGTTCTCCAATTTAAATGATACAACAAATATTCTATTCCATGATCAGGAAAGGATAGGAAGAATAGGGATAGGAAACACCTTGCTTTTACAACTGGGAGGATGATCTAAACTGAAAAAAATCTAGTGAACCACTAAATGGAATCAAAGAGTTAAAGAAAACTCCCATTTTTTGTACCCTACTGTAGAACTGGTAGTCTTGGCTGGGGAGATAGGTATCCTAATTGTGCTAACCAATGGTACATATCTCTTAGCCATAGTCCATTGACTAAAATACAATTGATTGGATTTTTATAACCCAATATTCCACCATCAAAGCAAATTTTTCATATGTTTAAATCCAACCACTATTACTTATCCAAGTTTTGAAAACTTACTAAGTTGTGGTTTGGGTTGGGTTGGGTTGGTTTTGGCCAACAAATCATTTGATCTAGAGTCTTTAGCTTCTTTAATCAGTATGGCCATTAGTTCAGAATTCCTGTCTGGGAACTCTATGGATTGCCAGCATCACTGTACAACAGCAGTTTTTAGGGTAAAGTGTATTAAAAATAAAGTAATCTATGCTTGAATGTGTTAACCAAGTAATTCTAATGTCTACTCAGAATTACCATTTGGTTAATGGGGATTACCTTACATGAATATGCCTAGGATTGTGGCACCAATTATCATAATCAAACTGAAGATATCTAATGTATTAGGTGTTTTTTATTTTTAAGAATAAATACACATAATTAAAATCTCAGCTAAGGTGATGGTAACAGGCTTCTCTGAAGTGTTAGACAGGAAAGATTGCCTCAATCAATATGACAAGCTCTTAAATGTGGCCCTAGGCTCAAGAGAACTGCCGAAAAGATCAAAATACCAGCACTCTTTCTACCACTAAACAATTGGAGTGGGAAACAAGGATCATAGCTAGACCCATTTAAGAGGATTAACAAAAGGGATTAATTCCATGAAATGCAAGGGCTTTTGGAAGAATGCCTTCAAAAATCCATCTGTAATGAGGTTAGGGAGATAGAAATGATTGTGAGAAAAAAAAAGGTCAGGGCTCTTAGCTGAGGAAAAATTGTAATCTCCTAAAATCATAATTCCTGTCACAAGGTCAATTTTTTACAAAGTAATTTATACAGTCCATATAAGACCAGCACTCACATAAGAAAACTTTTTAACTGCATGGCCTCTCTTCCTAGAAAATTACTATGTACTTTTTTTTTTTTTAACCACTTGACAATTTTGCAAGAGCATTAGCTGGAACCAAAGATCACACTAAAAGAGGCAGATATGCTATATAAAGGAAAACATTCAAAGTCTTTCAGAAAGAAGACCTGAAAGACATCCTTTGAATCCCCCAAAATGTCAGTCTTTCCAAATTCATGTCTCAATTTTAACACTTTAGTCTATTAACATTAAGATGTTAGACCACAACTAAAGAGATCCAAGCTGAAGTCCAGAGTCAGCTATAGAAAATTAATATATGCAACAATCACTACATCTGAGACAATACTATGGCAGTAGTAGCGAACCTTTGGCATGCATGCCAGAGGTGGCACTCGGAGCCCTCTCTGTGGGCATGCATGCCATCACCCCAGCCCCGCCTCCTGCCACGGCCCCCTCCTCACCAGCAGCCCCCCTGGAGAGTCACGCCCGGGCGCGGCCCGCACGGCGCAGCACAGCCAAGTACATAGCCGGGCAACAGGGACAAGACTCTGCAGATGATGCTGAGGGGTGTGGGCGGAGGGCATGGCTGCCAGGCGCTGCAAGGCTGCCTGGGCGATCTGCTGCGGTAGGCCATGGATGCAGTGCGTGGTCCTGGGGCAAAGGGTGGGCGGGGGCAGAGCAGGCAGGGTGGGAGGCAGAGTGGGGGCAGGGGGCGGATTTTGGGCACTCGGTCTGTAAAAGGTTTGCCATTACTGGGCTATGGTGTTAAAAAAATGAAAAAAATATTATACATTATGTAGTGCTGCATATTCAATCCCAAAATTGAATTCTGGAGCTGAATGTACTACTGCTTTGCAACTCTTTAAATGAATTATGATCCTTGCATGGTCCTAGAGAAGATCCACCTGCTTTAAAGAGTTGGAGACACATGCTACATGTTGCACAAATTCCAAACCACCTTTCTGAAATCAGATCTCAAGTACAGCACAGTGCTGTATAGGCTATCGTGAGAACAAGTTAAATGTACAACTAGTAAATATATTACTATTATGGTTCATCGGGCAGTCAGCCAGATGTTCAGACTGGATTTGGCATTTTTCTCCTTCCCAAAGACCTGGGATAGGCAGATGTGGATGTTTGATGGCGTTACAGATAGCATTGTTAAATGATATCTTAGCCTGTTTTTATCTAGTCTTGCCCTCAAACATTTAAGGCTGCATCTAAATCATAAAATACACTTCAGTTTGAAACTAATTACCATCCAAAAGTGTTCAGTGCATGTGGACTGGCTGTCAAAAAAATTAAGATGGCAGCCACAATCATGCTATCAAAGCCCTGCTCCATTTTGGTGGTGATGGTGTGAGCATCTATTAAAACCATTAAAGTTTCCTTCTAGTACATTTGGGAAACATTATCAAGCACTGATCAGCGGATTTATCTCATTAATATATCCTATTAAGTTGAGCTTAATAGGATATATTAATGCTTGAAGGTGGTTTCATTAACCAACAGATGACTAGAGAAGGAAGCCGTGGTTTGATTTTATTTTGCAACTTCATTCCCAGACTTCTTCATCATTTATAATTACTTTCATTGGGTAATGAAATGTATTCTAGCAACCAAGCCCAGAGAACACCAATGATTCTAAGGACTCCATTTGAAATGCAGTAATTTTAGTTCTGACACAAATTAGCTATTTCAAAAACCACTTAAATAATATAAACAGTTTATTTCATAATATATCGAGGAGGAGGAGGAGGAAGAGGAGGAGGAAGAGGTCACTTTGTTTACCTGGGCTGTGGAATTTTGTGGATTGCCTATCAAATTTTTAAAGGTGCGCCTGGACAGCCATTTCAGTTGATGTAGAAAAGGAGTGGAATATTGAACTCCTTTAATTGTTGTTGCCTGTCTTTTCTGTTCTTTAGACATTACATCCAGCTCTTCGAGCATTTTTTTGTAGTAACTGCATTTGGAAAACTGTACTGCTAATGTTAGAGCAATAGTCTCCTGCTCTCTCTCAGTTGCCTCAAGAACTGTTTGAATGACAACGAAAAGCCAAATTAGTGTGTTCAAATAAAATGAGAGACATACAGGTCAACTGAATCATATCTTATGTTCTAGGACTCCAGGGTGTCAAATTGGTGGCCCGTGGGCCGGATGCATCACATGCAGGCCACGCCCACCGGCTCCACAAAGGCAAAAAAATGTCACGATACGCCACCATATGTCACGTGACATCATCGAGCTTGACACTCGTGTTCTAGGTCATATCTGTGCTTTGCAAAAAGCAGCACTTCCACTAATGAGCAGCTGTTGAGCTCCACCATAATTCCAGTTTCATGTGATTTTGCAGTTCTTCATTGTGTTTTAAATAGCCCTTTTTTGGGGAGGGGAATCTTAAAACAGCCTATGAGGGAGCGCAGAAAAGACATGCCCTGTGTGTTTTTCTTCAGTTTCCAAGTCAGTCTCTCCTCAGACTGGAATTACAAATAAATCTGTGTATGTATCTGTATGTAGATATCTATGTGGGCATGTATATATACGTACATGTTCAAACTTTCTTGAATCATTTTTTAATTGAAAGACATCAGTGTTTTTCAAACTTGGCAATTTTAAGACGTATGGATTTCAATTCTCAGTCAGTATTAAGTCAGCATTAAGTCCACACATCTTAAAGTTGCCAAATTTGAAAAACACTGAAATAAACAATACAAGGGAATGCAAAATAATTTAAACAAGAACTGGGTGATAACCATCAATCAATCAATCAATCAATCAGTGTGTGTGTGTGTGTGTGTGTGTGTGTGTGTGTGTGTGTTTGTGTGTACAGGTAGTCCTTAACATTCAGCTGTAATTGAACCTGAAATTACAGTCATAAGTAAAGCCAGTTGTTAAACAAGTCATCACACAACCAACCCAATTTTATGACTCATTTTGTGGTGGTCATTAAGCAAACCTGCTAGTTGAGAACGAAACCCTAACCTATTGTCCACAATAGGTGCTTTTTGCTGGAAACCAGAAATAAATGCCAGTTTCTGGCAACAAAGCAAAAAATATTGTAAATTACAGTCACATGACGACTGTACAGCTTGCTATAAATGGCCGTAATTGTGGACGGCCAAGCACTCAAAATACAATCATATGACCGGGGGGGGGGAGGAAGGGTGGGCTAGCCCTCAGAACTTCAAATCCAAGTTGTAAGTACCTTTTGGGGGGGTCCGTTGTAACTTCGAATAGTTGCTAAGCAACCAGTCATTAAGCAAGGATTGCTTGTATCCTTACAAATGAACTGTATAAATACATTTTATTTATAACATTTTCCTTCCTTGCTTGCCTTTCATCAACTTGTGTGGGTTATTCTGGCTGTTTTCTCTTGAATTTGGAGCTGAAGTATAGGAAAGAAAGAAGATCCTTGGAGTAGGATCTCCCTCCCCCCACCTCCCGCTGAGAGGGCTATTGAGTTAATTCCTTTTTCTGAAGCCATCACCCACAAGCTCGTGGCTCAGGGCCAACGCACAGATGCCCGATTTCTTCCGCAGAATATCTGAAAAGCTTGGCCATTTATACCTGCACTGTGAATTGTCATTTTACTCATTGCAACCGCCGAGGAATCCCCGTTGATGATATCCAGGAAAAAATCAGCAGGGTTGTTATATGGCTCACACACAAAACCTGCAAGGATTTTTTTTTTTTAAAAAAAATTCTTTGTTACCACAACAGTCATAATGAAAACTCATAAAGTAATTACAACTTGGAGTATTTTTTTTTTATTTACATCCAATTTGGCTACTTCATCATACTTTATGAGGGATAACCAAAAAGGGTACTGACAAAAAAAAAACAACAGCAGCCAAATTGTTAACTGATGCACAATATCTGGAACACATCACCATCTTTTTCCCAATAGTCAAAGCTGGATTTCTCCATAAAGTTAATTTGGCATGGGAAAACAGACCAATCTTTTTTTTTTTTTTTTTTTTAGATATTACAAACCGTAACTTTCTAACTGATGTAATGGTTTTCAGAGAAAGCAGAGTTTTACTATATTTAGGTCTTAATACTGCCCATCCCATCAAAGGTGCTATACAGGTAGTCCTCAAGTTACGACTAAAACTGAACCCAAAATTTATGTTGCAAAGTGAAACAAGTGAATTTTGCCTCATTTTATGACCTTTCTTGCCACAGTTGTTGGGCAAATCACTGCAGTTGTTAAGTTGGTAAGATGGTTGTTAAGTGAAACTGGTTTCCCCATTAACTTTGCTTGTCAGAAGGTTGCAAAATATTAATTACATGACTCCGGGCCTGAATTTTGATCACACGACTGTAGGGATGCTGCAACGGTCTTAAGTGTGAAAAACAGTCATAAGTTGCTTTTTTCAGTGTCATTGCAACTTTGAACATCACCAAATAAACTATTGTAAGTTGAAGACTACCTTATATCTATATTCTTAGATTGCCCAAATAGGAAAATTAACTCCAACTGTTAGCTTCTTGATATATAAATATGTGGGAGAGGGACGTTCCAGAAATACAAAATATAAATAAATACAATAAAATAATAAACTAAATAAATGATGATATAACTCCAGATTCGGAAACGCAAACCTTCCCTCCCTCATTAATTAGGAACTGCATATTCCGTAAAGATATTGTCATAACTGAAGAACCCCACAAAAATTTTTCTAAAAAAATATTTTCTGAAAATATTTTTCCCAGATATATAAATGGGAAAACATCTCGGAATATAAACATAAATCTAGGAATAATATTCATTTTGAGAGCACTGATTTTTCTCCAGACAGTGAGGTTTAATCATTCCTATCTATTGCAACATATCTGGAATATATTAAAACTAAATCAAAAAGCTGTACCAGAGGCCAACTGTTTGCCAGGGCTTGATAGTTTTTTTCTATTCTATATGAACTGTTTAATGCTGAATTACTCTGGCTTTCTGAGGTCCTTTTTCAGATAGTAGTAAGATGTTTCTGAAATTGTGCTTAGTAGCACTGACCACAAGGAGGCAGAGGAGTTAAGGACTTATTTTGTGCTTCCTCTGCAGGCATTGTTAACCAGGACCTGTAGACAGATTTCAGAGGGTCCATGAACTGGGACTGCAGTGGGGAGGGGGGGATTACAAATTTATTTTCGCTAACCCCAACTGAAAGGCAACTTTTCATTCAATTATGCAAGTATGCAGCAAAGTAATTTATGACCTCTAGACTCCAAAAATGTTTAATTTCAACAAATCTTACTATCCAAAATTAATATACCCTAAAAATAGACGTAGTCTTGTTATTTTATGGATTTATAAAGAAGCACATGTATTACTATATTGCATATTTGTTATTTTGTTCATATTTAGATAAGATATAGATATTTGAGCATAATTGGTTTCCTTTGCATTACATGATCTATGTCTAGAACAGTGTATTTGGGAGGGGGGGGGTTGCATTTAAACATTCATTCATTCATTCATTCATTCTGAAAAGGAATCTGCATGTTTTATCAGACTCTCAAAAGGTCTGTGGGACAAATAGGCTAGGAACCCTAGCTCCAAAAGATTTTTAAACTCAGATTATTTCCTCCTGCTTTTCTTCCCAGACACAAACATATGGAATACTTTTTGTTTTATATTTCCTTTCAACTTATTTCATCCAATTTATAAGCTATCCCAATGTCTATCACAACTCAAGCCAGTTTACAAAGTAGAATGATTAGCCTTAAAACAGCAATTAAAAAAGTATATACAAAAGAAATACAACAGAGACATTTGCCAAATATCCACTCTGGGGAGAAAAATACAATCTGTTATGAAAATAATCAGAACATCAAGGTGGTATATCAAGCCAACCACCCCATCCTATCTATCTACCACACACACAAAAACACACATACACAGACAGACAGACAGACAGCCTCCAAGTCTGTTAAAAAAGCAAGCTCTTCAAGGCGTCACAAAAGCGCAATAGGATCAGGCTACAGAGACTTTTTAGGAGGGGAGAAGGGGGGAGATACTGTTACAGACATAAGCAAAGCTCCATTTTAGACTTTCCTCCAGATTAGATATGTGTTTCCCTGAAAATAAGACCCAGTCTTATTTTTTTGCCTCTAAAAGAGGCATTAGGTCTTATTTTCAGGGGATGTCTTTTCCGCTGTCTCGCCTCATGGCGGCAGCACCGACAGCCCCTTCCAGAAGGAGCCCACGTGGCCACCACTGGCCCACTTCTTCTGCGGCCGCTCACCACCACTCACACGTATTGCCCCCGGCCTCCATTTCGCTGGCAGAAGCCATCAGAAAAGGCCCTACAGTCAGAATGGAGCTCCGGGATAACATGCACATCGCAACCTGGCCTCCATTTCACTGGCACAGACCTTCAGGAAAGGCCTCTGCAGCCCAGAATGGAGCTCTGGGATGATGCGTGCATCAAGGCCCGGCCTCCATTTCATCGGCAGAGGCCTTTTCTAAAGCTTGATTTTTACTGTGCGCTTTGCCCCACCTCAGACGGTGGGATGCAGTGGGTGTGGCTTATTTTGGGAGTAGGGCTTATATTAGGCACATACGTAAAAATCAAGCTAGGACTTATTTTCGGGATAGGTCTTGTTTTGGGGAAAACACAGTAGATAACTAGGTGCCAAGCTTTGTTTACCTCTGCATTCCATTTCCTTAAATAATTTTTTTTTCACTAACTGTTGCTCAAGACGTATTTCCTACTGTCCAAAATATTCACAAGGCACACCCATAATTTGTACCTGTAACAGCTCCCAAGTGATGGAATACATTGCCTTGTGTTCGGCTCCACTTTCTCTTCTTTTAGGAAACCCTTCCTTTTCAGCCAGGTCTTTTCACTTGGATTTTGTACACCACTGATTTTAACTGGGTTTTTGTTTTTAAATTAAAATGATACCTTTCACATTTTTTACTGGAATGTTTAGAGGGCTAATCAAATTGGGTAAGAATGGGCACAGCCCATAAAAACTCACCAAGGCTTCTGAAATAGGAAAGAGCATTGTCAGCTGGCCCGTGATACAATAGCCTTCCAGCGGCAAGTAGCGTCAGGCTGTCGAACAACTTGAAAATAGAGTACCGGGGCTGATGGATTGAAAAAATGATTGTCTTTCCTTGCAGTGACATCCTGGGTGCAACACAGGGAAGACCATTACCTCATGTGAGAACTCTTTGCTTTTAATTGCTCTGCATCAAAGTACAATACATACAGCTTGAAATGAGGATCAGACTCTTGAATGATGCTATCACAGTTGAAAATTGCTGAGGGTCCTGTCGCCCTACCCCTGCTCAGCCAAAATCATCTGCTTTAGCCCAGTTCTGTCTTAGCCATAGCTGTAGCAATAGCACTTAGACTTATATACTGCTTCATAGTTCTCTCACAGTACTCTCTGAGCGGTTTACAAATGTCAGCATATTGACCCCCAACAATCTGGATCCTCATTTTACCGACCTCAGAAGGATGGAAGGCTGAGTCAACCTTCAGCCGGTCAGGATCGAACTCTAGGCTGTGGAGCTTGCCTGCAATACTACATTCTAACCACTGCACCATCAGGGTTGTAAAAGACATATGAAATGAATTAATGACACATAATGAAGAAGGTTCTCCTGGCTACCAGAATGACAAAAGTACAGGTGGTCCTCAGTCCACAAGCATGACTGAGCCTAACATTTCTATTGCTAAGCCAGGCAATTGTTAAATGAGATGCACCCTGTTTTACAATTTTTTTTCCGATTTTATTAAGCAAATGTCTGCAGTGGTCGTAAGGGAGAGGACTGGTTGTAAGTCACTTTTTTCAGTGCCACTGTAACTTCAAAAGGTCGCTAAATGAATGGCTGTAAGTTGAGCACTACCTGTGGCACAGATTACCTTTTTAAGAGCAGCAGGACAGCATTGGCTGTGCTAGCATCCAATCCTGTGGTTGGTTCATCTAAGAACAACACTCTGGGGTTAGTAATGAGTTCTAATCCAATGCTGGTCCTTTTCCTTTCCCCCCCTGAAACTCCGCGAGTAAAATAGGTGCCAACCTGGTACAGCAAAGGAAATGGCAAAATAAACTTCTTGGTTCATGAACAATATGGAACAAAAAATATTTCAGCATAAAATACTTTAATAATGTCTTCTCCTGATAATAACTGAGTTTATCAAATGGGACATCACTGAAAGAATATGGGGGACGGGAAAGGCAGCATACATTAAGGCAGACCTGGGCATTTTATGGCCTCCAGGCCACATCCAGCCTTTTGATAGTCCTTGTCCGGCCTGCATGAGATCGGTCAGAAATTAGAAATCAAATGTAAATAACTGTACACCATGCATGCAATACAATTGTGTTGCTTTTATTTTGAAGGCAACTGCTTTTTTTTTTCAATTTACATATGTATGTGGGTGTGCATGCCTATGCATCTTCAGAACCCTATTGGTTTGGCCCTCCACAACAGCCCCCGTTTCTCTCGTGAATTGCCCACCCCTTCATTAAGGGGTCTCAGATGGTCATCTTAAGCCACCTGTCCTCATGCATAGGTGAAAGAATGCCCATTTATATGGAATTCACTTGACCCTTAGTTGCCAGAAAGATCTATAAGAACCCTGCAACCTAAGACCTCACATAAAGATAGACAACCTTTTTGGAATTTTAAGAACCTGCATGTCCGTGAGGCACTCACAAAATGGCCACCTTCAGCAAATCTTCCCTCACAGATTAGTATCTACAGTGAGGGTGTCCAGTCTCAAAGAGACTGGTAAAGTTGCTTCTCTCTCTTCCCCCAGTGCTCACCTACCACCTGTTTTCCAGGCAACTGGTTATTTCCCTGCCTTTCTTCTCTTTCTTCTCTCTAGCCCAGATCAGCAGCCCCATCTCTATACAACATCATTTCTGTTGCTCTGCTTCCATTCACTGCCCCCTCCTTCTCTTTCATGTTCCTTTCCCTCAGATCACCAGAGATCTCTCCAACAAAGGGTTCATTTGCATCCCATCTTATAATCTCCTGCCCTATTACATTCTTACTTAACCTATTTCCTGGATATTAATTAGTTAAGTCCAGTTTTGACACTAAACGCAGTCAGCCCGTGCTATTTTCACATGGATCCAAGAAGGGAAGCAATGCGGATGAGATGACCCACAATTTTCTCATTTTTGCAGGCCCTTCATCTACATTATGTTAAACTAAGAGTCATACAGCAACTGCAGACTGGATGCTTTCTACAAGTTCAGCACAGCCCCAACTGCAGTTCCTATGACACTCAAGCATCATTGTTCTTGCAAAAAAGCCAACACAGTGCTGGGCTGCATTAACAGAGGGATAGAATCAAGATCACATGAAGTATTAATACCACTTTACAATGCCTTGGTAAGGCCACACTTGGAATACTGCATCCAGTTTGGGTCACCATGATGTAAAAAAGATACTGAGACTCTAGAAAGAGTACAGAGAAGAGCAACAAAGATGATTAGGGAAGGCTAAAACATATAAGGAATGGTTGCTGGAATTGGGTATGTCTAGTTTAACGAAGAGAAGAATGAGGGGGGACAAACAGCACCTGAAGGCAGGACAAGAAGCAACGAGTGGAAACTGATCAAGGAGAGAAGCAACCTAGAACTAAGGAGAAACTTCCTGACAATTAGAACAATTAACCAGTGGAACAACCTGCCTCCAGAAGTGGTGAATGCGCCAACACTGGAAGTTTTTAAGAAGAGACTGGACAGCCATTTGTCTGAAATGGTGTAGGGTTTCCTGCCTGAGCAGGGGGTTGGACTCGATGACCTCCAAGGTCCCTTCCAACTTATTATTATTATTATTATTATTATGTAATATTAATGGACTAAATTTTCTCTCATTTTCGGATTAGATCAAAGGTGGGCAAACACCAATCTGCAGCTTACATGCAACCTCAGAAATATTTTTGTGGATTCCAGAAACAAAATCACTCTTTGCAGATAGTGGTTTCGTACCATTCTTTATAGACATAACTATTTACAACACTAAATGTTGGTATCAGGTGGGATTAAAAACTATACTAATGTATGTATAACTACCTTAGTATCTGCAACTTTAGTCAAATCCAGTTCCTTGAGAACCTGTTCAACCCTCTGCTTCTTTTCATATTTGCTCGTAGATAAAGGTAGCCGAAGGGCTGCTGAAAACATTAAATTTTCTCTGACTGTCAAGGTCCCCATCACTATGTCATCCTTAGAGATTAAAAAAACAACTGGACATTTTCATTTGAACATTAGACTTGCTAAGACTGCTATTGTACAATCATTATTAGACACTCAGAGGGTGTATTGAGCATTCACAGAATTATAGTTATGTTCTGCGCCTATGTTCCTTTAAAAACCTCTTAAAACAGAGCTAGTTTTTATTTTATGACATCATACCATATATAGGATTTTCCGAGACTTCCATCCCTCACCCCAGGTGTACAGGTAGACTTCGAATTACAAACACAATTGAGCCCAAAATTTCTGTTGCTAAGTAAGACAGTTGTTACATTAATTTTATCCCATTTTATGGCCCTTCTTGCCACAGTTGTTAAGTGAATCACTGCAGTTGTGAAATTAGTAACAGTGTTGTTAAATGAATCCAGTTGCCCTGTTAACTTTGCTTCTCAGAAGATCGCAAAAAATAAACGTTCCTGGGACACTGCAGCTGTCATAAATATGAGTCAGTTTCCAAGTGTGTGAATTTGATCATGTGACCATGGGGATGCTACAACGCTTGTAAGCAGTGCTTTTTTTGTAAAAAAAAAAAAAAAAAAAAAAGTGCCGGAACTCACACACTTCATACAACCAGCCTTGCCTACCCTACAAGGTTCCATCCCAAAAAGATGGCGGAACTCCGTTCCGGGCGTTCTATGAGGAAAAAAGCCCTGTTTGTAAGTATGAAAAACAGTCATAAGTCATTTTTTCAGCGCCATTGTCATTTTAAACAGTCAGTAAATGAACTATTGTAAGTCGAGGATTACCTGTATTCATTTCTAGTTTTACAATCCCTGAAGATTCTTTTAGATTTAATTTCCTCTTCCTGTTTAGATGTTCCGCATGTGTATATTTTTGTAAAAATTTTTTTTACAATATTCTACATTAGATTATACAATATAAGCACAGAAGATATTGGAATGTGTTCCTGAAGCAAACCATTCCATTTGGCCAATTTATCATAAATAAATAGGAATCACTGAGAAATGGAAAGGGGTTCTGTACTTTACCCTGGGTGGAAAATAAAGTAGGTGGATTATACATAACAACAAAAAGCTTACCTGTACTACATATCCAGACATACATTTAAATTGTGTTGGCAAGCCCATGCCATCTAATAAAATATCCCCAGATAGCCCTTTGGGGTCTTTCCTTGTAGATAAAATGTCCAATAGCCTAAAAGAAAAATAAAACCCATTTCAATTGAAATTACTGAGGTCTACATTTCAGGAACATATCAATTACAGCTTTACAATCATTCAAAATCATAATTTATCTGTGCGTGCACACATAAGAGAAACAGGTGCTTTCAAAACAGCTACATAAGCCTGAGAAATACAAAGTTGTTTTAACTGTTAAAGAATGCAAATGTTCAAAAGTCTTGTAAAATTAAAACTTGGATTGAAATTCTAAAACTTATAAAGAACAGTTGCAGGAATTGGGTATGTCTAGTTCAGTAGTGGCGAACCTATGGCACGTGTGCCACAGGTGGCATTCAGAGCCCTCTCTGTGGGCACTTCTCTGAAATGCTGGTGGCAGGCTGCGGAGCCCCAGAGTGCACCGGTTGAGGGGCTGGCAGGCTGTGGCTGCTGATGGACACTGTCGGCCCCCATGCGCTTGCTGGCCTCTGTGTGCAGGGGCCAATGATGTCAGGAAGCAGCTGCCCCGGCCTCTGCCTTGCCTTGCCCTGAGATAATGGCACCCCCCACCCTGCCTCGCCTCACCCCGCAGGATGAGCCTCCTACCCACCACTCCACCTGCCAGAGACCCCCTGGATCTCCCCCAACCCTGCCCGGCTCCCACAGGCGTCCCTCCCCATGAGCAACATCGAGGTGACATGCTCACCTTGGCCACACCCACCCAGTCTGCCATGACCACCACAGCCACAGCCACCCGGCACCCAGCAATAAATAAGTGGGTTTTGGGTTGCAGTTTGGGCACTCGGTCTCTAAAAGGTTCGCCATCACTGGTCTAGTTTAATGAAAAGAAGGATTAGGGGTGACACGACAGCGTTCCAATATTTGAGAGGCTGCCATAAATAAGAGGGGGTCACCTATTCTCCAAAGCACCTGAGGGCAATATACATTTAATTGGATTATAAAATAGGGCTTTTGTGTCATTATTTTAATACTTACGAAGATTTGCCACAGCCAGTGGGTCCTAAAATTGCATTAAGACCAGGTTTCATGACACCACTGTAAAATAAAAATAGTTTGTTACTCTTGAGATGTTTACTGTATATATATTTTACTAACTACACATTTTGCTTTGTTATTCTAGATACATGGGCAAATAACATTATGTGACTATTATCTATAAGCTTCTCATCATTTGAGTTGATTACTTTCATCAGTTTCAAAGCTGCTTCTAAGTACCCACTGTGGTTTTTCAGCATTACTGAGATTCATTGAGGACAATCAGAGGTACAAATGCATATTAAAGAATGGTTGCTGGAATTGGGTGTATGTAGTTTAACAAAAAGAAGGACTGGGAGGGGGGTGGCACGATAGCAGTGTTCCAATATCTCAGGGGTTGTCATAAAGAAGATGGAATCAACCATTCTCCAAAGTACCTGAAAGAGGACGAGAAGCAATGGGTGGAAATTAATTAAGGAGAGAAGCAACCTAGAACTAAGGAGAAACTTCCTGACAGTTAGGACAATGAATCAGTGGAACAACTTGCCTCCAGAAGTTATAGATGCTCCAACACTGAAAGTTTTTAAGAAGAGACTGGACAACCATTTCTCTAAAATAGTATAGGGTTTCCTGCCAGAGCAGGGTGTTGGACTAGAAGACCTCCAAGGTCCCTTCCAATTTTGTTATTCTGTGATCCATGACAGAGAACCCTAAAGTTCAAACAACAACTCTTAAACAGTACCTAGGCTCTTACTAGTTTTGGCTGGATGTTAAAAGCCTAGATTAGCAGTTTGGTTTGTATTAAGATAGTAAGGATGGAATTGTGCACTGCTTCATAGTCTTCAAAGGTTCAAGCAAAACAATCCTTTGAAGCTTTTTAGGGTGCTTTAGAGCTCTTTCCCTCATTTTTAAGTGCAAAATGAAGCTGAGAGGAAGCATCAGAAGATACCTCTGCATACTGTATGCAAAGCTCTTATCATTGCCGGTCTGAGAAGACATGGTATTGGGAAGTGGTGGTTTAGAGAGGAAAAATGAAGCAAAATGGATACTTCACTTTACTACGGGGGACTGGGTGGCTTATGGAAGCAACTTCTAGAGGATTTTTCACTCAGACCTATTGATTGCAAGTGTCAGAAATGATAAAGAGGATTTGGCATTGCTTCATGGAGTGCCTCACTGTGGCGGCATGTAGCACAGTGTATCTCACAAGTGAAGAAAATGTCAGGTGAAAAGGGACTATCATAAATAAATGTCCTTAAAAACCCAATCCAGTTCTAGATCAGGAGTAGGCAACCTTGGCTCTTTTATGACTCGTGGACTTCAACTCCCAGAATTCCTGAGCCAGCCATGCTGAGGGGAAAGGGTTTCCAAGCTGAGCCAGGCTGGCTGAGGAATTTTGGGAGTTGAAGTCCACGAGTCATAAAAGAGCCAAGGTTGCCTACCCCTGTTCTAGATGAATGAGGAAAGTGCCATGAGATTGTCATGAATCTGAAAGATAGTAAGAATTAAAAGGACTAATGGGAGCTAAGTATACTCTTTCTCAAATTCCTTAGTGTACACACATACATATACACACAGCCCTAGGGATGAACTATGACAAATTGACACTCTTTTCTATAGACCAGATAATATTATTCCAAATTACAAAGCTGTATGAAAATATATCCAACCAATTTAAATTTGTCACTGGTAATCATTTCTCAAAATTCATACGCATAAAGGAATAAACCAGGACTGCATTCTGACTCTTCTTCTTTTTAACCATTCTTTGAATTGTATAGTTTCAGGTTTGATCAAAAGTGAGTTACATGGCAACACATCAACAGCTCCATTGTGTCCCTTACATTAAAAAGGCTGGACAAATATTAAACAAACATTCCAAAAGTTCAATAATAATAACATTAAAAGGCCTGGCTCAAATAGTCCATTTTTAAAGGAAACAATAAACCCCAATTGAATCTGATTTGGGGGAGGGAAGGGGCTACGTATATGTGTTCATGACTTTTTTTTGGCAGTGCTACAGAAATGGCTGGCCATTGTTTACTTGTGGGCTGTCTTTTAAATATCCAAGAAGGCTTATAGTCAGGTGTGTCTGCAGGGTGTGCTCAAAGCCGTCAAGATGGCAGCCAGAATGGTAGGGTGTGATGGAAGTTCCGTCTCCAATAAAGCAGGCAGAGCTTCCATCATACTGCCGTAGCTGTCATTTTGGAACTTCCTGGTGTTTTCCCATCCAAATCCTAATCAAGCCTGACCCTGCTTAACTTCCCAGTCCAGACAAATTTAACCCACGGCACCCCACTAAGCCCCCTCCTCAGTTAAAACTTACCTGATATTGAACAAAATGTTTTTCTTAATTTCTTTTCGAAAGCCAAGATAGCCAGTCTTGAATTTCACAAAATAGGAAACATTGTAAAAGGTTATGATACTTCCTTCTATATTACTCATCTCACTTAAGAAAGTAACTCTTCTCTTGGATATGTCAACTATACTTCTGTCAGGATCTTGAAAAAAAACCAGAAGGAATGATTGGAAACTACTTCTGTCAGGATCTTGCAAAAAAACCAGAAGGAATGATTGGAAAACTCGTGGCCGGTCTAGAGAGAACAAGCTGGGAGAAGTAACAATACTGTATTGCACAAAGAGTGGTGCTTCCAGGACTAAATCGCAAATCAAGACATACATTGGCATAGCTTTTAAAAGTAGGCCTCAAGTTACAACCACAGTTGGGACCGAAACTTCCGTTGCTAAACGAGATGGATGTTAAGTAAGTCATGTCCAATTTTGTCACTTTTTGCCATGGTTGTTAAGTGAATCACCTTAGGTGTTAAGTGAATCATGCGGTTGTTAACTAAATTTGATTTCCCTGTTGACTTTGCTTATTGGATATCAGCAAGGAAGGTTGCAAATGGTAATCATGTAAACCCTGCAATCATTACAAATATGTAACAGTTGTCAAGAACCTGAATTTTGATCACATTGGGGGACTGTAAGATAGTCATAAGTATGAGGACCACTTTTTTCAACTCTATCCTAACTTTGAACAGTCATTACCATAACAACCGTCACAAACAGCTGTAAGACTAGGACTGCCTACCCAGGCAGTCCTCAACTTACAATTGTTCATTTAGTGACTGTTCGAAGTTACAGCAGCACTGAAAAATATGACATGACCATTTTTCACATTGGTCACTTGATCAAAATCCAGACACTTGGCAACCGATTTGTATTTATGGCGGTTGCTGTTGTTCTGGGTCACCTTTGATCTCCTTTTGCGACCTTTTGACAAGCAAAGTCAATAGAGGAGCTAGATTCGCTTAACGACTATGTGATTCACTTAGCAACTGCAGCGATTCTCTTAACAACTGTAGCAAGAAAGGTCGTAAAATGGGGCAAAGCTCACTTAACAAATGTCTCAGGAACAGAAATTCTGGGCTCAGCTGTGGACTACTTTTATACACTTTTGGGACACTTTTGTGATCATTAGTAAGCAACAAGCAAAAAGCAATAAAACATTCACAGCCCTGGTGTTGAATGGTCCTTTCTGAAGGTGGGTTCATTACTAAAATACTGCAGCCTTTGCCCTTCTGTCCCTAACTGATAAGGCTGATAATTAAGTATGCAGAACTTTCTAGCTAATTAATCTGCAACAACAAAGGGGAAGTAACCCTGAATTAGCTGCTGGCCTGGTAGTGTTCCTTGATAAGGCTACCCTGTACCCTTCCAGGAATTTTAGGTCAAGGATGAGAGGCCCAAAGAGAAAACATCTAAGAACAGAAGTGAGACAAATGAAAGGGGGTGGGGGGGGGTGGGGAAGGTTCAACAAAATGGAGCTGCTCTGGCAAAAACTAGCTATACCAGTCCTACAGTGTGTTATGAGTTAAGATGAGTGACTACATATATTTGCTGGCTGGGGGAATTCTGGGCGTTGAAGCCCACACAGCTTAAAGTTGCCAATAGGGCTCTTGATAAGAAACAAAAAGAGAATTAGAAATCCCGAACTTGGGAAAAGCGTGATCTGCGTACAGGGAGCGCGTTTCTCCATCTCGGACGATGGAATACTACTGGCCAGACACCAGACTGCAGAAGAGCTGCGCTTCCCTGGCCGGCGTTTCGTCAGCAATCCGGATCAGCTGGAACCGACTCCTTTCCCCTTCGCCTCCTACCGTTAAGCCTCCTGGCCGCCCTCCGTCTTGCTTTACCGGGACATTAAGGAGTGACCGCGGGCCGCGAAACTGAGCCCAGGCGAAGCGTTGCCGACGAAGGCGGGAGAGGCAGCTGCTCTGTCTTAGCTTGGTTCCGCAACCGTTGCCCCCGCGGCCGCGTTCCAGCGGCGGCCCCTCCCTCCGCGCAGGCTGAGCGCCCCAGGAGTCATCCGAACGCTGGGCCAAGCCGGACCCAGGAAAAGAGCGTAGCGTTCGTGTTAATTAATCGTTCGTGTTAATGCAGCCCTGGATTGCATTGGCTTTTCTTTCTTTCTTTCTTTCTTTCTTTCTTTCTTTCTTTCTTTCTTTCTTTCTTTCTTTCTTTCTTTCTTTCTTTCTTTCTTTCTTTCTTTCTTTCTTTCTTTCTTTCTTTCTTTCTTTTTTTTGGGCAACCACAATGTAGGATTGTCTAGGATTGCAAAAAGCCAGTGCAATCCTAGACTGTATCAACAGGGATAGGATCCCAGAAGGGACCCTACCACTTTATAATAAAGCCTGGGTAAGAGCACGCTTGGAATATTGCATCCAGTTTTGGTCACTAAAATATAAAAAATAAGATGTTGTGACCCTGGAAAGAGTGCAGAGAAGAGTGACACAGATGATTGGGGGGCTGATAGCTGAAGCATAGGAGGAATGGCTGCAGGAATTTTAGAATAGAAATAGGAATAGAATAGAATAGGAACTGGAAGGGACCTTGGAGGTCTTCTAGTCCAGCCCCCCCCCCACTCAAGCAGGAGAATTGGGTATATCTAGTGAAAAGAAAAACTAGAGGCGACATGATAGCAAGAAGAACTAGGAGCAACATGATAGCAAGAAAAATTAGGGGCGACATGGCAGCAAGAAGAACTAGGGGTGACATGGCAGTGTTTCAATATTTGAGGGGCTGCTACAAAGAAGTGAGGGTCAACCTATTTTCCAAAGCACCAGGAGGCAAGACAAAAAGTAATGCATGGAAATTGAACAAAAAGAGAAACCACCTGGACCTAAGGAAACATTTCCTGACAGTAAGAACAATCAACCAATGGAACAGCTTGCTTTCAGAAGTTGTGGGTGCTCCATCACTGGTGGCTTTTAAGAAGAGACTGGACAGCCATTTGTCTGAAATGGTATAGGGTCTCCTGCTAGAACAGGGTTGGACTAGATCAGGAGTCCTCAACCCCCGATCCATGGACCGGTCCCGGTCTGCAGCATGCCAGAAACCAGGCCACACAAATAAGCGAAGCCCCATCTGCAGTATGCAAGCAGCACATGAAACCACACCCCCTCCGGTCCACAGCAAAACCTCTCTCCATGGAACTGGTCCCTGGTGCCCAAGAGGTTGGGGGCCTCTGGATTAGATGACCTCCAAGGTCCCTTCCAACTCTGTTATTCTGATGTGGCGGTGACAACTGTCTGCAGAAGGTTTGTAGCAATGGTGAAAGACTACTTTGGGTGTGCAGAGCTCTGATTGTTAATGGGATGCCTAGAAGCAGATGGGTTAAACCCCCCCCCCACATTAGACCTTGATGACATGGAATATCAGTGAGTTTTTTTCATGATGTCAAGCAAAAATGAATTCAAGGCAGAGAGAATGCAACCATCAGTCCAGGACTGTAAACCTGGAGTGGGGCTGTGGTCTTTTCATTATAACAAGATACTGCAATCTTCTTGTTCAATGAACCCAGTGTTCAGCGTTGTTCAATGCATGTTCAGTGAATCCAGTGCTCTTCATCTATTGATAAGCTTCAAATGTCTGGTTTGAAAAGCCACATCACGTTAATATCTTTACATTTTTTTTAATAAAATGTTTTATTGTTTTCAAGGTAACAGAAAAAGGAAAAAAAAGAAAAGGAACAAAACACAAAGATACATACAATATCAAAACAATGCATAACAAGTACTTAAAAATAATACAACAGAAAAAAAAATTAAAATATACCGGTAGTCCTCAACTTACGATCACAATTGAGCCCAATATTTCTGTTGCTAAGTGAAACATTTGTTAAGTGAGTTTTGCCCCATTTTACAACCTTTCTTGCCACAGTTAGTAAGTGAATCACTACAGTTGTTAACTTAGAAACACGGTTGTTAAGTGCATCTGGCTTCCCTATTGACTTTGCTTGTCAGAAGGTTACAAAAGGTGATCACATGACCCCGGGACACTGCAGCCGTCGTAAGTTTGAATCAGCTGCCAAGGGTCTGAATTTTGATCACATGACCATAGGGATGCTACAAGCATCGTATGTATGAAAAATGGTCATAAGTCACTTCTTTCAGTGCCACAACTTTGAACAGTCACTAAATGAACAGTTGTAAGCCAGGACTAGCTGTATACTGTAGTCCTTGACTTGCTATTGGTTATTTAATGACTGTTTAAAATTACTACAGACTAAAGAAGTTATTTAAGATCCATTCATGACTGTATTTCAAGTGGTTGGCAAATAGTTGCATTTACAATATCCTCTGATCACATGACAATGATTTCTGAGGGTTTTTTTTTTTTTGCTGATTTCCAACCCAAAAAAATGTCTATTGGATAAACAGGATTCACTTAAAAACCAAGTGATTCATTTAGCAACCGTGTCATTCGCTATACAGTATAACCATGGTACCTTGCTTTACAACCATCGAAAACGTGGCTGTAAAATCTAGTCCCATCACATAGTACACCGACTAACGACCGCAACAACTTAACAATAGAAATTTCAGTCTCAATTTGTGGTTGTAAATTGAGGAGTACCTGTAATATGTGATTATAATAGTAAACCTGATTAAACTTGCTACTTATGAGTGGATTAGACTATATGTCAGAATCCAATTATATTTCATCTCTAGTTATCAATTATAAAAAAACCCATTTCTGCCTTCTATGAATTCTGCCATACGATGAAGGGAAGGGGTGAACAAAGGGGCTTTATGGCCCTCACTTCCTTCGGTACACTTCAAAGCAGCTGATTGTGTGTATTGCCAAAAGAGCTAACCATAAGAATGGAGCTGTTGCCTTTCATGTAGTTTTCTTTGAAGTCTCCATCCAGCCGGCAGAAAGGAAAAGGGGGTGGGATTGTGATGCCTGAAACTGTCGCTGGAAGAGGGGGGTGATTGGATGGGACTACTGGGGAACCCCTTAAAACCTTGAATGGGAGAGCTTGGACCCCAAGTCCTGTCTAGAACACCTGCAACCATTTTCTCTTAATAAAGGATTCCTGTTGGAAGAATTATTCCAAGAGTTCTGTCTTCTTAAGATGCAAAGTGGGGTGGGTCCTTACACTATATATAGATAAATATAATGAAATGCAAGTAGTCTTCAACTTACGATCACAACTGAGCCCAACATTTTCATTGTTTTTAAATGAGTTTTGCCCCAGTTTATGACCTGTTTTGCTACAGTTAGCAAATAACTGCAGTTATTAAGTGAAGCAGGCAGTCATTAAGTGAATCTGGCTTCCCCCATTGACTTTGCTTGTCAGAAAGTTGCAGAAGGAGATCATGTGATCCCGGGACACTGCAAGTTGCCAGTTGCCAAGTGCCCAAATTTTAATCATGTGACCATGGGGAAGCTGCAACGCTTGTAAGTATGAAAACCAGTCATAAGTCACTTTTTTTCAGTGCTGTTGTAACTCTGAACAAATGGTTGTAAATTGAGGACTACCTGTATGGAATTTATTTATACAAAATACAATAAGTTAAAAAAGCATGATAGTTACGCACACACTTACATAAATGATTGCATTAGACATTTATATATAGAATTATATCTGTTGATTATTGTAACAATATATTATACATTAATATCTTTAAAGCTTATTACTAATGCCTTATAATAAATTTTAGAACATTAAACCAAATCAGGACAACGATTGGATAACCTTTTGTCAGTTCATACTTCTAGCCAAATGGAGCTGGTAGCCAATTTTTTCTAAATCTTTTCTGATGTGTCCAATAAACATTAAAAATCATATTATGATAACAAGGAATCTAGTTAATAATTTAAGACACTTAACTATTGATTTTTAATACAGAATATTCCATCTCTTCTTTGCAGAGTTTTTACAAATAACCAATGTCTATCATAATAATATACTTTAATTGTCTAAAAAACTATAGATTTGGAACTGTAAAGTATATTTTTCAAAAACAATAATAATTCAAGTGTTGTAGAGCTGGTAACAAGTCCAGACTGGGCTATGAAATCAAAAGACGCTATAATCAAATCTATTGCTTTTCTGTAGTTTTAGACAATCCAAATCCTTTTTGCAATAATAAAAAACAGATGTTTGAAAGCTTGGTTGGCAATTGAATTCAAGTACAATATTATTTATCTATGAACTTTTATACATATGTATATAGATACTGTACATGAATTTGCAATGTAGGATTAACCCAAAGATATAAAATTCATGAAATAAGAAACAACATCATACTTCTTTATATGCCTAGCAGCCTTCAGTGTTGAAAATACAACTGAATTTTGGCCAGAAGAAAGAACCAAGATATTGCCGAAGTATTAAAAAGTTAACATAGTCATATAATCTTAATTTCCTCAGTTTTAAATTCTACAAAGAAAATAGAAGGGAAAACATATGCTTGGTGATAAAACTGAAGATTGAGGAAGTTAAAATTTCCATTATCATATAAAGCTCATCAATGGCACAATTAGGAAATTTGTCCTTCCCAAATGTGAAAAATCCATTCAAGGTAGTAACAAAGGAATCTGTTTCAGTACATATCTCAGTCTTAAAGCAATGTTCATTTTTTACATTTATCTTTACCTACTCATGAAGACATTTTTAGTCATCGCTTTATATCAGTGGTGGCGAACCTATGGCACGGGTGCCAGAGGCGGCACTCAGAGCCCTCTCTGTGGGCACGTGCACCGTCACTCCAGTCCTAGGTCTTCAGCTGGGTTTTATAAAACCTTTTCACTTTAGGGCTCCATCGCCGTGTACAAAACAAAAAAAAAAGGTTCAATCCATCAATCAATTTCAATTTCTTGCAGGGAAAAAAAAGATCTTGCAAAGTTGGAATTGATTGAACATTTTAGTCCCACCCAGTCTGCCGTTACCACCGTAGCCACGCCCACCCAATGGGCCACACCCAGCCAATGGACCACACCCAGCCAATGGCCACACCCATCCAGCATCTGACCATGCATTAATGGGTTTTGGGTTGCAGTTTGGGCACTCGGTCTCTTAGGTTAGAACAGGGATCTTCAAACTTGGCCCTTTTATGACTTGTGGACTTCAACTCCCAGAATTCCTCAGCCAGGCATGCTGGCTGAGGAATTCTGGGAGTTGAAGTCCACAAGTCATAAAAGGGCCAAGTTTGAAGACCACTATGAGTTCTAGTCTCACATTGGACACGAAACCAGCTGGGTGATCTTGGGCCAGTCACTTTCTCTCAGCCCTGGGAAGAAGACAATAGAAAATCATTTCCAAAAAGATCTTGCGAAGAAAACTACAGACTTCTCTAGGCAGTCTCTGAGAATTGGACAAGATTGAACAAAAGAAAAATATGCATCATGTACATGTTAAAAAGAGGGAAAAGCTTTGACCACCCATTTGTACCTGTTATATTGACATTGGTATTGAACATCCTTAATATATTTTGATATAAAGCAAGTATTCCTTGACTTTTTCTACCCAAAAGTTCAAATGCAGGCTTTTATATTGATATGAAATCCTAACAATCACTGTTTTAAGTTTAAAGTATGGTAATTCAGTCACTGGCTTCCCAAAAGGTTATGAGAAAAAATACTCCATGAAATATGCTTAAATGCAATAGTGCAGTAGAATAAAACTTTTGTGCTGTAACTATGGATAATATGAATTGGAAACCACCTGAATATTATCCCAACATACTGTGCACATTTTTATATCAATGTTTTCTCATATATTCACAGGTTTTGGGTGTGTAGTAGGGGTAATTCTCATTCTAAGCACTGCACACAAAGTACAATCCATAATAATGGTTGTAAGTAGAAATGTTTTATAGCCTGTAAACAATAAACAAAAATGTCATGTTTCCATACCTGCATGGCAACTAATAAAATGTGTGTATTGTTGATAGCAAAATAGCAGTAGCATGATTGCAATTATTGCTCCTTATATGCCTTATTTTATATGTTCTATTTTGTGGGTTGTACATTACAGGTTTAATTTAGTAAGATTTACTTGATCTGGGTCACTGACCTTTAATTGGATTGGATTGGTTTGAAATGGACTGAATATTTAAGTAACCTTTTACGCAATTGTACAGCAGTATGGAGTTAGCATTGAAAAAAATATATTGTAGTCAATAGGAAACCATGAACAGGAAAACAGGAAGGTGTAAGAAAAATACTCAACATTGCCTTGCCTAGAGTCTCTTTGATGTTAGAGAGAACAAAGAATTTTTGTCAAGCTTTCAGGCTTGTTATAGCCTATATCAGGTTATCTCTACACATCTGTACATCTTATCTGTACTGTACACTGCCCAAAGTCAGTGAGGGAGATGGGCAGCTTCAAAAGTTGATAAATAAAAAATAATAATAATAATGAAAAAATATCAATAAAGTAGAGTTTTACTATTTGTAGTGGTATCTGTCACCAGTCCTGGTTTATCTCCAATGGCTTTGTTACACTTCATATTTATACTTTAGACCAGTGATGGCGAACCTTTTAGAGACCGAGTGCCCAAACTGCAACCCAAAATCCACTTATGCATCGTCAAGTGCCGGGTGGTGTGGCCCATTGGGTGGGCGTGACCCATTGGGTGGGCGTGGCCCATTGGGTGGGCATGGCTGCAGTGGTAACAGCAGACTGGATGGGACTAAAAAGTTCAATCAATCAATTCCAACTTTGCAAGATCTTTTTTTTCCCCGTGAGAAGTTGAAATTGACTGATTGAACCTTTTTTTTTTCTTTTGCACACGGCGGTGAAGGCCTAAAGCAAAAAGGTTTTATAAAACCCAGTTGAAGGCTTAGGACTGGGGCGATGGCACGTGTGCCCACAGAGAAGGCTCTGAGTGCCACCTCTGGCACCCGTGCCATAGGTTCGCCACCACTGCTTTAGACTATGAATCAATTACAAACCCATATATTGAGAAATATGATTAATCTGGAATTAAACATTTCATAACCATTTAGTACTTGGGAGAGAATTAAACACATACAGTGGTGGTTTGGTACACAACTTTTTAAAACTCATTGAATTTGGTACTCAGTTCATTGTGATGTGAACATTTTGTCCCAGTAATCATTGTTTGTTTGGTACTCAATGCACAAACTAGAACTTGTCAGTGTCATCTGCCTTGTGACTCACTACATTATTCCTTATGGGGAAAAATTGTTTGATACTCATCATTATTGTGCCTCCCGGAACCAATTAACGATGAGTACCGAGGTACCACTGTATCTGACTATTTGAAAAATAACCTGAAATCTTTAAATGGTAGCACTACCTTCTAGAAGTGTATTTATTTCTTTATCAATGGTTAATTTTATTTATGAGATGGTTTTATTGTTATTTGTGGTTGGGTCCATTCATTTAAATATAATTTTATTGTCATTTAATGTTGTGAATCAGCATGGGCTATGTCAGGAATATGAAGAAAAAAAATTAAAATATAAATAAAATAAATGCTATTCAAGTGAAGTCTCCATACTTGTAAGCCAGAAATAATTGACACTGATTTTCAGACTTTTTGACATGCAACCAAATAATATCTGAGGGTAGTATGAAGGCAAACATCTTGGCTGAAGGGTAAGGCTTTTCTTGTTTGTGAGATGGTTAATCAAGAAGAAAAGTTTGAAAGAACAATAGTCTTTTTTTTCTCATTCTTCTCTTTACATTATGCTGGCTTGGGCAAACTGGATTGGACACTTGACAGCTTCATTGACTTAAGAGAACTTTTTCATGAAATGTAGCTTCAAGTAAGAAATAGTAAGGAAAATGATGGTCATGCAAGCCAATGCCACATGGTTCTGCCATAACCCCCAACCAGTTGCATCAATCCCTTGGCCTTCTAGGTATTGTTCTCCAGTGCACCTAAAAAGAAATACAAGCAGAGATTTTTGATTATCAGAAGCTCCACCACACGTGTAACAATCTTGTATGGTATCGATAGAGGAGAATATTTGTAGCTCAGGGTTGAAATGAAGAGTCCTTGGTGCTCTTTGAGTGCACCTGATGATGTTACCTAGTTTGGTAATGAAACATCTGCAAGAAAACAACCACGCTTAGACAGCACCAAAGGACGCCTCAGTCTTCTGTGGGCCAAAGACTGCAACACAGATGTGGCCACATTATACCCATGGATGTGGATTGGTTTGAGGGTGGCCTAACACCCACCACATAATAACATGGTAAAATCAGTTTAGTCATATGATTACCCATTTATCGACCGACATGATTTACAACCATAATTCCAAGCTCAATTACAATTGTAAATTGTTGGTATTATCAGTGCAAATCTTTACATAGGAAAATATATAATCGGGGGGAGGGAAGACCTGATCAGATTTAGGTGCTTTCTCCTGATTCCCACTTTAAAGGATTCAAGACTTCATTAACAATAATATTAAAAGGATAATATATCATTTCTTTCACTTATAATATCTCGTACCAGGATTGCCTCAAGTCTTTAGTACTAGGCAGAGTTGAGAAAAGCAGAGATTCTACTTACGGCTGAATTGTGCTAACTTCTGTGCAATTGGAGGGGCTCCCGTTTTTATTTGTATGGATATTACAGAAGTCAAGACCAACAAATTCATTAATCTGCAATGCCTTTGAAGATGAAGAAACATAGCACAATAGTGTTTTTGAAAGCATACACAAAACAAGCCCTATGTGTGCAACAATATACATATGCATTCAGAAGTATTACATAGTATGTGCATTAGACTTACAATATACGTACTGCTGTTAAAATTGCAGGAAAAATAATATAAATAAAATAAATGCTATTAAAGCATTTATTAGCAGGAAATAATTGACACTGATTTTCAGAACTTTTTGACATGCAACCAAATAATATCTGAGGGTATTATAAAAGGGTGAAGGTGAGGCTTTTCTTGTTTGTAAGATGGTTAATCAAGAAGAAAAGTTTTTTTAAAAATACAGTTAGGAGAACAATAATATTTTTTCTATGCATTTTCTATGCATTCAGAAGTATTAGATATTATGTGTGTTAGACTTACAATATACCCACTGTTAAAATTGCCCCTTTAGTTATATGTTGGATGGACGGAAAGATACATATTAGTCAATTCTTCTTTACAAAATGATGTAGCACTTACTGTCAAGCCATATCGAGGGATGCTGAAGTACTGGAGCCAAGATAGCCATGACATGATACTGGTGAGATTGACCAACAAACCCGAGAAAATCTGCAGATAAAATCAAAGATGCAAAATTCATTAAATTCATTAAAAAAAGGAATGTAATTTTTGAAACTATAAACCTTTTAGACACCGAGTGTCCAATAACTGCCCCAACCCCGCTCCACCCCTGCCCCGCCCCGACCCACCCACAGCGCCACCCACCACCTCCATGGCCCGCCGCAGATTGTCCAGATGGCCGAATAGCGCCATGGTGGCCACGCCCGCCAGCTGTGCCCCACAGCAATATCTGTTTGCGACGGGGCACAAGGCCGAAGTCTTATCCCCACTAACATATCCTTGGCTGCGCTGCTCCAGGCGGGCTGTGCCTGGGGGCAACTCTCCTCTGGGGGGTCTGGTCTGGAGGAGGCTGTGGGGGAGGTGGGGCTGGGGCAACGGCACGTGTGCCCACAGAGAGGGCTCTGAGTGCCGCCTCTGGCACTCATGCCTTAGGTTCGCCACCACTGCTATAATCAATACATGATCAAACATTTCCTGGAATGTTAAAGGCTGTTCTATTTTCTCAACTAAATCCATTCTCTTCCTTCTCTGTGTAGTATCTTCTTAATCCCATCTTGGTTTTTCAAACTATTTACCATCAAGCTGGCCTGGTGGTAAGAGAAATGCCCATATTCAGGCATGCTGGCCAGATGTTGATGTGTAACATATCTGAACAGCATTATGTGGGGAAAGGATGATAACAGGGAAGGGGACAAGCAAATTGTTAGGGTTAATCAATAGGGAATCACAATCAGGCAATGAAAACCCCATCTTTTTATGTGTGTCATGGCAACAAATTCAAAAGAAAGGGGCTTTGATTCTATGGTTGTGTTTGACAACTTTTTTGACCCTCTGGATACCTCTGAAGTTGGACAAATAGCCTTAATGAGACATCCATTCAAGGTACTCACAATCATAAAAACAAAGCTGATAGTCATCAGGAGATTGGCGACAGCAACCACATTGTGTCCTGTAGCAATAGCAAGTGCCATCGAGGTTGCAGTGTATGACACCATCATCAGAGTAAACATCATTATAAAGAAAGCCTCCACAGTGGGTTTCAGTCCTTGAGAACAAGAAAAGCAGGATTGGAATCTCAATCCTATTATATTGTCAAACATTATATTAGCATGATGATTACATTTTTTGTTACATAATTCATTCTGATTTGCATAAAGATGCATTGTAGTTTTTATGATGTCTATACATGAAACATCTGTTTGCAGATCTCGCTCGGTATATTTTTCCAGATAGACAAAAGATGATAAACTTACCTAGCATGAAATAAACTATGCAGGTGAAAATTATGCTGGGTAAAGTCCTCATAGGTATTAAATCAGCCATTAGTTTTGAGAAGAAGTATGCAGAGGTTCGATAGTATCCACTGATATATTCATGTCTATAACAAAACAGCCAAAAAATTAGATACTCAATTAACTTTCACTCATTAAAAATATAAATGTGTCATGTATGAATTGCAGCAGAAGGACCGTTCCTTGGAAATTATCCTGACTGGAATAATTGCATTTACAAAAGATCTACAGCTTTTAGTTTGACTTCTTGCAACCAGTTTACACAGTATATCGAATAATAATTAAACTACTCTTTATGAAATAAAGTACAAGCTGTATTCATACTCTATACATAAAACCTGGCTCAGCATTTCAAGCGTCTATGGCTGAGTTCACAAGCTAGATAGATAAATCAATCAATAAATCAATGAAAAATTAAATATCACATTTTGATATATTCTAATAACAATGTTTATCCTAATATCAAATGCCCATTCTTAGAATATACATATGTAACTATTATTTCTGCAAAAACTATGATTCCTTTTAATTTAAGCCATTTTGTTTTTGCCCCAATACATTTTTAAAATTACAGAGTAAAGCCTGGCATTCAAAACTTATTTAGACAGACTTTTTGTTTTAGGAAGACTTTTGCTTGTTTTTTTATCTCTTGTATATCAGTTAAGCTTGCCAATTTCTTTGTTATGAATGCTTTGAAAGGTGGCACAATGGCTGGAATGCAGTACTGCAGGCTAATTCTGCTGACTGAGGACCCAGATTGTTGGGGGCAATAGGCTGGCTCTGTAAACCACTTAGAGAGGGATGTAAAGCAGGGCTTTTCAACCAGTGGTATGGGTACCACCTGTGGTACATTGGCACCTGGCAGGTGGTACGCGACCATCCTAGAAAAGTGGTAGTGGGGAATGAGCTGAACTGGTGGCAGCACCGCACAAGCCTGAGCGAGAGACGGCTGGAGCTGCAGGGCTGTCAGGGCTCAGCGGAAGTGACAGGATCAGTGCTGCTTTCCAGCTGATTGGCGCTTCTTCAGGACTGTCAGGGCTCAGTGGAAGCACCAGGATCAGCACCAGGCTCCAGCTGGAGCTCGGCGCTGATCTGATGCTTCTGCTGAGCCCAGAAGAAGCACCAATCAGCTGGAATGTTGCAGCACCTCCAGGGTCTTGTGATTTACATTCAGATGCTTGGCAACCGATTCATATTTATGATGGTCACAGTGTCCCAGGGTCATGTGAAGTGACCGAAACCTGCTGCAACCACCCAGCAGACAGGGGGAATAAAAACCAAACACCCCCCACCCCACCCCCGCTGCCAATCCTCAGCAGAAATGCTCACAACAATGAAAACCTCGGACAGGAGGAAGAGCATCGCTGGGTGGGCAGGCAGGTGTCTTGCTCGGCTCTGCCTTGGGGGGCACTTTTTTCAGTGCCATCGTAACTTCGATCAGTCACTAAGCGAACTGTTGTAAGTTGAGGACTACCTGTACTTTTATCATTTTTTTCCTTTTTGGGGGGGGGTCATCAAGTTTTTGACACCTTGCTAGGCGACTGGTGGTAGTCGGATGTTGCCATATCCTAAAAGTGGTACAATGGGTGAAAAGGTTGAAAAGCCCTGATGTAAAGCACTGTGAAGTGGTATATAAGTTTAAGTGCTATTGCTGGTATTACCCAGAATCATGAAGGGAGTAGGTGGCATTCTCAATAAATATCACAGATTAAAGTTAGAAATAGCCATAAAAACAGAAGCATGTTTAAAAGGTACATTGTGACTACTATCTTGACTTTTTGGATTGCCCTATGCACAGCCAAACACAGCAACGAGAGTCAAACTTGCACACCCATTGAGGCCTAGAGTGGTCTTTTCAACTCCAGGGAGACTATCTGCAAGTGAAGAGCTTATAGATCAAAAGATTTTATCACTAAATAAAGAATTCTTTTAGATATTCATCATTTTCTCTAGGAATGCTTACTTACATAAATATTTTCTTCTCCACCACAAAGAGTTCAATTGCTGAAATGCTGCTGAAACACTGATTAGTGGTCATAAAGAACATGGCACCGATTCTAGGGAAAAGACAGATTGTCATCATGAGAAACTAGCTTTTTTAAAAGGCTTTTTTTAAAAAAATTAATCCAGTGCTTCTGGGTTTTATTTTCTTATCACTTATTTGATCATCCTATTATCCCCAAAGGACTCACCTATTTTGTATACCTTTACCATCATTCGTTACACCAAAGAATATGGCACCCACGACTAATCCCAGAAAAATCGTAACCAGTAACTGAAATATAAAGATATATTATGCTCAGTTATTAATTGATGCACAGTCATGGTACTTGAGTTGGCATCATCAAAACCAAAGACAAATTTTGCTTCTTTTTCTTCCCAAAATGGCCTTCATTCATTCTTTAAAAAATCGAAGGCATCATGCTATAACAACAAATTTTCCAGTCATCACTATTAACCCGTATTCAACTGATATTAAATGTGAATGGCTACTTTTAACAATAAAAGTTTCAGGAGAAGTTTGGAATTGTGTTATTAGATAAGACAAGTGACATTTCATAAATTAGAGCAATTTGTTTGGTCCATACGCTAACATAAACCTATTGGAAAACACTTGTTCTAGTGCAGGGGTAGACAACCTTGGCTCTTTTATGACTCGTGGACTTCAATTCCAAGGAATTCCTGAGCCAGCCATGCTGAGGGGAAAGGGAGAGGTTTCTAAGCTGAGCCATGCTGGCTCAGGAATTCTGGGAGTTGAAGTCCACAAGTCATAAAAGAGCCAAGGTTGCCTACCCCTGTATCTAGTGTGATCTGCTGACTGGATGCAACCATCTCAAGCTGTATCACCATGGGATAAGACAGATATGGTGTGAAATTCTCACCCTTCATACAAATGTGGCCTCATCTCTTAGAATGCTCAGTAATGGCTAAGTTAGCTCAAGAATTCTAGAAGCTGGAATCCATATGTGGAGAACAATAATACTTGTCCAAGCCAGAAGGATCTTTGCACAGGGAATAAAAGATATTGGGCCCATCCTATAAATGATTGAATTACAAGAAACTACATAGCATTGAAACATAAACCGATTAGAAAAGATGTTATAGTTGATGTCATAAGATAGATAAGCAGATGTCATAAGATGTCATAAGATAGATAAGCAGATGTCATAAGACAGATAAGCAGTATAGTATTTTTATAACATATGAAGTATGAAAACATTGGGATGAGGTGTTTAAATGGAGAATTTGGATATTTAGATGTTAAATACTGAGAAAATTATGATTGATAAGAATCATTTGAATATTAAGGAGAAATTAAGCTTAAACAAGATTTATGAAAATAGGATATATGGTGAACCAATAAGATGATTTTTATAAAAATAACCCAAGTTTATAAGAAAAAAAAAGTCATATATGGACGCTTTTATTGTTGGTGCAAACATGATAAAAATGTTCATATTTAATCATTTATGCATTGAAAATATTAATTATATTTGTTTAAGGTTAAAGAAGGAGAATACTATTAGGAGAAGAGAAGATCAAAGAAATATACTATTAATCAATATACTAATTATGGAAGTATAAAAATAAATTATTATTGATTGTTAATTAACTACTATTGATTGTGCTTTTTTTAAAAAAAAAAATTATGAACCAACACAACATGCTGTAAACCAGGCCCTAAGGATTGTTATTGTAAAAAATCAATAAAACATTTTTTTTTAAAAAAAGAAACTACATAGCATTGATTAAAATTGCAGCCAAAGTAATGGTATCAGGCCATTGAGAGTCGATCTTGAACTGAAGAAATTCCAGAAACTGCCAAAAAGCCCTAGTCTCAAAAATCATGCAACTAAGCCAATTGTATTAGAGAGCAAGGATCATAGCAAGACCAATCTGAGAAGATTAATACAAAGGTTTAAAGGAATACCTTGGAGCATTTACAGATTTCATTTCATAAGCCATTCCTAATGAGGTTAGGAAGATCAAAGCAATCAAGAGGGGCAGGAAGTTAGGACTCTTAGCCCTCAGGAGACTATAAGACTCTTAAAGGGCATAATTCTTGTCACAAGGTCAAGCTTTTACAATGCAATTAAAAGGGATTTTCATAACATCAACATACAACATCAAAGACGCTGTGATGAGGAGATTATTGCCTCGTGGAGAGCAAAGGTTTTAACAAGAAATCAAACGGATCTAATCATTTTATTAAGCCTTACTTCTAAAGTTTCCCAATACCACCAAACCTCTAAGAAATGATGGTGAAAGGGAACAGATTTTGTCTGCTGCTATTTCTCCATGGCAATTACCTCTAAAACCACTTTTACACTATCAGGGATCCCAAACCAGTATTTGTTTATTGAATCTCAGAGAACTTCCACACCGTCACTGGACTCACCTATCAAATCTTTCACAGCAATTTCAAGCTGTCAAGCTAGTGTCCATCATTAGCTCCTACAGCTGGCTAACGGAAGGATACAAAAATGACAGCCAGCTTATCCTCACCCTCATTCTTCCCTTCTCATGTTTGCTTTTTGCAACCAGAAGGGGGAAAAATGGGGAGAATCAGGAAACTACAGTGTGGGATGATCAGTAAAGTAAGGCAACAAGGTGTCTCAGCTGCAGTAAGGTAGTAAAACATGTTGGAGGGAGAATATCTGTAGAGCTGGCGTCTCCAACCTTGGCAACTTTAAGACTTGTGGATTTCAACTCCCAGAATTCCTCAGCCCTCATGATTGGGGGTCCTCAATCCCCAGTCTGTGGACCAGTACCACCACGGCATGCCAACAACTGGGCCACACAAAGAAGCAAAGCCCCATCCGCAAGATGCAGGCAGCACACAAAACCATGCACTCTGGTCCGCAGAGAAACCTCTTTCCACAGAACCGGTCCCTGGTGCCCAAAAGGTTGGGGATCTCTGTTCTAGGAGATCCAAGAGGCAGAAGTCCCAACCAATGACAAACTTACAGCTCCATAAGAAAACATGAATTATATCCTTTGGATCAGGAAATGGAGAGGATAATCAGGTTAGTTAGTTTCCTAGAGAGGCAGCGTTCAAACTGGTGCTGTCTCTGAGAATGAGAAGGATCATTCTCTGAGAATGGGAAGGATCATTCTCTGAGAATGGGAAGGATCATTCTTTTTTCTCCAGCTGATCTTCTCTGAGACCCCTTCCATAATCAAGAAATGTCAGGAGGGAATTGCCAGTTGGGATTTCTCAAACTGGAAGGTGTGGGTGGTCAGAGATGCTTTAGAGCAGACATGTCAAACTCGTGACCTCACATGATGTCGCGCAATGTATAGGGACAGTTTTGCTATTGCTGGCAAAGGGGTGGGCGTGGCTTCCACGTGATGCATCCGGCCCGCGGACCGGCAGTTTGACACCCCTGCTTTAGAGTGATGGGAAAGCATGTTAACAAGAAGCACCAATAGTCCTCTGTCTTTTTTAACAGTACTGTAAAGACTTCTGTAAGAGGAAATGTGAAAGAAATTAATTCCTAAAATAAGGAAGCATTGATACCTAAGCCCCAACCTTCACCAGCTTCAGTAAGTGTAAGATTGGCATGTGAAAGGACAGGACAATTAAAACCTTTAGAATTACCTGTGCTATGGAGGCTTGAGGGTTACCTATTAAATTTTTGAACATCCGTTTGGAGACCCACTTCAGCTGGTGAAAGAAGGAAGTGGAATAGGTGATTTTTTGGAAAGTGATCTCTTTGGTTTTGCCCCTTGAAGACAGCTTTTCCAATTCTGCTTTGGTTTCTTGGTTGTAAGAAGAACTTGAATACTTGTCTGCCAATTTCTCTGCCAGCGTCTGATCATGAGTACCATCTTTAAAGAGATAAGAGGAAAATTAATTATATTGAATATGTTTTTTTTTCCTTCTCCGGGTGGGACAACACTTTAGCTTGATCATGGTGGGAGTATCGTTGCTTAAGTACATGTAGTCCTTGAGTTACGACCACAATTCAGCCCAAAATTTCTGTTGTTAAGTGAATTTTGCTCCATTCTACGACCTTTCTTGCCACAGTTATTAAGTGAATCACTGCAGCGGTGAAATTAGTAACATGATTGTTAAGTGAAACTAGCTTCCTCATTGACTTTGCTGGCCAGAAGTTTACAAAAGGTGATCATGTGACCCTGGGACACTGCAACTGAGTTTGAATGGTCACTAAACGAACTGGACTACCTGTATTTATGCTAATGATAAGCATCATGATAATGATCATGACAGAAAACTGTACAAACCTATAAATCTCTGCAGAGACAGCAAAGCCAATTCAGAACTGTTTGTTTGTTTGATCTATATCTGTTTTTCCTTTAGGAACTTGAGACAGCATTCATATATCTCTTTCTTTTAATTTTCCCCATACCAATTCTGGGAGATAAGTTAAACTAAAACAAAATTACTGACTCCAAGTTACCTAGTGAATTTCTGTGTAGTTGAGTTCAAACTTCGACTTGCAACTCACTGATCATGGTCTAACACCTTCCTTGTCACCCACAAGTCGGTGGGCGTGTAAATATCCTTTTATTCATTTTGAATTTTTTACTACACTTTTACATCTAAATGTGGCTCAAAGTGGTGCACACAAAAATCTGAAATTAAATGGTTGGTAAAAAGACAAAAATAAAAGGAATCTAAATTAGTCAAGGATGGCCCAAAAAAATCAGAATCTGGTTGTACCTTACCAGAAGGCAAGACAAGAAGCAATGGATGGAAACTAATCAAGGAGAAAAGTAACCTAGAACTAAGGAGAATTTTCCTGACAGAATAATTAGGAGAATGATTTGCCTTCAGAAGTTGTGGGTGCTCCATCACTGGAGACTTTTAAGAGAAATCTAGACAGCTACTTGTCTGGAATGGTATAGGGCAGGGGTAGGCAACCTTGGCTCTTTTATGACTGGTGGACTTCAACTGCCAGAATTCCTGAGCCAGCCGTGCTGAGGGGAAAGGGAGAGGTTTCCATGCTGAACCATGCTGGCTCAGGAATTCTGGGAATTGAAGTCCACCAGTCATAAAAGAGCCAAGGATGCCTACCCCTGGTATAGGGTCTCCTGCTTGAGCAGGGGGCTGGACTAAATGACTTCCAAGGTGCCTTTCACCTCTGTTATTCTGTTATTCTTTTTTGGCTAACAACATTTATTAAAAGGTACCAGCTTTTGTAGGTCGTAGCTCACTTCAACAGATGCATAGCGTAGCTAGAGGATTGATTAACACTGCAGAACAAAATGCTAATCTGGGTAATTTTTCCATTTGTCAGAGCTGGTATTAAAATATAATCCATGTAACAATGGAGGCAGCTTTCCCCCTACTCTCTGTGGCTCCACTGCATCATAATTAGTAAAAGCTATGCAGCATTTGGGAGTATTGACATATAAATGAATCTAAAGTGCTTAGATATATGTTTCTTGTTGTGCCATTTGCACTATTCAAATCCTAAGTGAGCTCAATGACAGAGCTGACAGTGCAAAAAGCAGACTGCCTCTCTCTATAGCACACCAGGCAGTGATTCCGAACAAGGAGCTATGTTTTGCACACTATACCTTTCTCAGTTTCATTAGAAGAAGCCACAGCTGTCGAGTCTCCGTTAATGACATCCAGAAAAAAGTCAGCAGGGTTATTGTATGGTTCACACTCATAACCTGAAAAAGAAAGAAAGAAAAAAATAATAAAAGAAACAAAATGTTTCTGCATCATTTCAACCGTTGGTGAAAATATATGGCAAAGCATTTTTTGCAATACCACAAACATCTACATTATTGTTTGCTAGAGCTGGCCCAACCAGGCTTTCTAAATTCTCTAATAAAATTTAGGACAGAGAAATTGGGTGGACATTTTCTCTGAATTTCTCCAAGAGAAGCAAAATTTATCCACCAATTTAAAAAATACAGGATTCCACCTTAGCAAAGATAGCAACATCATCATGGCTTTTTTTCCTTTGGGATTTAATGCTGGTGATGGAAACCAGGGAGAACACAAGTCATTGGAGTGTTGATTGTTTAGAGAAGGATAGGACATTTCCATGCATATCTCCCCTGGCTACTTCTTAATAAATGTCTCCCTTAAAATTGTTTCATAACATAACAGCACATTGTTCGACACCAAAGTTTCCAAAGTACATGCATGGTACTTGGTACACCTTAATTATTGTGTAATAGAATTGTGGAAAGCATTCTGAAGGTCAGGTTTCTACAAGGCTCATCATGTCAGCTTCAGACTTTTTTCTCAAGTTTTTGAACATAAATGTGCACACAGAGACAGGGTACTAAGAAAACTGAAGGAAGACTTTGAAATATGATGAGTCTCTGAAGAACAAAACCATCTTTGGTAACTATATGCAATGCCTCTCCAAATACATTATCCAGATCTAATACATACGCTTAAATTAAATAAGGTAATTTATAATTTTATTCATACTAATACTCCATGAGCAATCCTGTCCTTTACTGTTGTTTTTGAGCTAAGAATCATACTGGATCTTTGGCAAATTAATCTCAGAGGTAAATACTTTCCCATCAACATTATGGTTCCAAATCAGATCCCGGATCTTATTTAAAAAAGAAAAAAAGAAAAAGAGATAGCCAGGCATTCAATAAATAGCCTTCTGGACACTTACCGATGGTCTTGAAGTAGTCTAAGGCATTCTGAGCAGGTCCATGATACAAAAGTCTTCCTGCAGCCAGCAAGGTTAGCTTATCAAACACTCTGAAGATGGAGTAGCGTGGTTGATGGATGGAAAAGATGATGGTTTTCCCTTGCTTAGACATCCTGCACAGAGAGTAGAAAGCTCATTAGAAATATGTTAAGGAGTTAAAGTTAATTCCTTAACGTAAAAGACCCTGAAAATTAATATTGATCACTCAAATCCTAGGTTTGGTTTTGTTTTGGGGGAAAAGGTGAATTAAAATATCCACCCATCCATCCATCCATCCATCCATTTATTCATCTGTCATTTTGTTTGGCTGTGCAAAATGTCAGTATTGTAACTGGTCTCTTTCTTTTCATGATTCTTTTTTCTGTTCAGGGAGCGGGCAGGGATGCTAAGAAAACTGCTTCTGAATTATATCTTGATCCTCTGATCAAGGGGACGATGTTATAGAAAATGGCCTTCTTTTATTCTATGTGTGGTGTTTGTACATGGAAAAAAGATTGTAGCAGGGGTCTTCAAACTTGGCCCTTTTATGACTTGTGGACTTCAACTCCCAGAATTCCTCAGCCAGCATCGCTTCCTTTTATAGAATCAAAGGGCTGACATGGACCTCGGAGGTCTTCTAGTTCAACCATCTGCTAAAGGGAGGAGTCTTACACATCGCAGCCAAACGGTTGTCCAGTCTGTTTTTGAAAACCTCGAGTTATTTTTTGTGTAGTTTCTACATGGAGCACTTCATCTAGCAATTACCTTTTCAAGAGCAGCAAAACGGCATTGGCTGTGCTGGCATCCAGACCAGTGGTTGGCTCATCTAAGAACAAGATGGCCGGGTCAGTAATGAGCTCCATTCCAATATTGGTCCTTTTCCTCTCTCCTCCTGATATGCCACGAATGAACTGAGTTCCAACCTAATGGAAAATGGGGATGTCCATGACATTGTCTTCTAGAAAACATTTTCAGGCAGAGATTATTTAGCACCCAACCATAGAAGACTCATTATTGAATTTGATTTAAAAAAAAAAAAACCTTGGAAGATAAAGGAGAATATCTGTAGCTCAGGGTTGAAATGAATGGATTTTGGTGCTCTTTGAGCTTGGTTTTTTTTTTTTTGCAGACATTTCATAACATCATGATGATGTTACCTAGTTTGGATAACGAAATGTCTACAAGAAAATAACCAAGCTTAGAGAGTACCAAGGACCCTTCCAATTAGAATATGTATTAATTATCAGTGGTCCATTAGCACAGACACAATGTTAATACATTGTCATCTTCAGGCACCCTTTGCTGAACCCTACTTCAGTGTTGATAAGAACAAGCCACAATAACATCTGGTTTAAGTATTCACTCTGTACTTCACCTCCATTTATTTGTCTAATCTCTTAACCTGGTTCATATTTACTTCTGCACTGTTAATCAGAAAACTAATGATACAGTACTTTTATCTCATTAAGACCAATTTCTCTCAGTCTGATTGTTGAGTAGCCAGAATTTTGTATTCTTCATTTTTAATGTAAAGATCTGGTAACACTTAAGCCCGCCTGTTCTTCACTTCTCCCAAAGGTTGATACTGTGTTGTAGTTAGGCTGTGCACAAGTGTTATAGAACATAGGTCTCCCTATTAATGACACAAAGAGCACAGCCAAATAGCAGTTGACTTTGAAAAAATGAAAGGATGAATATGCCCCATATCCTGGGAGGATACGGATATAGGTATAGATAAAGGTATAGGCTTCGGAATAAGTCTAACTAGACATATAGAGATAGAACCAGATCCAAATCTAGATAATTGAATCTAGATCTTCTATATGTATGTTATAGGCAAAGTCCTGAATATGGGGGATGTAGAACAGAGGTCCCCAACCTTTTGGGCACCAAAAGGTTTTTCCATGGATCGGAGAGTGTGTGGTTTTATGTGCTGCCTGCCTGCCTCCGGTCCAAGGATGGGGCTTTTCTTGTTTGTGTGGACTGGAGGCTGGGGACCTCTGATCTAGACAAACAAGATATATTGCTGACAAATATTCCTAATAGGTCACCAAATGAAAATATAGATCAAATTGACATTATAGCATCCTCTCCAAGCCTTGGTGCCATTCAGAGGGTTTTTACATCATTCTGGCTGGCATGGTGAAGTTAGGGCATGAGGTTAGTAAGGCAGTTCTATCTAATCTGCTCTTTAGAAGGCCAGATCCTGAAGTTGAAACTCAAGTACTTTGGCCACCTAATGAGAAGGAAGGACTCACTGGAGACGAGCCTGATGCTGGGAAAGATTGAGGGCAATAGAAGAATGGGACGACAGAGAATGAGGTGGCTAGATAGAGTCACTGAAACAGTAGGCGTGAGCTTAAATGGACTCCAGAAGATGGTGGAGGACAGGAAGGCCTGGAGGAACGTTGTCCATAGGGTTGCAATGGGTCGGACACGACTTCGCAACTAACAACATCTAATCATGGATGTGGCTTGAATATTTTCATCTGTCTTATTATTATCAGTTCTGACATACTGGCAATAACATTACTTACCATCATCATTTAACTGAAAGTTAGTCCATTTCTAGCGCTCCCTTTATGGAAATTAGTCCTCAGGGAGATTTAATTTCATTACCTTTGAATCTGCCACTTTTGTCAATCCCAGCTCCTTGAGGATCTGGTTGATTCTCTCCTCCTTTTCATAAGCTTTTACTGTTTTGGGTAGTCTGAGCGCAGCTGAGAACTGGAAGTTTTCCCTCACCGTCAAAGTCCCCATCACAACATCATCCTGAAAATACAAAGAAAGCTTTTAGTTGATTTTCATTTATTTGCGTCAAACCGGAAATTATATATGTATTTATTTATCAAATTTCTACACCACTCATCTCATCTGAGTGACTCTGGGTGCTGTACAAATAAAAACCTACAGTAGTATAAAAAAACATAATTAAAAACAGAGGTAAACATATAATTAAAAATAGAATTAAAAACGTTTTTTTTAAAAAATAAATAAATAAAACATAATTAAAAGCGAAGTTAAAAATTAAGAGGGTAAAAATATTAAAGAGGCAAAGGCAATGCCCTCAAGCCACCAATGAATCCCAGCATTGCATATATCACTCTTAGGCCTGCATGCCAATGGGCAGAGCCAGATCTTGATTCCTTTTTCTGAAGACCAGGACAGCAGGAGGGGGCCCATCACTTCTGAAGGTGAGATGTTCCAAAGGGCAGGGGGAATGAGAAAGAAGTTTCTCTTCCTAAATCCCACCAGTCATAATTCTTTAACCAATGGAGTCCACAATATACCCTCCCTGTCTGAGCAGATGGGATGTCTTGATGTAATTGGGACAATTGGTTCCTCAGATAACCTGGTCCCATGCTATGAAGGGCTTTAAAGATAATAACCAACAACTTGAATTGGACCAGGATGCAAATCAGCACCCAATGCAGCTTGTATAGCAGTGGTGTTACATGAGTAATCCTAGGGCTATCCAAAACCGCTCATGCTGCCATATTCTGCATCAGTTATGGGTTCCAACTACTCTTCAAGGATAGCCCCATATAGAGAGCATTGCAATAGTCCGTATGGGAGGTGATCAGGGTACCAGTGACTGAAAGAAGAGCTTCTCAATCAGGAAAGGATATAACTGGTGCCTAGCAACCTCCTTGCCTGAGCAGTTGGAAGCTGTCTTGGGGTTAGCTGTGGAGATCACCAGGCTTGGAGGACTTCAATCTGATGTCCCTATTTTGTGGAAAACGCAAGGACTCTTATGAATTCCAGAGAGTTTAGCAGAGAGATTTATTGTGCAGGTTCAGAAGCAATGGAGACAAGCAATTCTGAACCCCGAGGGTGGGTTCAGGCTTCAGTTTTATACTTTCTCTTTCTCAAGAACAAAGAACTACACATTATGATACACATTGTATTACATTAGGTCCGTTTCTCATGGGTATACAATGGAGAGTTTTGCTACATACATTGTATCCAAGTGCAATGCACATTAGGTTAGTCACATATTGCTAACACAGCATTATCCCAGTAATTATGCAGACACAATCATTATTTTAGTGATTGTTCATTAATTGTTCATTATTCCACCTTACCTAGATACAGAGGAGCCTCTTACTCACAGCCACTCCACTTATCAGGATTCAGTTGAAACTTGTTGTTCCCCATCCAGGACCCCCTCCCCCCTGACCTCCTGATCATAAAAGGGCATTCATAGCATCACTTACTTCCCCCAGTGTGGAGATTTATACCTGAATATTATCAGAATAAAATATGATATCATCCTGTGGTGATCTCATCTTGCGGCTTCCTTTAAATATTAAAAAGGAGCAGAGAGAGCACTGATCTCTATGGCACCACACAAAGCAGGGGCCACAGACTGGACCTCTCACTCCCTATCAACACTGATTGGGACTGGTACAGTGGTGGGATTCAGCTGGTTCGCACCAGTTCGGCAGAACCAGTAGCTATTTTTTTGTTGCCAAGGCCCAGAATGGACTTCCGGAAGTGCCATCCACACAGAGAACTGGTTGTTCACATACAGTATTCAAATCCCACCACTGGACTGGTCCCAAAGGAAGGAAGTGAACCAGCCTAAAACTGTGGCCCTCACTCCCAGCTCCTAAAGCTAACCCAAAAAGAATTATATTGAAAGCCACCATTGTCTCCATCCTGCTCTTTCCAGGGCTCATCAAAAGTGCAACCAATGGTGGCCACGAACTCCTGAGCTGCTTCCGAGACCGACCTCAGGGACAGCAAATTGAAGCCTCCAGAGACCATAAGCCTGGTGAACTCCATAGCCAACTCGTAGCCTGGAGGTTTCTATGCAGCAAGGTGACTGGTACAGTAGCAACAATCCCAGCTGAGGCCATGAGCCTATCCCATGTGAAACAGGATCTCACAACTGGCAACTTGTGGAGCAGCACCTCTGAAGGCCAATAGATAGTCCCAGATGACAACTGTTTGACCCCCTCCCAATGGCCTGCAGGTCTGAGAGGTGCCATACCGCAAATCCTACCAGGTGCGGTTCAGAACCCCCTTGCTTTCAAGCCCAGCTATTTCTTGGTAATGTTTGCCAAGTTGGCATGTTCCTCTCTAATAAGGTCACAAATGAGAGGAGTTGTATTATTAACCAGCTTAGCATTCAACCACAGCAGCAGCTGAAAACCCGGGCCTCTGTCAGATTTCAAGGAACACGTGCAACTTTCGCTCCAGATTCCTGTAGTGTCAAAAAAAGAAGAGAAAGCATGGAATAGTCCACTCTATACCTATCCAGATTTCTTTTGCATAAAAGACATTTACACATAAGAGTTCTGATGCTTCACTATATTTGGTGAACCATAAAGTGGGATAAAAAGGACAATCAATTACCTGTACTACGTAGCCGGAGATGCATTTAAAATTGGCAGGCTGGGGGGCACCATTGATGAAAACAGCTCCAGTTAAGCCATGAGGATCTTTCCGTGCCGCTAAAATATCCAGTAATCTAAAAGAGAAATCAGGATTGCCTAATGTTTGCCACATTTTGTTAAAGTGAAAAGTGCACAAATGCAAGTAACACATTTGTATGGTTTTGGTTATATAAAACCTGCAACTACGGGGAAAGCCTCAATGAAATGAAATGCCTTCAGATAAGAGGGTTTGGCAGAGATCATCAAAACCCACCTGTCTCATCTCTCCCAGTCTAATTTTGCAGCAGTTGTTATTATTTCATGTAAATCAGTGTTCCTCAACCTTGACAACTTGAAGATGTCAACTCCCGGAATTCCTCAGCCAGGATTACACCATCCCCTCCACAGTTATGATATGACCCTACGTTGCAAGACTGGAGGTACTTAAGATTTCAAAGGAAGGAAGCATCATCAAACTACCGTATATTCCGGCGTATAAGACGACTTTTGCAAGGGTTAAAATCGGCGCCGAAGTCGGGAGTCGTCTTATACACCGAGTCGTCTTATATGCCGGAAATACCGGTCGTTTCTGGCATATAAGACGACTTTCTAGGCATGCGACTCGGCGCCGAAGATGGGGGTCGTCTTATACGCCGGGTCGCCTTATACGCCGGCATATATGGTATCTATCTGGCATAAATATATGGTTTGACCAATAGACTATGACCAGACTGTTTAAACAAATAAACAAACACGTCTCTTACTCTACTGCTTCAGCATCTTAATTCTGAGCATTAGACAGTTGGGCATAATCAGCATCTAGCTATTTTTCAGCTGCCTAGGACAGCACAGATAGGTGTGTGACCATAGCATTATACCTATCAGGATCCAAGCAAATATTCCAACAAAATAACGGACAGAAGCTATCAAATTATGATTCACATCAAAGTAATTTCTGCTTAGCAAAGGATTATAGAAAACCACATATAGTAGGGTGGCTCTTGCGCTTAGGAGGCTGGGTTGGAGGTGAGAGCAAGCCTGTGCTCGAAACCTAAGTACTGCCATGGGGTGGGGGTGGGGAAAAAACCCATATTTTACTCCAGCTCCTGCTGTGGACATGAAAGGCACCCCCCAACTGGGTGTCCCATGGGCAACGGTGATATCACCAGCTAATCCTTTTAACTTGGAAGCATCTCGGTGCTTCTGACACGAGAGGAGTGCATATATATATATATATTGCCCCATATACATATATATATATGTATATATATTATTTATTTATTTATTAAAATTTATAGACCGCCCCACTCCCACAGGACTCCGGGCGGTTTACAATAAAAACACAACATAACTTAACAAACAAACAATACAATAACATTCATCCAGGGGTCAGATTTTATAAACCCCAGGCCTGCCGGAAAAGCCAGGTCTTAAGCAGCAAATATATATATTTGCACTCCGCTCGTGTCAGAATATATATATATATATATATATATATATTTGTTTTCTGAGGTTTTCGCGGGTGTTTGTATGTAGGTCTTTGGTTATTCGGGTTTTCTCCCTTGTCAAATTGGAAGTGTCTTGGCAATGTTTCGACGAAGTCTCATTTATCATCTTCAGGCTGGTGCTTTCGGCTTGGTGCTTCTAGGAGCAATGTGTGATCGTAGCTGAATAATCAGAGAAGCCATCAAGATAGAAAAACGCCCACATAGCATGAACAAATGAGATGATACCTCCCGCCTACCAGCCATTTGGAAACCCACCCTTATTGACAAATGAGTCCCTAGCACAAAGAATGACACCAGACCCACACCCACGAAAGCCACACAGGATGTCACCACCACACGTCCACACAAAAAGTAAACCCAAACCCACACCGATGATGAGGCACGACCACAAACCAGAAGCCAGATCACAGCTGCATCATTGGCCACTTTAAACCCCTCCAATCCATACATGAAGCAAACTGACACCCACCCTGAAGATGGGGCACGGCCACAGACGCGAAGCCAAGCAATGGCAATGCTCACCATCTCACATCCCCCTGCAACTCAGATTAACCTGAGCACAACAAAGACCCCACCCAAACAGAACACTCCCCCAACCAATCAGAGCACAGCCAACCCCCCATCCAATCAGAGCACAGCCAAACTCCTAACCAATCAGAACACACCTCCATCCAATCAGAACACAGCCAGGCTCTCAACCAATCAGTTCATATCCCCACTGGCAGTTAAAAGGAAGAAACAGCTACGATCACATTGCTCCTAGAAACACGAAGCCGAAAGCACCAGCCTGAAGATGACGAATGAGACTTCGTCGAAACGTCACCAAGACACTTCCAATTTGACGCGGGAGAAAACCTGAATAACCAAAGACCTACATATATATATATATATATATATATATATATATATATATATATATTCAAAAACTAAAACACAGATCACCGAGACTAAAGAATTTATTTAAAAACTTAGCTTTCATCAGCATCTACTGACATCGTCGGAGTTCTAGGGTCATTGCTCATGATGAAACAAAGGGCGGCCGTCTGCTAAAAGAGGCATGGCTATCCAACAAGCATTCAATCAACCGCCATATTGAACTGTTACTAGCTTATCAGACATTACACCAGCAGATATCTTTAAATAAGAAAACCGCAAGGATGAAACAACCACAGATCCTCACTGACACAAACAGGTCAACAGAGGATCATATTCCTTCCTCAATGGATTTAGGGTCACAGCAAATGATCGAGAGGAGGCAGACAGCGCTAATGAGTGACAGCAAAAGACTTGGAGCCAACATGGACAGGGACAATGACAGCAAGAAAGAACAACCAGCTAAATTGGCAGCATCGCATATGCAAATGTCAGAAAAGCAGTGAGATGACTGCACTCGGCAGAACGCACATCTGCATGGGCAGGGCGTGAGGAGAGGAACAGGGTGCTGAAATTCAAACAGCTGTCACAAAGTTAAAAGGATTAGCTGATGACATCACCATTGCCCAGGGGATTCCCAGTCATATATACATGAAATCACATTTGTCCACTGCTGTAAAACTTACGAAGATTTGCCACTGCCTGTTGGCCCCAGAATTGCATTCAGTCCTGGTGTCATTATTCCACTGAAAAACAAACCAACAAAAAAAAATAATATCACTTTCTAAGCCAGTAGAAACAAGTATCTTAGGTCAGAAATGTGTCTTGGCAAGCTCTGGTATGGAATACCCCAACAGCTGCACACTAAAGGCAAACTGTAATTCAAGGAAGCTGATTTCTGCCACTGCTGAACTTCTTGAAAAAGATTTTTTTAAAAAAAAAGAAAAGAAAAATACACAAGAGTCCCCAGTGCAAAAGATATATTCTGTGCATTACAGATAATCCTCAAATTACAAGCATTTGTTTAGTGACCGTTCAAAGTTACAATGGCACTGAAAAAAGTGACTTATGACCATTTTTCACACTTACGACCGTTGCAGCATCCCCACGGTCACATGATCAAAATTCAGATGCTTGGCAACTGGCTCATATTTATGGTGTCCCAAAGGATCATCTGATCCTCTTTTACGACCTTCTGAGAAGAAAAGTCAAAGGGGAATCCAGGTTCACTTAACAACCGTGTTACTATCTTAACAATTGCAGTGATTCACTTAACAAATGTGGCAAGAAAGGTTGTAAAATGGGGCAAAACTCACATAACTGCCTCGCTTAGCAACAGAGATTTTCGGCTCAATTGTGGTTGTAAGTCAAGGACTACCTGTAGTTCCAAAGATCCACCAATGCCCAAACAGGTTCTTTCAAGGAGCCAAGATGAACCATAAAAAAAATAATAATTGTATAATATGACCAGTAGTTACTAGTTATCTGATCTTCCTTGAATTTGAGGTTTTCTGAGTTGTGATGAGCATTTAAAATGTGGATTTACAGGTGGCTGTTACGTATAAGCTGGGTTGACAAGATCAGAAATGAGAAGGTGATAAGCCGCCTGGGAAAGCCAAGGGAAATCATCAAAACAATTAAAAAACGAAAGTTAGAATATTTCGGACATGTGATGCGACACCCAGAAAAATACGGCATACTCCATTTAATCCTGCAGGGAAAGACTGAAGGCAAACGAGGTCCAGGCAGAAGAAGAACATCGTGGCTTCAAAATCTAAGGGACTGGTTTGGACAAAACTCAGCAGCACTTTTTCGTGCGATGGATTAAGATTTGGTGGAATATTCAAAAAAATTTTAATAGAAGGATAAAATTTACACCACAACTGTTTTTGTTAGGTATTATTGTTGATTGTGATGATAAAGAAATTATTTTAATGTTGAATTTAATTACAGCGGCAAGGCTGTTGATAGGGCAATACTGGAAGAAGGAGTTTTTGCCTACTTTAGAGGAATGGTTTTTAAAAGTTTCTTATTTATCTGAAATGGCAAAAATTTCGGCTTATTTGAAAGATCAATCGCAAGAGAAATATTTTTTGGTGTGGAAAAGATGGGTGAATTTTATACAGCACAAATATGAGATTAAAAAGTATTATCTAGCTTTTGAATAATTTATGCTTAAGGTAACGATTGGAACTATTGTTTTGTTTTGTTTTTATATATTGGAGTTAAAGTATTTAAAATTTTGTTGTTTTTTTGAATGTATTTATAATTGTTTGATGTTTATTTAAGTTTTTAGTTTTTATTAACCTTGTATTCAGCTCTGGGAAGAAGGGGGGAGGATGATGGGTGGGAGGGGGGGTGGGAGAGGGGGATCATTTTATTGTAAAACTGCAAAAATTTTCAATAAAAAAAAAACATGATCGCCAACATGATCGCCAACGTCCGATAATGGATATGGCACAAGAAGAAGAAGAAGTTGTGAAGCTGGAGAAGGCTCCTGGGCAATCTTTGGACCCCCAAAGTGACAGACAAGTAATGGAGCATATAAAAACAAACATGTCACTGGAAAGCAAAAATCACAAGATGACGTGACCAAACTCACTGAAAAAGAGAGTTGTGCTCGGAATAATCAGCGGTAAAAGAAAATGAGGCTGCCCAAAACATGGCATCTAAACACTATCAAAGCTGATTCCAGGTAGAGCATAAAGCAAGCGAAATATCACAAAATGAGGAGAGAACTGGTCTACGCGGAGAATTGGATACAATTGAACAGACAGTATCATTATCATCAAGTCCGAAATGGTGTAGGTTTTCCTGCCTGAGCAGGGGGTTGGACTAGATGACCTCCAAAGTCCCTTCCAACTTTACTATTATTATTATTATTAAGTTGTTTATGGTAGATGATAGCATCTGGGTCACTGTATCTGACTTGGAAGCTAAGCCTGCTCAGAGTTGGATAATAAATAAATTATTAAATAAATTAAACAAATAAAGTACCAGTGAATCCAAAACTAGATATTTGGTTATCAAGACCTGTCCACAACTTGGCAAAGATTCTTTTTTTTAAAAGTGCCTAAGTCAGTGGCCTTATTCAACCGCAGAAAAAAGATACAAATACTCCTCGACTTACAACAACAAATGAGTCCAAAATTTCTGTTGCTAAGCGAGACAGTTGTTAAATGAATTTTGCCCCATTTTACAACCTTTCTTCTCACAGTTGTTAAGTGAGTCACTGCAGTTGTTAAGGTAGTAACACGGTGGTTCAGTGAATCTAGCTTCTCCATTGACACTGCTTGTCAGAAGCTTGCAAAAGGAGATCACGTGATGCTAGGACACTGCAACCGCCATAAATATGAGTCAATTGCCAAGCATCTGAATTTTGGTCACGTGACCACAGAGATGCTTCAAAGGTCATAAATGTGAAAAACGGTCATAAGTCACTTTTTCAGTGCTGTTGCAACAGTTGCTAAATGAACTGTTGTTAAGTCAAGGGCTATTTGTAGTGGGAAACTATTTTACCCAAAAAATGTTGCCAAAAAATTTCTCCATCGACTAGTGTTGCCAGGCATAATTATGAACTTGAAGGCATATGAATACACACAAAGAATAGCCAGTGTGGCTACTAATAATTCTTGTGGCAAATACTTCCTTTGTGACTCAATTAATTTCAAGATTCTATATTTTGTGTTATGGGAAGAGCAATGAGACTTTCCATGCAATATATGATTTCTTTTTTTAATATCCAAGGTGTCCTCTACCTTAGTTGCCCTTCTTCTTGTTAACCTAAAAAGGAAACCCAACTGCTTGTGCCTTTCCTTGTAAAAATTGTCTACATCCCTCTCATTGTTGTTTTTCTGCATCTTTTCAAACACAGTTTAAAAACTGGATGAGTAAATGAATTGAAAGTACAGGTGGTCCTCGACTTACGACCATAATTGAGTCCAAAAATTCTGTTGTTAAGTGAGACCGTTGTTATGTCAGTTTTGCCCCATTTTATGACCGTGCGTGCCATAGTTGTTAAGTGAGTCACCGCAGTTGATAAATTAGCAACTCGGTTGTTAAGTGAATCTGGATTTCCCTTTGACTTTGCTTCTCAGAAGGGGATCACATGACCCTGGGACACAGCAACGGTCATAAGTATGAACCCAGTTGCCAAGCATCTGAATCCCATGACCATGGGATGCTGCAAAGGTCGTAACTGTGAAAAACAGTCAAAAGTCACAGTTTTCAGTGGTTTTATAACTTTGAACAGTCACTAAATGAACTGTTGTAAATCGAGAACTACCTGAACTTCTAGATACTGAAGAACTGAAGAAGCTTCTTGGATGGGAAGCAAAACATCTTCAAGGAAAAACAAAGAAAATCCAGTTGCCTCTTGAAAAAGCACCTTTGGGAAAACCATGACCTGGATGACTGAGGATCTCCATAGACTTCTAGATACAGGTAGTCCTCAACTTACAACAGTTTGTTTAGTGACCATTCAAAGTTGCAATGGCACTGAAACAAGCGAATTATGACCATTTTTCTTATTTACGACCATTGCAGCATCTCCATGGTCATGTGATTTACATTTGGATGCTGGACAACTGGTTCGTATTTATGACGGTTGCAGTATCCTGGGTTATGGGATCCCCTTCTGTGACTTTCTGGCAAGCAAAGTCAACGGGGAACCCAGATTCACTTAATCACCATGGTACTAGCTTAACAACTGCAATGAGTCACTTAATAAGAAAGGTCGTAAATTGGGGCAAAACTCACTCAACAAATTTCTCAGCGACATAAATTTTGGATTCAGTTGTGGCCATAAATTGAGGATTACCTATAGTAATAAGTTGAAATCCATTGATCCAAATATGCAGAGAATCTATTTTCAGGAGTTTTGTGTGAAAAGTAATATTGACTTCAACATATTTCCATGACCTCAGATATTCTCTGAAATCTGACCTTTTTATGGTGTAATTAAGTTTGGTGACATCTGCCTTCATGACCCGCTGTTTCTAGCTACCTGTATTTTGCTGAATATTCTGCAGGGAGTAACCCTTTTACTTTTCACACAGAGAGTAATATAATTCAGTTAATTATTTATAGCGTCACCCACTGATCCCACACCATACTGAACTTTTGAGCCTACACGGGCCAAACCAATGATGGAAAGTAAACATTTAAAGGGAGATCCATACAACAAACATCCGAGAAGAGAAGACAACTGGTGTTTGAACTTGGGTTACTGTGCTTTGTGTTTTTTTCTATATTCTCCAAACTAGTCAACCAACTTTTAGATCTAGAGTAGACAATGCCTTATTTTCTCATGTCTTTTCATTTGTTATCTAGTGGTTATGCTTCATTCTCACATATGATTTATCTCATATTCTGTTCTCTTCTAGCTGATTCCAAGGATAAGAATTTTTTAGGATACAATCTGGGTGGGTCAACTGGTCCAGAGATTTAGTTATCTGAGCTTCTGTACTTGTGCTGGAGGCCAGTGGTGACACATTCTGGTGAGAGAGATTCTCAGATATCCCTGTGAATGGGCTCCAGCAGAAGTCTGAAAGCTTGAAAGATTAAACCTCCAGTCCCAGTGACTGACAAAGATTGGATCGATCCTGCAACATTATCTTGGGACAGGTATATTTGCCTTTATTTGTAATTTTTTTTTTAAAAAAATGTATGGGATACGGTAGTGACCCCCAACCTTTTGGGCACCAGGGACCGGTTCTGTGGAGAGAGTTTTTTTCCATGGACTGGAGAGGGTGTGGTTTCACATGTTGCCTGCATCCCGTGGATGGGGCTTTGCTTGTTTGCGAGGCCCAGGTGCTGGCATGTCACGAACCTGTGCCAGTCCACAGACTGGGGGGTGGGGGACCCCTGGGATATGGCATAAATGACTGTAGTAGAAAGTGTACACCTCAGAAAGGATAGCATTTTTTTCACTGCTGCTCAACTGCCACAAGAATTTACAAATGGCCATCATATTAATTATCCTTAATAGAAAGATTAGTCAATAAACATAGGCATCCTGAGAGAAAAAAGACACATTATATTCTTTCTCATTAGTGTGAACTCTTCCCTGATTGAAACTTTCTGATGATGCAAAAAAAAAAAATATCACAAATAAGTGTTCAAATACTGACTGTCCAGGAATGGACTCAACTAGTAGACAGCTGAAGCTGAGAAAGGCATTCCTTACTATGGAAGCCACGGGGGCCTAAATGACTCTATGCAAGTCCAAATTATGAGAGTCAGTTTGGTGTAGAGGTCAAGACATTAAACCAGAAACCATGAGACCAAGAGTTCTAGCCCCATGTTGGACACAAAGCCAGCTGTGTGATCTTGGGCCAGTCATTCTTTCTCAATCCAAAGATGGAGACAATGGCAAACTATTTCTGAAAACTTTCCAAGAAAACTAATTCAGGCCAGGCGTCAAAAGCTGTCTGGAAGGGCCAAAAAAATAAAAAGTCCAAATTATACACCTGATGCTTCAGCGAAGCACAACCTCAACAAATAGACAAACTTCAAATCCCAGAGATATGATCCAAGTGCCATCATCTGGTCCTAAAAGTTTCCAAAATATTTCAAATGAGCCATATTAAAAATCCTATGCAAATGCTAATGATAACTAAAAAGAAAACAAGCTGAGCATGCAAGTGGACGTAGTAAATGAACATACCTGATATCTTTCAAAATTTCTTTTTCAACTATTTTTCGACAGCCTATAAATCCACTCTTTGTCTTCACTCTGTAGCAGATGTTACAAAAGGCGACAGTACTGGGTTTTGTTGAGCTGCAGGACTGATTCTGGATACCATTTGTATTGCAATCTGCCATCGGGACAATGACTTCTGAGCTCTGAGACATCTTTCTGGATTATATTTACTCCTAGGAAATACATACATGTGTTATTTTTCAGACATTTTTCATTTACTGTTTTATTTTATCATGCAAATAAAAATGTATAAATGCATAAACCGTATTAAACAATCAATACATAAGCTGAAAAATTAATCAGCCCTGAAAAATTGTTATCAACTGAACTGTTTTAAAAATGTTGGCCATATTGCCTAAAAAAATACTTCTTTTTTTTAATAAAGTCTAATTCAGATGTTAACAACGTACAGTTATGAAGCATCCAATGCTACAAATCAGTTGTACATTTCTGCTCTTTATGATGGAAAAGTCATTTTAGGCAATGCCCCTCAAATCCTGAATCCTAATATCTTCAAAATACTAAGAATACACCCAGATGCATCCTTAATATTCATTGATTGACCCAGAGCAGCCTAAACAGAACGCAAAAATAACAATGAATCAAAACTTTATGAAAAAAATATCATTGTACATTGGAGCTTTGTTTTTTAAATATATATCCAAGGTCTCTTGGACTTAGTTATTGATTTTTGAAAAGTTTTTGTATTCTAAATATGAAAAGATGAAGCAATACATTTCCATAGATCTAGAATTAACAAACTTAAAGATGTAATTAATCCCGTATCAACACTAAATGGATTTTATATGGATTTTAATTATTTTTTTTCTGCTATGTTCAGTTTATTTTAATCCCATATCAGTGCTTTGGATTCACATGGGTTTAAATTTTCTTTCTATTATGTTCAATTTATTTTAATCACTACGTAATATATTGACAAGAAAGCATTTCATAAATGATTCACTACTATTACACTAAATGTCTACCCAGGATTTGTGTTTTTTTTAACGAAATTAGTAATATATATATTATATTAGTAATACATATATTAGTAATATATATGTGTGTGTGTGTGTGTGTGTGTGTGTGTATGTGTGTGTGTGTATTGATTTCTAAAGTTTCTTATTGTAAAGTAGAGTTTTCCCTGGCTTGATTCCTCCAAGATATGCTGAGAACATCCAGAATTCCTAGGACAAAGGGTTCATCTGAAAAACAACTTATTGGAAAAATTAAATAATTAAATAAAATTAAATTAATGCATGACAATCATGCCATATACCAAAAGGAAATGTTGGGCAATTAGGAAGAGGTAGAATAACAGTAGGGAAGAAAAGAGACAAAATCAAAGGACAAAGAAGTATAGAATTGTGCATGGATAAACTTTGGTTCCCTTTTGGCCCTAAAACTGAATTATCCTTTATTCTCAAAATGTAGACAGCAAAATAAAACATAGCTAATGAAACATGAACACCCCAGTGTGAAATTAAAACAAAAGCAAATTATGACAGCCCTCTCAGCAACCAGTACAGATCAGTTGTGCCTCAGCAATACTTATTTCTAAATTGATTCATAAAACTGTATTCTGAAACAGCTATTTTTCTCTATGGAAAGGTTTAGCCTTTGTGTTCAGCGGCCCCATTAGCCCTTCCGAGCATAGAATTATACAGACAGGATGCCGCCAACAAAAGGCTTTGATTTCTCAACATAAGGAGTCAATCTTGGAGCCCCAGATGCATACATGGGAAAAGCCAAAAACACAACACAGACACACACACACACACACACACACACACACACACAGAGCTGCATTGCACATTAGACAGAATCATATACTTATTTTGTGGAATTCATCTGGATTGATTGCCTGGATAGTGTTACTTGCTCCACAACGACCTTTGGTTTTAAGCAAATAAATGATTTTTGTCTGGCATAACCCACATAGACGACAATCCCTTGACTCAGACGTAGCTCCGTTAAGGCTTCTGCTGTAAAGGCTGGCTGAGTCTTTAACGTGCTATTAAGACTCTTTGTGTCTTTTTGATGCCAGAGATGAATAAAAACTGCCTTTCTGGAAATGGCTGATACTATAGGAGCCTAAATTGTACGGTAAGTCTGAACAGCCCAAGGTATGTCTTTCATTGATTTTAAAATTTTAAAGGCACACTACACCTGAGATTTGGATACATTTCATTTCCCCCTTAAAAATATGATTGGCAGGCAGGTTTTAAAAAATGCCCTGAATTTATTTTAAAAATATTTTATAAAAATATTCTTGCAAGGCCAGTGAAAACAGATAATCTTGTTAATAAATCAGCCAAAATAGATCTGAATTATTGACACAGGGAAGTAAAGGGGGAGAAGCATGGTTAAACTGGCCCTTGTGATAACTAGTTAAAATGTTACACTTTAATATTGTATTCGCATTCCATAATATGTCTAGCTTACTATGCTGATAGCATTAACCATGGAAGGCTTTTCAAAATATTCTGGGAAGATAGTCTTGTGTTTTTATTCTAATTAGCTATAGAAAAAAAATCAATGGGAGGACAACTAAGTTTTAATCGGGTCCTAAGGAAGTTGTTGCATTTCTTATGATTTTAAAGGAATCAGAATTAATCTTTTAAAAAGAAAAACTTGGTTTGATTTCTTAATATTTAGTGCATTGAAAAATCATTCAGGGTTACTATTCAATAAGATCGGTATTGGTTAGATTCATCATCATTTATTAAATTTATTTGCTGTCTGACTTCCAATGTCTCCTAGCGGTTATAGATCTATCTCTTGCTCAGTTTTATTCCAGTCCCTCTGTTATATATTTTATACATTTATACAATTTATACATGATTGTAATTTTCAGTTATATGACAGGTTCCTTCCCTTGCAGTATGTCAGGTCTGGCCATTGCAAATTTTGAGTATGTTTGGTTACTTTGCTGTGTGACTCTATTACGAACATTCCTATCCTACTTAGAATAATTGGTATTTGTGAAGAAAAAAAAGTGATAAGCTTAAATCACACGAGCAAGGAACTGGCTTATTATCAGCTGAAAACAACTGTAAGGAAACCCACACATGCTGTTGCTAACAGGGACCATTTCTTCCTGACCTTTCTTTTTTTTTTTCTTTACTCATGCAAACAACTAATATGAGAAGTTAGAACCAAATCAAGCAAAGAGGCAAACAAAACTCATCTATCAGAAAGGAAAGGGGGGGGGGGGAAATCCCAGATGTCTATTGTGGACTTACCTTCAATGAACGTAAGAGGCACAGAAGAAGCAGCAAAATAAAATAAGGTGTTCACAGCACATCTGGGACTCAATTATGGAATGCAACTTGTAGACCTTTACAGCTTTCAAAAAAGCACCCTCAGGAGCCTGACTGGGCACCCTCAGGAGCCTGACTGGGCATCCAAGACACCGCTTTGTATGACAAAGAGCACCAGTTAGTTTCTTCTCTCTTTCAATTCAAGCAATTCCTTTTGCACAGCTTTGTAAAGAGATCACAATTCATCCCTCCCCCTTCCAGCTGCAATTAAGGGAGGGGTGAAAGGTCTGCTTAGGGAGGGACTAGTACAGAAGAAGAACTGACTCTATTTCAGTGGCTGATAATGCTTCAAGCACAATGCAGAAGGCGCACAGGAAGTCCATGGGCATTTGACAATGCACCCAGATTCCCCACTCTAAATATGTTAAGAGAAAAGCTTCAGAGTCGTCTGGGTTGCCCACATGTTCATGCCCATATGAGAAAAATTAAGGATAATGCTTAGGCAAATGTACCCCCCCTCAACTGCCTCCAGCTCTGTTCAAACAGTTGAGATTCTATTCTAACGGGAGTAAACGTGCAGTAGATCCAGACCTCGACCATATCCCTATGCTGTAAACACAAAAGAAGCTGAACAAAGAAGGGCACCCATCCTGGGCTGCCAATCCAGGCTGAAAAAGAATATGGATCCATTTCTGGGAAACGCAACCAACCAGCCAACCATCATGAAGAGCTTGTTTGGAAAGCAGAAGAACATCTCCATTTATAGCCTGCTGTTTCAAGAATGGCAATTCCTCTGTTCCTATTTGCACAGGTAGGAATCCCGATGCAATTAATGATAGAAAGAGACAAATACAGAATAACCAGGGACATCAGAGGAAACTCCACTGCCAATAGGGTACGTTGAGCTAAGAACATATAGAAGTAAATGAGTCAGCTTTCTAATAGTTCAGGCACCAGGCTAGAAACCCGGAGAATGTAGGTTCTAGTCCCATCTTAGCTGGGTGACCTCTTAGGCCAGTGGTTCTCAACCTTTTTAATGCCGCGACCCCCAACCGGTCGTAAGTCGAGGACTACTCAACCGGTCGTAAGTCGAGGCCTACTCAACCGGTGCAGCACTGTTTGCAGAATGGGACTTTTGGCGGGCTCAGCAGGGCAGAGACAGCCTGGACAATTCCTATTGGCTTTGGAAAGCCAATAGAATTAGACTCTATTCAAGAGAGTCTATTCTGTTGGCTTTCAAAAGCCAATAGAATAAAAGGGAGTAGCACAGCTAAGGAAAAGGGGGAAAAATGGCGGACTGCATTGTTTGGCGACCCCCGTGAAATGGTCGTTCGACCCCAAATGGGGTCCCAACCCACAGGTTGAGAACCGCTGTCTTAGGCTAATCCCTTTCCCTCAGCCCAACTCACTTCACAGCGTTATTGTGGTGGGAAAAACAGGGGGAGGAAGATGTGTTGGATATGCTCGCCGCCTTATTTGTAAAATTAATAAAGGCAGGATACAAATTAAATAAATAGATTCTGTAGCATGTTGAAGAGCAGTACTAGGGCAGTTTCCCCAACATGTTCCCCTCCCAATGAATGAGCCTCCAACTCTTAACTGCTACAGCTAGATTACAAAAAGCTACAATAGAAATAAAGCTGGATCTAAGGAGCATTTTGATACTCAGGTATAATTGATATAATTACATATATACTTACACGTACAGCTACAATCAAGCTGCTAGAAATTAACCAGCTTAAATAGAGGAAATTAAATTGGCTAAAGAAGACAAGTCCTCTTTTTTTCAAACACATGAGACAAAGGATTATTCAGGAATGTCTGCAAGCAGGGTCTCTGTTGCATATTTGTATTCATCCCTGAGAAGCAATGCTTAGGCATGCCCCAAGCTATGCTCTAAATTTCTGGGAGGGCTATAACTCAGCATTAGGGAAACATTTGGCATTCATAAGACCCCAGTTTTAATACCCAATATTTCCACTTAAAGGTTCTTGAATAGGAAGCACATCCTAAAGAACCAGGAACATTCATGCACCAAACTTTAATAAATCATCTCATAGCTTGATGCAATATAAGGCAACCGTGTAGATCAAATATAGAAAAACAATTATTCTTCTCTTTAAGTTTCTGCTGTTGTAATCATTCAACTGGATTAAAATCTGTAACATTGAAAAAAAGCCAAACAATTAATTATAAGGTGACCAACCATCCTCCTTTAGGGAGGATAGTCTCCTTTTGTAAGTTCTGTCCTCCCTCAAAAAGTGTCCTCCTACATGTCCTCCTTTTTCATATTTGAAGACTAATCTGCAGGCTTTTTTTTCTCATAGAACGTCCGGCACTTTTTTTGATGGTTTTTTTTCAATTTTTGCATGAGCTGTGCTACTCCCCCTATTGGCTTTCAAAAGCCAATAGGAATTGCTGCTGAGTATGCCAAAACACCCAGCCGGCAAACTTTGCACATGTAAGTTGTCTGCAGTGAAGGCGAATTGGCAGGAACTTTGCACCTTCCCTGCTACCCAACTACACCATCTCCTAGTTAGTTCCGAAGAGACTGGAGCGGTAAGTTTCTCTTGATCTTCGGCTCTGCTAGGGCAATAATGGCTGCAGGCACAAGAGGCAGGGGCGGCGGGGGTGCTGCGGGTGGGGGGTGAGGGGCGGCAGCGGCCAGCTGCCCCCCGTGCTGTGGGAGTTGCCGGGCCCCCTCTACACGGGGCTGCGCAGGGTGGGCGGCGGTGCTGGAGGGGCGGCTGCAGGTGGGGTGTGTCGACGGCAGGCTGCCCCCTGGAGCCGGTGTGGCTGATGCTTTGGGAGCTGTGGGGCCCGCTGTACACGGCGGGGCAGCGTGCTGGCGGGGCGGCTGTGGGTGGGGGCGCGGGGGGCGGTTGACCTTCCATGGGCCGGGCCAGCTTTTACAATATTTTTTTTCTTCAATTTATTTGTGTCCTTCTTTTCATTGTAAAAAAGTTGGTCACCTTATTAATTAACATCATTTATCTATCTAAACTGTGAGAAGTGGTGACAGTGAAGGACATGACATGTAACACAGACCATTATATGGGAAGAGGAAATTATAATACTCTTGATCAATTCATGTTGAATGACTTTTGGATCTCTCATGTTCTGTAGTTAGAGCAAGCAGGGCCTGGAAAGGAGACATGATGATTATCAGCTGTATTATCAGGCAATGATCTCATCACTATCACCAATTCTTCAATTATTTTTGGGGCACAACATCCACTGTGCTTTAACAGTTGCATTGCTATGAGTATATCCTGATAGATACTGAACTGAACAAGACTAGGGAAGATTTCTACCTGAAAAACTGGACAGTGAGCTTGGTACTCTTTTAATATCTGGCTTCTATTCTGTTACAGGAAAGTAGCAGTTCCACACCTAAGCCTTGAGATACATGATCAATGATTTGCTATACTACTTGGGTCAATGTAGCTCCAGCATTTATCTAATCCCCTCAAATCCAGTCATATCTGCATTAGGATGGAGGCCAAATTCTGCATGTGTACACACATGGAGAGAGAAAAAGAATGTGTCCGTATTCGGGTTTTTGTTACTCACTTAATGATGGCATGAAGATGCCCTAGCATCCTTTATTTTCTACCGTTTCTGAAACATGGTCTTCATGATGTCCAAGGCCCATACTGAGGCAGCTTAAAATGGCTCTAAATTCTTCCAATAATAAAGTAGCATTTTTCCCTTAAGGAGAAACTACATTTTGCTGTGGGCACAGTCTAATGTATTTCACCAATGTTGAGGTATTCTCAATATTTTAGGGTTAGGATTCAGTTCTTTGTACAGGGAGTAAAGACACTCATTCTCATAAAAAAATATATTCCAGGCACTAGTGCGTGACAACCGCTCATATAGTTATAACTGCTATTTTGCAACAAGTGCTACTTTGCAACAAGTGCCGAACTGAGTTCAACTGGTTGGTTTGTACAATGAGTATAGACACTCACTCTCATAAATTAATAATTATATTCCAGGCACTAATGCGTGACAACCACTCGTATAGCCATAAAAATAGATAGGCAATATAAAAACCTGATAAAAGATGCATGAAAGTATTGTAACTTTTACATCAAGAATGTCTGAAGGTTTTTAGATTGCATAAACAGAGATTTCCTTTCCAAGATGTGATTTAGATAAGAACATTACTTGAAGTTCTGCCCAGATAACAATATGTCTGATACTTATTTGAAGCATTATTTGAGAGGGGGGGGAACCTAAGATATTAATGCATGGAAGCAGTTGAAAGTAATTTTAATTTTTGAATTCACTACGGATAATTTAGCCCTTCCCAAAGATTACTGACTTTTCTGTTCTTTAATCCATGGAACTCATCTACATACGGAATCTTATATTCAGATGGGAAAACATCTAAGACTGTAAGATTAGATTTAAATAGAAATTGTACAAGGAGAATTTCAATGGAAAAAGAATATTCAGTTCACTTTGAACATTCTAGTTAGAGTGTACTGGTATAAAATGTTTTATTACTGATATATTACTATTGCTAAAGTAAGTACTTCCTTTTCTCTAAAATGCTAGAGATGCAATCAACAGATTGGATCCTTCTTCCGTATGTCTGCTACGTATTTTTATTTTATATATATTTTATTTATTTTTATCTGTTTTACTATAAGCTGCCCACAGTTACATATGTGAGATGGGTGGCTATATAAATTAAATAAATAAATAAATGTCACAAAGCTCAACTATATTGAAAATTAACTCATGGTTGAATGGAACTAATTTTGAAATTATAAGCCTAATTGTAAACCTGAGATATTTTTTACTAAACTTCTCTAGTCCCCACATTTCTTCAAAATACACTCAGCTGGCATCATATATAATAACAACTGCAAGGATTTTGTGACCTTTTATTGGATTTTTTTTTAACCCCTCTACAGAAGGCAGGCTGATTAAATTGTGGGAATATGCTTCCATGTTTAGAATAACTTCATATCTAGAAAGAGAATCTGGTATACAATTTACTCTTACTTGGAAAACTTTTTTGGGATGTATGGAAAGTCTATACCAGTGATGGCGAACCTTTTAGAGACTGAATGCCCAAATTGCAACCCAAAACCCACTTATGCATCATGGAGTGCCGGGTAGGTGTGGCCCATTGGCTGGGCGTGGCTCATTGGCTGGGTGTGGCCCATTGGCTGGGCATGGCTGCAGTAGTAACGGCAGACTGGGTGGGACTAAAAAGTTCAATCAATCAATTCCAACTTTGCAAGATCTTTTTTTTCCTGTGAGAAGTTGAAATTGACTGATTGAACTTTTTTTTTTTTGCACATGGTGGCAGAGGTCTAAAGCGAAAAGGTTTTATAAAACCCAGCTGAAGGCCTAGGACTGGGGCGAGGGAGCGCGTGCCCACAGAGAGGGCTCTGAGTGCTGCCTCTGGCACCCGTGCCATAGGTTCGCCACCACTGATCTATACATCGAATTGCATTATATCCCAAATTTGGGTTTAAAATTTATATTTTAAATGGACCCATAGCTTACACATTTACAGTGCTTTTATGTATTTCTATTACCTAGCTTTTTTTCCCCTTGTTACTGATTTTAATTGTTAACCATTCTTATAATGATGCATTAGAATATATTGACCGTGTGACATTTTCGATTTGCTAGTCATTTATAATTCATTGGCTCTTGTAGTCTATTGCTTAATTTTTTCCTTCTTTTCAATATTTCTCTATTTTTAAAAAAAAAATGTCTCAGTTTTATCTTTTTTTTCTTTTATATTAGAAATGTAATAAAAATAAGTAAACATCTGTGGTTCACATTACTCTTAATTTTTTTCTTTTTGATTTAATCACCATAATTGAAGTAGGGCAAGGAATTCTTATATTTCTATAGTTTCCACCTTGAAATACACATTGTTGTCTATCACAGAGATCTACCATTAATGTTGCACATGCTCACTCTGGTGTAGATAATGG